GGCATAGTCCATTTTTCATTCCACCATCGATCGGTCATCTAGCGGTCAGCTGTGGTCAAAATTTGGCAAAATTTAGATATTGTCTGATTTTCGTTAAAATTGGTATATATGTATTAGGTGGCATAAGGAGCAGAATGGCGTTGTCCATTTTTCATTCGGCCATCGATTGGTCATCTGAGCAGTCAGCTGTGGTCAATTTTTTCATTCAGTCATCGATCGGTCATCTGAGCGGTCAGCTGTGGTCTAAATTTGGCTAAATTTTAGATATTGTCCGATTATGTGGACCATTGAGAAGTACCTAATATTGAAAGTAGCAGACACAAAATAAGCTCTTTGTCATACTGAGGTAAGGACACTCTCTTCTAATGTTTTAAAAATTTACGTTCTCATTTCCATTCAAAATTGGTGAGTTCATGTTTGGCATGACTGCAAGTCTGATGATTGTGATCATTTACTGCTGAAGGGGTCGTTTGGGGGACATTTGTACTGGTCCCCATTAAAATTAGTACTTGTTTATAACTGGTCTGTCAGTCTATACATTATAACTAGTCTGTCAGTCTACACATTATCACTGGTCTGTCAGTCTACACATTATCACTGGTCTGTCAGTCTACACATTATCACTGGTCTGTCAGTCTATAAAATATCACTGGTCTGTCAGTCTATAAAATATCACTGGTCTGTCAGTCCACAAACTACCATCAGTCTGTCTGTTTATAGAATATCATGATTTTGTCAATCTTTACATTATCTCTGGTATAGCAGTTAATACACTATCACTGATCTGTTATATGGTCTGTAGAAATGTTATTACTAAATATTGCAGCTCTACTCATTCACCTTCTGTACTATCCCTTTTGCCTGTTCCTTGCCTTATGCCATTGTCTCTCAGTATGTCCTGATATTGCAGAACTCTTACTATAATTTATTTTGCAGTTTGTATGTCCATCATTCTCCTATGGCTATAGCAACTGTTTATGAGTCTTAGCTAAAGATTGATTTTCTTCTACACTGCCTGACATCGGGCTACATCAGCTAGAACAGGGACACCACTCCTTGTTGAAGCTCATTAGGGCTTAACACGTAATCATTAGCCAGTAATTAATTATCCTGGGTGGGACAAAGTGTTTAATTGCTTCTATAGTATGAGTGTTTCATATTTATCAACAGAGTGTATATAGGTCACTAAGTAAAATGTTGGTTAGTTGGCAATTGCCAGTGTTTCTATGGTGTGACAGCTAGCTTGTAAAGATGGTGTGACAATGATTATCATCATCAATGTCTTCATCATCATCATCATCATCATGTTATTATGTATGAAGAATCACTTCTAAAATGTAGGTCACAGTGACATATGTTTTATCCATTTTTCTGTTTCACTGACATTGGTTAGGTTTTACATTTTATAAGAGCTCCAGGTGTTCATTACTCCAGTAAGCACTGTACAATTGTATCTAGCGTGTAAATGGCTAAAGAGTCAACCATATTCTATGAGACTTAAAAATGTTAAAGAAACGCTGTAAGCTAATGTCAGCATGAAGTAAAAGTCTGATCTAGGTCATATGATTAACAAATAATTCATTGTAAATACAATACACATATACTTTGTAGCACTAAAGTATTGAATTCTTTATCAGTTTCTTTAATGAATTGTTTGAAATAAAGCTTAAAGTACTTAGTCACAGCATGTATTGGTCATGTAAGTTTTAAGTCTATGATCAGTTTTTCTTGATTATTAAGCAATGGGGCACACTACTTGTATTACTAATAGTGACAATTGTAAATTCAGTGATGAAGGATTCTACTATTGTGGCTATAATCGGAAAGTCTCTGTATATTACATCCGACACATGTTTTAACTTTACAAGTAGTATTGTGTTGTACTTGTATTGTTGATAAAACATAAGCCTGTGTACACTCTCACAGCAATGGCCACAGATTTATTAATAATTTATACACAGTATTACACGTTATAATCCCTGTAGAACATTTGTTTTCACACTGGCAAGTAGACCAGTATGTTTGGAGGCATGCAAGTTCACGGTAAGTCACTGACCATAATGTTACTAATATAACTGTTAGCCTTGACTGAAAATGAGCAATTTATTTAAATTGTATATGCTTAATCAGGTAAGTATTCAAACAGCCTGTCTGCCCAATGGCTACCACCTGAGGTAAATACACAGTCACTTCATGTTGGCTCCTCCTTCGTCAGGTAAATATCAAAAATGTCCCACCCTGGTGGCATCATCAGTCAGTTAAGTATAGAGTAAGTCTGCCTGGTAGCTCGTCCCTAGGTAAATATACAAACAGTCCCAGCCTGGTGGCATCAACAGTCAGTTAAGTATAGAGTAAGTCTGCCTGGTAGCTCGTCCCTAGGTTAATATACAAACAGTCACAGCCTGGTGGCGACTCTTTAGTCTAGTATATATACAAACAGTCACAGCCTGGTGGCGACTCTTTAGTCTAGTAAATATACATACAGTCACAGCCTGGTGGCGACTCCTTAGTCTAGTAAATATACAAACACAGCCTGGTGGCGACTCTTTAGTCTAGTAAATATACATACAGTCACAGCCTGGTGGCGACTCCTTAGTCTAGTAAATATACATAAAGTCACAGCCTGGTGGCTACTCTTTAGTCTAGTAAATATACATACAGTCACAGCCTGGTGGCTACTCTTTAGTCTAGTAAATATACATACAGTCACAGCCTGGTGGCTACTCTTTAGTCTAGTAAATATACATACAGTCACAGCCTGGTGGCTACTCTTTAGTCTAGTAAATATACATACAGTCACAGCCTGGTGGCTACTCTTTAGTCTAGTAAATATACATAAAGTCACAGCCTGGTGGCGACTCTTTAGTCTAGTTAATATACAAACACAGCCTGGTGGCGACTCTTTAGTCTAGTAAATATACATACAGTCAAAGCCTGGTGGCTACTCTTTAGTCTAGTAAATATACAAACACAGCCTGGTGGCTACTCTTTAGTCTAGTAAATATACATACAGTCACAGCCTGGTGGCTACTCTTTAGTCAAGTAAATATACAAACACAGCCTGGTGGCGACTCTTTAGTCTAGTAAATATACATACAGTCACAGCCTGGTGGCTACTCTTTAGTCTAGTAAATATACATAAAGTCACAGCCTGGTGGCGACTCCTTAGTCTAGTAAATATACATACAGTCACAGCCTGGTGGCTACTCTTTAGTCAAGTAAATATACATACAGTCACAGCCTGGTGGCGAATCTTTAGTCAAGTAAATATACATACAGTCACAGCCTGGTGGCTACTCTTTAGTCTAGTAAATATACATAAAGTCACAGCCTGGTGGCTACTCTTTAGTCTAGTAAATATACATAAAGTCACAGCCTGGTGGCTACTCTTTAGTCTAGTAAATATACATACAGTCACAGCCTGGTGGCTACTCTTTAGTCTAGTAAATATACATACAGTCACAGCCTGGTGGCTACTCTTTAGTCTAGTAAATATACATACAGTCACAGCCTGGTGGCTACTCTTTAGTCAACTAAATATACAAACAGTCACAGCCTGGTGGCTACTCTTTAGTCTAGTAAATATACATACAGTCACAGCCTGGTGGCTACTCTTTAGTCTAGTAAATATACATACAGTCACAGCCTGGTGGCTACTCTTTAGTCTAGTAAATATACAAACAGTCACAGCCTGGTGGCTACTCTTTAGTCTAGTAAATATACATACAGTCACAGCCTGGTGGCTACTCTTTAGTCTAGTAAATATACATACAGTCACAGCCTGGTGGCGACTCCTTAGTCTAGTAAATATACATACAGTCACAGCCTGGTGGCTACTCTTTAGTCTAGTAAATATACATAAAGTCACAGCCTGGTGGCGAATCTTTAGTCAAGTAAATATACATACAGTCACAGCCTGGTGGCGAATCTTTAGTCAAGTAAATATACAAACAGTCACTGTCTGGTGGCGAATCTTTAGTCTAGTAAATATACAAACAGTCACTGTCTGGTGGCTCCTCCTTAGTCAGGAAAGTACAGTATGCACTTAGTCAAGTAAATATATTGTCAGGTTTTTCTTCATCAGTTGAGTAAGTATCCAAACTGTCAGTGTCTTGTGGCCCCTCAGGAATTAGAAATGCTTAAAGACAAATATCTTATTGTTAATACATATTATTACATATTAATACAAGTTATTGAAAGGAAACATATATTATGTAGTATTATTTAATGGGTTGGTATACCTACAAGAGATTTATACCAGATCTGCATATGAATCAAATCTTTTTAAGGTCACTTTCTTGTCTAGACATTTGAGTTATGCATTATGTGTATATATGTAATTTTACACTCGACCAAGTCTACATGTATATCGTGAATGATAGATTTCAAACTTTCCTGTCTATTATATGTATGATGTAATACAGTTCAAACCAATATAGATTTGCATACAAATTGTATGTGTACAAAAGCAAAAGCAGTGCTGAATGATTTCTAAATATTGTAATGGTTGTATCTGGATTTTTATTCAGTGCATGGCTGATAGTTAGCGGATTTTGCATTAAGTGTGGCTACAGAGAGATGACATTGAATATGACAAGCATAAAGTGAGACTAGGATAATCATTGCTTGTATCAGTTATGATTTCATAATTTCATAGATGTTTTGGAGGAAAGTAATCATTTGTATGTGGGTGCTGTTACCCTGATTCAATACTCAGTTATTGCCCTTTTCCTTATGTAAATGATATGCATCTGGTTGTTGTGTATCATCTTGGAACCCCACTACTTTTCTATAATGAGGTAGCTCTATGGGTTTGGTAATAAGTATGTGGAAGACTGTTTGTACCTTGACTAGAGACATGTGTTGTTATGACAGTTCACCACACACACAATGACCGTGAAAGTTCACTTTTCCTGCCAGGTGGAGGACATGTCGTCAATAAGGAAGGATGTGTGATGAAGACTGCATGTCAGCATTCTTAAGTGATCCTAGATCTAGATCTTATCCTAGTGTAGATTTATAACACTGTGTGTGAACAATTATACAATAGATATGCTGCAATAACTTCAGTTAGTAGTGGGAGAGACAGGTGAGTTATAATTGAGTTTTTGTTTTAAACCAGTTTACAAATCTAAAGCACATCTGTACATCTTTTTTAAAATCCTTTATATGTATAGAAATAAATTGAGACAAATTGTAAAGGATATGTACTTTAAGAGCTAGAAGTTAGTTTGAGGATATTATTTACTGTTATATATATATGTATACATACAGTTCAGGCAATATAGACTTGCTTGAAATATATAGATATATATATGTATATCACAATGTTTACTGTTGTTTACTGCTAACCAGTTTGCAGGAAGATGTCAAATTTATTTGCCTTATTTGTAAAGAAATTGGTAAGAAGTAAAAATCTAAATACATGATACTCTGAAATAGCCCAGTAGAAACAGGAGCTTAATTAAGTTTTAATGTTTAAAAATACTGGTTTGTCAGAATAATTTTTTTTTGAAATATGGAGATTTTAAAGTTATAATTGTATTCACCCCATAGAAGTTAAAACATTACATTGTATCATTGTAAAACACATAACATTGTAACACATTACATTGTATCATTGTAACACATTACACTGTATCATTGTAACACATAACATTGTATCATTGAAACACATTACATTGTATCATTGTAAAGCATTAAATTGTATCATTGTAACACATAACATTTTATCATTGTAACACATTACACTGTATCATTGTAACACATAACATTGTATCATTGAAACACATTACATTGTATCATTGTAACACATTATACTGTTTCATTGTAAAACACTAAAATTGTATCATTGTAAAGTATTCTTTTGTATCATTGTAAAACATAACATTGTATCATAGTATGTAAATTTATTTTATCATCAATATTTGACGAAATACTTGAAAATATCAAACTCTTATAAATAATTAACTATTTTGTAAAATTTACTGTTGATAGTTTCGAATTACTGACAATTTTGAATGTTTAAAAAGTTTGAAATTAACTAAGCTAGATTTTTTGCTCCTTTCCTTATCTTAGTCAAATTGTCCAGGTGATTCGCTAAAACTTCTCTTTCCATTGCCTAAAATCTATTACTATTACAAAGGGTTCATTTGAATATGAACACCACTTTTATGCATACAGTATATGATTAACTAATGGAATATGTTACTTTGCGAAAAAGCCTTTCAAATGTTGTGATATATATTTTCCTTTAGATGTTTCAGTCCCAATAGTCAGCCATATCCATACATCATACTACCTGGCACTGTGTTTTATTGAAGAACTTGTGTACTTCAGTAACATTAAATTTGACAATTTTTAGGAAAAGGTTTTGCCCTTGTTTCCATTTCACTGGTTTAGCTTTAATTTGACCTACTTTCAACTGAAATTTCATAACTTTGGTAGTCTTTGATATACTGTGAAATCATTAATTTTTGCAGATGATTTATTTTTGTTGATTTTATTGTTGCTCTCAATCAATGAATTCATGTGCCACGAACTGTTAATTAAATTAGTATAGGTTGACTGATTAAGTTATATATATTTACCCATGAAATGAAGTGTCCAAAAAAAGCAGTCTTTAAAAAAAATCCACAAAAATTGAGCCGCTAGAAAATGTATGATTGTACAGCATTGATATTTACATTTATTGTTAAGTTTTGTTGTCTTTATGCCTAAATACTGATACAATAATGCATTCACAATTTGGCTTAGAAGAATGCACGTATAATACGTATATATGGTTCTGCTCTGCTGTACAAGTGATACAAGTTGTTGTATCATCTTAATAATACCCCATGGACTGTTTCCAACTCATGAAACTGACAGAATCCATCAATATTTCTTTGTGTTGACAATATAATATGGTATAGAGCCATCTACAGGTCAACATTACCACTGTTTAAACAGTAAATGTATTTGTAGTTCTACTTCCAGACACTTTAATCGTTGATCATGCATCATTTATGGACTGTTGTAAGAGAAATCTGTGGCTTTGGACTGAAGGCCTAGAACAGCTTTATCTTTCCTCTTATTGATCACTGCTGGTGCCAGTCTTTCATATTTAGTTTGGTTATCAACAACATTAGTTAACATTGCTGACTCTGATTATGTGTATAGTGGTCTTGTCACAGTCCTGTGGACATATGTATTACCCATTGATGCTGGCTCCGTTCGTGTGTATAATGGTTTTGTCATGGTCCTGTGGGCGTCAGTATTACTATTGACGCTGGCTCCAATGGCGTGTAGTGGTCTTGTCATGGTCCTGTGGGCATCAGTATTACCCATTGATGCTAGCTCCAACAGTGTGTGGTGGTCTTTTCACGGTCCTGTGGGCATCAGTATTACCCAATGATGCTGGCTCCTTTGGTGTATAGTGGTCTTTTCACGGTCCTGTGGGCATCAGTATTACCCATTGATGCTGGCTCCAGCAGTGTATAGTGGTCTTTTCACGGTCCTGTGGGCATCAGAATTACCCATTGATGCTTGCTCCAACAGTGTGTAGTGGTCTTTTCACGGTCCTGTGGGCATCAGAATTACCCATTGATGCTTGCTGCAATGGTGTATAGTGGTCTTGTTATGGTCCTGTGGGCATCAGTATTACCCAATGGTGCTGGCTCCTTTGGTTTATAGTGGTCTTTTCACGGTCCTGTGGTCATCAGTATTACCCAATGATGCTGGCTCCTTTGGTGTATAGTGGTCTTTTCACGGTCCTGTGGGCATCAGTATTACCCAATGGTGCTGGCTCCTTTGGTGTATAGTGTTCTTTTCACGGTCCTGTGGGCATCAGTATTACCCAATGATGCTGGCTCCTTTGGTGTATAGTGGTCTTTTCACGGTCCTGTGGGCATCAGTATTACCCAATGATGCTGGCTCCTTTGGTGTATAGTGGTCTTTTCACGGTCCTGTGGGCATCAGTATTACCCATTGTTGCTGGCTTCAGCAGTGTATAGTGGTCTTTTCACGGTCCTGTGGGCATCAGAATTACCCATTGATGCTTGCTCCAACAGTGTGTAGTGGTCTTTTCACGGTCCTGTGGGCATCAGAATTACCCATTGATGCTGGCTGCAATTGTGTATAGTGGTCTTGTTATGGTCCTGTGGGCATCAGTATTACCCAATGGTGCTGGCTCCTTTGGTTTATAGTGGTCTTTTCACGGTCCTGTGGTCATCAGTATTACCCAATGATGCTGGCTCCTTTGGTGTATAGTGGTCTTTTCACGGTCCTGTGGGCATCAGAATTACCCATTGATGCTGGCTGCAATTGTGTATAGTGGTCTTGTTATGGTCCTGTGGGCATCAGTATTACCCAATGGTGCTGGCTCCTTTGGTTTATAGTGGTCTTTTCACGGTCCTGTGGTCATCAGTATTACCCAATGATGCTGGCTCCTTTGGTGTATAGTGGTCTTTTCACGGTCCTGTGGGCATCAGTATTACCCAATGATGCTGGCTCCTTTGGTGTATAGTGGTCTTTTCACAGTCCTGTGGGCATCAGTATTACCCAATGATGCTGGCTCCTTTGGTGTATAGTGGTCTTTTCACGGTCCTGTGGTCATCAGTATTACCCAATGATGCTGGCTCCTTTGGTGTATAGTGGTCTTTTCACGGTCCTGTGGGCATCAGTATTACCCAATGATGCTGGCTCCTTTGGTGTATAGTGGTCTTTTCACGGTCCTGTGGGCATCAGTATTACCCAATGATGCTGGCTCCTTTGGTGTATAGTGGTCTTTTCACGGTCCTGTGGGCATCAGTATTACCCAATGATGCTGGCTCCTTCGGTGTATAGTGGTCTTTTCACGGTCCTGTGGGCATCAGTATTACCTAATGATGCTGGCTCTTTTGGTGTATAGTGGTCTTTTCACGGTCCTGTGGGCATCAGTATTACCCAATGATGCTGGCTCCTTTGGTGTATAGTGGCCTTTTCACGGTCCTGTGGGCGTCAGTATTACCCATTTGTGTGTAGTGGACTGTTACAGTCCTGTGGGCATCAGTATTACCCATTTGTGTGTAGTGGGCTGTTACAGTCCTGTGGGCATCAGTATTACCCATTTGTGTGTAGTGGGCTGTTACAGTCCTGTGGTCATTAGTATTACCTGTTGGTGCTCAATGAGTTCATTAATGTGTGATGGGACTGTCATGATCTTGTGGATGTCAACATTCCAGAGCTCTGAAAAACTGCAAATTGTTTTAACTGCATTTTTATTTGAACTTTGATTATTAAACTGAATAAATTATGGAGTCAAATATATGTCGATATATATATTACACCCTGCTGCGCCACATCCACCTGTACAGTGTTGAAATCATTACCATCATCATAATCGTTATTTATTACTGTTTGCTAAACTCCTGCACACCCTTTCACACCTGCTGATGCACATACACCTACAACCAGGTAACAGTTGTTTTGTTTTTTTCACATCATATTGAAATGTTTATACATTCTGTTAATATACCGGTATTATTGATGGCTGTAAATGCAAATAGTGATGTATATAACATGTGTTGTATAAATCTGTGATGCAAATCAAGTACAACTATCAGAATAATAAAAACTATAAATGATACAAATTTCACATTGGGTTGATTTGTTGCCTTTCATTCAACCAAGTTCTGCTTTCTTTATGTGATTTACAGGATTCTAGGTCAATTGTACTGTACTAATTACTGATGCCAATTGCTGGTATGTGTTGTATGAGAGGTCAACAACTTACACCTACACCCTGTCAGGTTTACAGATTCCTGCTAACGTGGATTGTCAGGGGTAATTGAGTTACACTGTTGGTATTTACTGTACTGATAGTAGTACTGATGGTATAGAGCATCTGGCTTGTAGTATTGGGGGGTTGGGGTACTCCTCTTATATGGTGTCACCATCCTGCTGTGCCTGAAACTGTGGGGGGTAAGATGATCCCAGGTACTAAAAGTGTTGTGAGCAAAGTGTCTGCTAGACCAGATAGCACATACACTGCAGATTTTCTTTTGATATTTTGTCTATCCTAATAAACCTTTTGAAGATAACTTAATTAAAGACACCTTTTACAGGTCACAATTTTTAAATATTTTGGATAATACAGTAGAAACTGTCTATACAGGTCAATCAAAGAGCAGAGAAACATAGTACATTATATGGTAACAGTTACTGCTGCTGGAGTGGGGTTTCTGATTGATTTCTATCATAACCTTGACTTTTTTGTCCGAAGAGTAACTGATAGATTTCAACGACTTGGTTTGCTAAAGTGGGGTATTTGATGTTTTTTTTAAACATGCTTTTAATTATTATGGTCATTTGTGAATTCAACATTCAAAGTATGCATTTCAAAATGATTTGGTGTAAAAAGAACCTGTACATTGGGATAGAATCTCTATTATTTGTTTTCAAGCTTAATCTAATTCACAAGTCAAAGATTTATTTTCAAGTGGCCATTACTGGATACATTTAAATCCAAAACTTAAATACATGATCTGACTTTAGCACTAAGGAAGTTTTTTTATGCCTTCGGCCATGAAATGGTGTAGCATATGGTATTTACATTTGTTTAAAAAGAAAATATTTCTTACAGCTTGCCTCAGTCCATTTCCTTTTTATTATGTTTAAGCATTTTATAGTACTGTAATTTGTCACCAGTACCAATGTTTCAAGCAAATTCACAAATCAAGTTAGGACTTGAACTGTACGGTCAATTTTCTAACCTTTACAATGTAGTTTCTCTCAGTAGATCTGCCAAACTATAGTACACCTGACAAGTCGTTTGATACCACAAACAGCTACATATGTATATATCTGTATCTAGGTCACTATTATTGAATATAATAAGAGTAGCTTAATTCTTGTCCTTATACACAGTGTAATCTCACTTCATTACATGTCAAAGTCCCCTCTGAAGAGTGAGGGTTGGGGGGAGGGATAGGGGCAGGTTGGAAGAGTATCTGCTTAGTTGTGGTGACCAAGCTAGATGAGCATCTGACTTGGCAACTGCAAGTTAATATCCGACGTGTGTGGTTTGATCCCAAAGAGATGGTTGGTGTTTCTCTAGAATTTGAGATTGCTTACCGTGCTGTCATGGTTGAGTCCTTTGTCCAATGTACTGTAATTGCTAAGCATGTGGTGGGCCTCCCACATCATTGTTTCCTGAAGTAGCAACCAGCTATCACAATTAGTCAGCACCCCTTGTCAAAATAACCCTGGTTGTTTACAGGCCAAATAACTTGTTTTTCAATGCCCATGGCTGTAAATGAAAACAACTTGACTATTGAGAATTCCCATGGTTTTGTCTGTTGTCATTATTTGTGGGAAGCTGTGTCACTCAATGGTCTTGATACTTGCACACAAAGTATTGATTAGTGGTATTGAATGTTGAAAGATTACCTAACTTCTAGTATTAAGCACTACATCAATAATTCAACCAACAGGCCTTAAAATCATTACTGTTGAAATATAACACTAACTACTGACCTAATCATAGTCCTTACAGTAATGTTAGAACTTGAATTTGGCTTGATCATCAAACCGTTTGGATTATTTACTTGTCATAAGATATTATGTAGCCAGTCATTGGCCTAATTGTAGCCTTCTTACCCTTAATCATGTCGTCGATAGATCCACACTTCATTCTTAAAAACAGTTCTGGTTAGTAATTTCAAAATTTAAATGCTATTATTTATATACATTGAATTAGTATTTGGGTATTCTTGGGTGTTTTAAGGATATTATTGTAAAAATGAGTTATAATTCATTAACTTCATTATTCATTATTCAAAATGTCAGTAATTGTCTGATCAAATTAAAGCCACTACTGCCACATTTCCTGTCATCCTTGCTTAACCAACTTTATCACAATAGTATATATGTAACACCAGTCGCCGTTGTACCTAATTAGTTGTTATGAAGGTATTAATAGCTGTATGATGACTTAAATGTTTTTTTTGTCTGTCTACAGCTGTGAAGAACGACTTGGTGTCCTGAGAAGACCTGACACATTACATTCCCTTCTGCCAAACTTACAGCAATATCTAATGAACCAGTGAAGATGGAAAGCAATGGCCATATGGTTAATGGTGTTGGTGAGGGTGTTGAAGAAAACGTAGACCTAGTTTTTGAGGATGAAAATAAAGAAACTAGGTGGTCATCCCTAAATAAGCTGCGAAAGGCTCGCCAACTTTGTGACCAAATTCTGGTGATTGGTGCACATGAGATTGCAGTTCATAGGGCAGTGTTAGCCACAGCAAGTGGCTACCTTTTTGACTTGTTCCTGAAGCTTGAGGAGGAAGGCCCAACACCACAAAATGGCATGTGTACATATAAACTTAAGGACATTGACTATGATAGCTTTATTTATTTACTGGACTACGCATACACATCCAGGTAAGATTACAATACAAGATGACATTAAAAGGTTACTGATTTTTGGTGAAAATGTCATTATCTTCAATCAAGTGTTAGTTACAGACCACAAAAACCATCAAAGTTTACTACACTCTCGTTGCAAAACAACCCCCTCTCTTAATTCAATCATTCCCGTTTCTTAATCTAAGTTACAGCACAGTAAAATCAAACTTCTTAAATAATTACCAATTCCAAAATGTATTTAAAAAAAATAATTGCTTTTAGAAAAAATTAATTTGTGTCACCAAATGGAGAAATGACTTTTAAGCATGGAAAATTATATTTTGATTTTGAAGTACTTTGATATCTTTTGTCAGATTGATATATCTCTTCAGTACCTTTCAAATTTCAATTATGTTTACAAAAACGTAATGAAAACCTCTGAGATTTCCTTCAGACCTGTATATTATCCTTCCATTGTTAAATGATGTACTATACTTGATTCTGTGCATTTCAGTGCCAGGTATATTTTTTTTGGTCAATAACAAACTAAACTGTGATGATTGGAGCCTTAACATCTGATCTCATATGCAAAGTCTCTACAGGCTGGTGATATTTAATCTTGCTGAGTTGAAGTCTGCTGTACCTTTAAACAAATAATGACCTTGACCTAATTTCATGACCACATGGGTCAAATTATTTGCGAATAGATGATTAGAAAGCGTTTCCTTCTGAAATGAAATATATATATTTTTTTCTCCTCTCAAATTATTTTTGAATGATTTTTCATAACAATACATGCCAGTATACAAAAACACTTACACCAACACACTTGTTCCAACTTGCACATGGTGCATTATTGTAATAGAATACCAATTGTCGATTTCATCCCCCTCAAAATATCAGCTCTTGTAAACTACATAATTTATCTATACAACAATCATCATCATCATCTTAGTTGTCAGTTTTAATCTGAGGTATAAATGATCATGTACAGACATTCATGTCCTTCCCTCATCACATCCAGATCATCATTATCAAATTCATCATATTTATTCAGTGCCTTCTAAATTGTCAATGTAAATTTCCTGTATGAAATGTGTTTATTAAATCTTTGAAACTTCCATGAGTAAAATTAGTTTAAAACGTAAAAAAGTAGCATTTAGCTAAGGTTCCAGTGTGTTAGATACACACATGTATCAAAATTAGTTTAGATAAATTTCATTTTGATTCACTTCGAAAGTGTGTACAAAAAACAAAGTGGGTGATGCAGGACCTTTAAACATCTTATTATTCTGAAACAGGCCTATAGTGATACAAGGAGAGAATGATATGATTACAACATATCTGTGTCAATATTTAGGAAATCTATTAAGATTAATGAGAAATTTTCTCAATGTTAACCCTCGAATGTTAGTTCTAGCCATGGATGCTACAGGCTTCTCAGCTTCCACAAAGTGATTATGGAATGTAGCCTCCAGTAGCTGGGCTTCTACTGGCCTTAATGGTTAATGAAACCAACGGGATACGTTTGCCTCTATTAAAAACAGGCACAGTAACGGAGACTCTTAGATTCCCAGCCCAATTACTGCTACAGTGTTATAGGTTGTAATTATCATCTGAAGATTGCCATTAGTCTTGCTTACAAGGGGGTACAGCAGTTCTAGCATTATATATAAGATGTTTTGACCTGGATGTAGTAAATTTATAGCCAGGTACCATACTGGTGTTTTCTAATCAGCCTATGATGTTGATGTGCTGATTCGGAATCTGGTGGTGATTACACTGTATAATGAAGTAAATATTGGTAACGTAAAATCAATAGCCAAATATTGCAGGCTTTTTCAAAGGTTTGTTGTTAAAATCAATCAATGATATCATAATTATCCACACTTTATAGAAGAGCTGTAGTGGTGTTGATTTTTCTTAAGCAATGCCTTTACATTCAGTATTCAGTTAAAGAGAAAAAAATGCTTTAATGACAATAGAATATTATTGTCATTCTTCTGTTTTACAAATCTTGGGTGGAAAATAAAATATTTAAAACAGGATAGAGAAGGAGAGGGATTTCACTCAACTGCCAATCAGACCTATTGTCAAACACTTGGTTGAAGATGAATGGCAGTTGTAAATGGCATAAAATCACAAAGTTATAGTAATTAGAAAATTATCTTGATACATAGGTTGTCTACCTTTTGTAAAGTTCTCTGAGCCAAATATATACAGAGCACAGAATCTTTAGAATAGCGAAAGGTCATTAGTTCAATTCGACACATAAAGCATTGATATACAGAAAGATTGAAATTGAAAAGACATCAAACAGAGGGTGGGGGGGTTAGGGTATGGACAAAAACTGAATATCTTTTTCTTTTATTGTTTGTTCTATTCATTTTAGGTTTAGTTTATTTTAATATTGAAACAAGTATTATATCAGAAAAGTGCTAATCTTGATCTCCTTGGCAAAAATATTTTTTAGGGTAAAAATGCCACATTTGATTAAATTCTGAGAAAGTAAGAATAGGAATTATTCTTATTTCATGTTTTACGATGCATCAATATCTAAGCATGACAAGAACATATCTGGTGTTTACAAACCATTCATTAAGGTTAACTTTGAAATTTGGTGTTTTGAAGGGGAGGCAGCCATAAGTTTTAGAGTATTTTGCATTTTGCTTAAAAAATGTAATTCAAACAATGTAGGACAAGAGAGACATACATAATATATGTATAATTATGAGTAATTCTTGTTTACCATCATAACTTTGCTTTCAAAACAAAATTCACAAAATTACATGTATACTTCATGAAGACATGTTGAGGGGTGAATGGGTGAATATAGTTGATGATTATGGATGGCCTGCGACTGATGGAATGTAGATTGAATTCTCTAAAAATCTTGCGACATTAGGGTTGTTGGAGATGGGTTAAAATTAGATCAATTTTGAAGCAATATCCTGAGAGCTTGATGTTATTTAGAATGAAAGGAGGAAGAAGTTCTTATTAATATGATTTGATATTGATTGATATCTGCTATTATTTCAGACTTGAAGTTCCTGGAGAGCATGTGCGATCTGTGTATCGGGCAGCCATCCAACTGAAAATGCCAGATGCGGCCCGTGCCTGCTCGAAATTCTTGGCTGCTAATATGTCATCTGCAAATTGTATAGGTATTCTGCTGTCAGTGACAATACTGACATCTTGTTTCCTTCATCCCAACTACCCTTATCATCCCTCTCCCCAACATTTCCCTCCCTGTTCCTCACACGGGCTGCTAGCCTGTTGGGGCCAGGTTGGGAAGCAAAGGGGGACACCTTACAATCCAGGTTCTACGGCTGAGTGACCTCCCTTGCTTTCTTATGATAGCAAGTTGTACAGAGCTGTGTTCTTTTGCCATCCATGACAAAGGACAATGAAGCTGGATTCTGTCCACCCTATAAGCTGCTTATAAATAAATGGTAAGGATAACATCACAAAACAGTACTTAAATCATTGTCACATTTTTTTCTGTTTTAAATAACAGATATTAAAAGAATTTAAATTTAATTTATATTAATCTATGATTTGAAATTCTTTTATTTTCATTCAAACTGAAAATTGAAAATACTGCACATAATTAGAAATATCTTCACCTAATAGAGATTTTACGAAAAAGGTAAGGTCTTAAGTTAGATTTTATTCTATCTTTTTTATATTTCTTAGTAATATTTCTTTGATGACTATTTTTTAAAATTTTTGATTGCTGTTACACACTTTCAAGTTGTAAACATCTTTTTTTATAGTTAAAAGCAAAAACCAGATTTCATTAAGCTTAAAATTATTTCAACTATTTATAACCCGAAAGAAAACTTTGCCAATTGCACAGTGATGTAAACTTCCCTTAGAAACCCCATCTGAGCTAATCCCTGCTATGAACATGTTATATGACAACGATTTACTTTCAGATAGACATAAAAGAGACGACTGTGTGCTGGTATGACACTCTGATAACACACACACACACTTGTGTGTAAAAAAAAAAATATGAAACAATTTCATTCTGAGGCCCTCTTCTTTTGTTTGAAATTCCAGCAATTCCTCAATATGAGCTCATATTTGTTATTCATTAAATTATTTTTCAAACTATTCAAAATTCTTAGATGCAAGTTTGCATCACAGTGTTTGGAAGACCAGCAATATTGAGGCTTAGTTAAGGTGTTGTGTGGAAAATGTAACATAGAAAAGGGCCTCTTTAAGAAACCCAAGTGATACCTACAATACATTGGTCTATAGAGATTGCAGCATCCCAGACCTGTGTAGATTGACCTCTACTAGGGAAGGGTGTCACTCCTCCTTTGTGTTGTCATGATGTAGGCTATTTTGTGTGTGATTTTTTTTATATACATTTACTTCAAAGTTATCAATTAAAGAAAAAAAAGTTGAAATGTATACAATGTAATAATTATAGAATAAATTTAGTGAGATGATTTAGATTTTAAAGTTTTCTCATTATCTGATATATAGATAAGGATCATATATGGTTTTATAATTAAAATTATATGAAAATGAACAGATGTTTTATATATTTTGTACATGTTGTATAAGTTTTCAACAAATGCAAATTATCATCTTCCATACTTTGAGTAAAATATCGTGAGTGTCAAGAGATATGAACATCACTGTATATTAACACTTTCATTGAAATTTTATAACTGTTTAATAATTGAAAAAGGCAAATATGTTATCACTGTTTTAAGTCTGTTTATGCTTATTTCCATATGTAAAATTACTAAGTTTTCTACAAATCTTTACACAGGTATTCGAAAAATCGCTAAAGAGGCAGAGCTGAAACAGACAGCTGATGATTTTATAAGAAACAATATCAATGAGGTGACTGCCAATAAACACTTCTACGGCTTACCTAGGGTGCCTGTCGTTATCATAGGTAAGTTGTAACTAAGGTACCTGTCATTAACAATGGAAAGTTGTTATTAGGATACCTGATTTATCATATGAAGGTTGTAAATATGGTACTTGGCCCTATCAAGTAATATGTTGCTATGGTACCTGTCATTATCTTGGGTAAGTTGTTGCTATGGTACCAGTTGTTATCATAGGTAAGTTGTTGTTAGGGTGCCATTGTTATCATAGGGGAGTTATCTCTGCAGTGGTGGCAATTGTGATTAAATTTGTCATTACTAGGCTGAAAGTTACCTATAGTGAATCACTACAAGGTTGAAGGTCACCACTGGTAAATCATTACAAGGAAGAAAGTTACCAAAGGTGAATCGTTACAAGGAGGGAGGTCTCCATTGGTAAAATTACCATTAGTAGGCCTATACTAGGGGAAGGTTGCCATTGGTAGGCCTATACTAGGGGAAGGTTGCCAATGGTAGGCCTATACTAGGGGAAGGTTGCCATTGGTAGGTCAATACTAGAATGAAGGTCACCTTTGGTGGATCTGTACCTGTGGAAGGTTGGCATTGTTAGGTCTATACTAGAATGAATCTTATTGTCATAGGTACATCATTCTTAGTTATTTGGTCACTTAATGTCAGTTTACATTCACAGAGGGTCAGACAGATTGGTAAAGGGAGAGGTGAAGTCAAGAGCCCAAAAGCTTCAATGACTTTCTATAATTTGGAAGTCACATTGTATCTAACAATCACTGTAACATTTTTTTTTTCATTAAGGAATTTCTGAATGGATAACAGTTTAGTAGTTGTGAAAAAAAATTTGCGCTTGATTATACAAAGTCAATGACAGAAAAAGTGAAAAATCAACAACCAAAAGCTTTATATCTTCAAATTTGAGGAATAAATCAGCTACATCATATATTTGCTATTTGATTTCAATGAAAGAGGATTTACATAGGAGCTGCCAGCTGCTGCCCAACTTCCGCTTATTCAAATTAATTCAAAATCTATGAAATAAAAATTTCAATGGTCAGTATAATGATTTCTCTATGAAATGACAATTTTATTTACCAGGTGCCGATCCTGAGCTGGTAGAGTCAAGTGATGACAGACACATGTTTAATTTGGTGCTAAGCTGGGCTAAGGAAAATATAGACCAGGAACATCCCCATCTGGAATACCTCACAGAACAGGTAGTCTTCATGTGACTAATCCCAAGAACGCTGTGCAAATGATACAAATTTAGAAATAGATTCAGTAACAATATACCCACTCAATTTAGAATTAGATGTAGCAGAGCCAAATAATGAATTAAACTACATTTTACAACTATTATTAATGCAAAGGGTCTAAATTGTTGAAACCAAGAAAGTTACTCAGGAAAAACCATATTAGTTGGAGTAAATGTTAAAAACCTGATGGGATGATGCATTGATCCCGTATTTCAATAAATGTTTATTTTTGATATGGAAATGTCTAAAGAACATGATGTATATGTGTTATATTCGTTATCACTATTTGAATGAAATAAAATGTGGCATGAAGTTTACAGAAGTACAGATTATACATTGCGCTGTTCAGATAAAACTGAAGAATTTCTGAAGTTGGCTTTGGATGTTTTCTGTTTTTATTGCAGGGATTTAGTGATGTTAGTTATATGTGTATTTTTTTATATGTAGTTGGGATCTGTTTGTAACATCTATCAAATGTCCATGTTTCAGACAAACATACTGTACCTGAACTCTGACAACACACTGACAGACACAAAAGACATCTCAGATGACCGCAGAAAAGATGATTTGGTACGAGTTTACACACAGAAAACCAAAAACAGAAAGGTAAGTTATATTATCAGGGTTAAAGCTCCTCAATAAGCTCATCCATAGAGCATCACTGCTAATTTTCTTTTGTTGGAGTTATTTTTTGACAAACTTTGTACAAATTGCGCTTATCATGATTGACTTCTGATTTTTTACATTCCTTTTATAAACACTGTACAGTCACATACATAATAGGTGTGTTACTCATTCAGTTTATGTTTTGGTGTCTGTCTTAATAGTTTAGAAAATCAAAACATGAACAATGAGGCAGTTTTGTTCCACAGAGTTCTTGGCTTTAGAAGGAAGGGGAGATAACCCCAATATTTTTGTAATGTTTAGGTAAGGGTGTTGATGCTTAGCTTTGTCTGTCATTAGAACTACTGCATTTGGAGTTTCCTACATGCATATACTTGCTGAGTGTTGATTCTATGTGTTAATTTAGTGAACATTTTTTTTATTAGGTCATCTGACCCGAAGGGTCCGATGACCTATAGTCATCATGCTTCGTCCGTCGTCGTCCGCCGTGCGCCGTCCGTAAACTTTTCATTCAAACGACTTCTTCTCAATAATTGGAAGGCCCAGGCAACTAATATTTGGCCTGTAGCTTGCTTTGATGAAGCCCTACCAAGTTTGTTAAAAAGAATGACCTTGACCTTCATTCAAGGTCACAGGGGTCAAATGTCTTAAAATCTTCAAACGACTTCTTCTCAATAACTGGAGGGCCCAGGCAACTAATATTTAGCCTGTAGCTTGCTTTGATGAAACCCTACCAAGTTTGTTCAAATGAATGACCTTGACCTTCATTCAAGGTCACAGGGGTCAAATGTCTTTAAATCTTCAAAGGACTTCTTCTCAGTAATCAAAAGGCCCAGGCAACTAAAATAAGGCCTGTAGCATGCTGGGATGAAGGACTACCAAGTTTGTTCAAATGAATGACCTTGACCCACTTTAAAGGTCACAGGGGTCAAATATGTTAAAATCTTTAAACAACTTCTTCTCAATAACCAAAAGGCTCAGATTGCTGATATTGTGCCTGTGGCATGCTGGGATGAAGGGCTATCAAGTTTGTTTAAATGAATGACCTTGAACAACTTTCAAGGTCACAGGGGTCAAATATGTCAAAATCTTTAAATAACTTTTTCTCAAATACTAGAAGGCCTAGGGGGCTAATACTTGGCCCATAGCATGCTGGCATGGAGCCCTACAAAGTTTGTTCAAATGAATGACCTTGGCCCACTTTCAAGGTCACAGGGGTCAAATATGTTAAAATATACAAAGGACTTCATCTCAATAAGCAAAAGTCTATGAGTGCCGATATTGGGTCTGTAGCATGCTGGGAGGAAAGGCTACCAAGTTTATTCAAATGAATGACCTCAACCCACTTTCAAGGTCACAGGGGTCAAATATGTTAAAATATACAAACGACTTCTTCTCAACAAGCAAAAGTCCATGAGTGCTGATATTGGGCCTGTAATATGCTTGGAGGAGAGGCTACCAAGTTTATTCAAATGAATGACCTCAACCCACTTTCTAGGTTTGGCTTGCTTTTTGTCAGATGACCGTTAAGGCCCATGGGCCTCTTGTTATGAAAAACCCATATTGCTTAGTTTACAGGTTAAATGTTTAAGATTAAATGAATAGTTTTATTAGTAAATACCTGATTTGAAAATGTCTGTACTAGGTAGCTGTTAAGTATCTTAGGAACCTATGTTAGAACTATGGTGATTTCTCTGATATCATCAATTTAAAACATGTCTCTTATATTTTCTCAGTACTTTATAGTATGACTTCCATTTCTACTGTTGATGACACTTAGCTTGTGTAAAATATAGCATGTTCTTGATACAGAGGTCGATCATGTGGATTACAATGGTGTGACTAACCAGCTTAAGTTAATATTGCAAAAATGGCCATGTGTATAGGCAGGGCTTTAGTGTTATTTCTACATAAGGACTGGCATCCTTCGGTAATGAAAATAATGTTTCATTGTGGTTATGACAGAAGCTTATTACTTTTCAGAATATAACCCCAAGTAAAGAGACAGGGAAAAATATTCAAGTTAGTCCAGGAGGTACCGTAGTTCGCAAGTTTAGCATTCATCCTGACGGACTTGTTACTGAAAAAGAATGGAGTATTATAGCAACATATCAACTCAAGGGTAAGTTACCATAGCAATGTATCAACACAAGGGTAAGTTACCATATCAACATATCAACTCAAATGTAGGTCACAAATCAAATCAAATGTTGGTTATATTAACAAGATCCAAACAAAGGAAACGCCATTTCCTTATTATGCAATAAGAATACTGTCATTATAGGTTCATATCTTTTCCAAACTTCTTACTGCAGCAACATGTCAAGCAAAGGTTTCAATACCATAGCACCATAAAAACTCCAAGCAACCAAGCAACCAAGCAACCTTATTTTTTTATGCCTACGCCATTGAAAATGGGGAGGGGCATATCGTGGCTATTTCTACCACGGTTACGACTCTTTCTTGAACTTAAAACATGAAAAATTTAGTTTCCATCATAACTTTAGAATGTCTCAATTGAATTAAATAATATTTTGCATGTATGTAACAATTTGAAAAATATTGGTCACTAATAAAAATCTGTTAAGTTTGAATTTGAACTAATTTCACTACAGGTTTATTTTTACAGAGTTATGCCCCTTGCACGTAACACATTTTAAGTAACTTATAGCTTCTACTTATTATCTCTGTCAAACTTTTGAATTGATATTTGGTATATACATTTATTATGGAAAAAGGCAGGTCATGTTGGGTTACATGTTGGGTTTGGTTAGATGATACAATGTTTTTGATAGAGTTAGGCCCCTTGGACTTTTCGAGAAAACATGAATGCAGTAATCTTGTGACAGTAGTTATGATCTATTCCTGTTTTACCTGTGTTGTTCTCTTGCCTTTTTTACCTGTGCTGTTCTCTCACCTATTTTACTTGAAAAATTTCAAACAATTCACATTTTCAATTTTGTCCTTGCGCAGGCATTCTTCTTGTACATATCTAGTTTTATGTTTTACTTGTCAGACTCTCAGACTGAAATTGGGAGATTCCCCTAATTTTGATCCCAACAATCGGGAGGTGGGGCTGGGGAGTAAAAATTGAGAAACTCTTGACTTAAAGTTGGCAGGTATGATTTGCTGATCTGTGCTGACTAGTGGGTACATATTTATTATTAATTATCATATTGAATATTTGAATGATTTTAGTGTATGATTTTGATTGGTACTTACCTCTGGTGTTGTTTGTTCCTTTATAGACAAGACATACCTGGCCATTGCCATGTTGAATGGGACCTTGGCTACCATATCCATTCACTACCATACAGGGAAGTCCAACTCAGGAAGTGGATCAGACGAGCCAGATTCTCCCGATTCTGTGACTCCAAAACTCCCAGTCATGCCTGATAGTCTGTTTGAACGTCATGCCTCACTGACCCCTCTAGCCAACATGGGCAGTGCAAGGTGTGGCTTTGGCATTTGCGTGACTGGTGACAGGATCATTGCCTGTGGTTAGTATTGTCTTATAGTTACTACGATACATATACTTTCTTAGCTTATTTGGTAAGCCAATTTATATTCATTAATATACAACATATATCTTTCGTAGTAGACGTCAATCCATTATCAACATTCTACTTCATATTTGTTTGGTGCAACAAAGAGAAGAAAGTTAGACTTGCATGTACTTTTACATTAGCATTTATACATTAAGAAGTTCTGTTCAGACCAGTTTCCCAGATTTCAAATCTGGTAGAAGATTACAGTGTGCCACCCAGAGCAGAATAAAATAGAGATTTAAATCACTGTAGTCATTAAAGAAGAAAACATGACATTTGCATGTTTGGGTGATGTTGAGAATAGACAAGAAATCTGGTAAGAATTATTCAGATTAACGTGAAACTTGTATACATCTATAAATAAAACAGATATTTGGCTCATTCATGTAGTGATGTTGTTTTATCAGGGGGCTATGACACAGGAGAGTGTCTAATGTCAGTGGAAACTTACGATATAAAGACAAACAAATGGACGCCTTGTGCTGACATGCCAGACCCTCGAGGACGCTTTTCTATGGAACAGATCGACAATGTACTGTATGCCATTGGAGGGTCTAATGGCCATGGATCCCAAACGAAGATCCACTGCTTTGATGTAGCTACTGAGAAGTGGAAAACGCTCTGTAATACCAACAATGCAAGGGTATCACAAGGTAGCATAAGTTATAAAGAATTTTGCATACAAGTGAATGGCATCTTGCAATGCTGAATTGTGAATGAAACTCTATCGTACAGCTAAACATTTTTATTGATGGTAGGGAGAAAAACTGAAGAAATTCAGGAGAAAAAGGGATAATAAAATTAACCTCAACAATTCAAGGGGAGAACACTTACTTCATAATTCGATCAGTTTGGTGAATTTAGCATATTGATTACTGTGAAATCATAAATTTTTATTGGAATTTCATGGTGTTCCAAAAAGGTGCATTTTCCTTGGCACTTTATTTCCTCAAAAATTCTTGCTGAAAAAATGCACAAGTTTTAAAATCCATGTTAGCTTATATCTGTTTATCATGTCATGGATGTTTGTATATGTGGATTTAGAGAACCCATGAATTAAACAAAAATAAATAATCCATGAATTAAAGGATTTGATAGTAATGAAATATTCAGCATAGACAGAAATTAAGTTATGGTGTGGCACAGCAGTTTTGTGTTAAATTTTATTTACAGGAGTAATAGCAGTGAAGGACACTCTTTACTTGGTGGGTGGCTGTATGGGTCAACAGAGTTTGGCTAACTGTTTGGTGTTTAAACCACACACACAAGAATGGGCTTCATTACCACCAATGAATACACGTATGTAGAAATCAGACTGATGTAAATAAACCATACTTTGGTTAGAATATTTAGACATTTAACTGTTGTAGAACAAAATCTATTAAAAATGGTTTTTGTCTTCTCTTTGTTACTTCATTTCATTCATGGACATGAGGCTGAGAATTTTCTGTATAAACACTTTTGGACAAATTTTTTTGTGATATGACAAATCTAAGTACACTGTATAAGAAACCAGTCAAGTTTCAATTGAATTCAGCAAGCCTTTCTTAGAGATTGAAAATAAAGTAGTCGTCTGGTATTTAACATTAGTATTTACCCTTAACAGCACGTTACCAGGCCGGGGTTTGTCATCACCAGGGAGAATTGTATGCAGTTGGTGGCACAGATGGCTGGAACTGTCTGAATTCTGTAGAGATTTTCAATTTTGACACCATGACCTGGAGAAATGGGCCAAAACTTAATGTTGCCCGACGTGGTGCTGGATGTGTGTCATTTGATGGTGAGTAAAGCTATGAAGAAAGTTAATGTCTTATACAAACGTGACATATTCATGGATGAAAATTGAGGCAACTGAACAGTTTTGAAGATAACACAATATGAAATTTTCAATAATCTAGTGTATAATATTTGCTATTTTTGTCATAAGATGTGGTGAATATTGAACCAATGAATCTCAATCAAGAGAGAGCAACTTATATTTTAAGTCCCTGAATTTCAATGGCAAAGATATGATGTGGTAAAGATATTCTGATTATGATACCAAATGGAGTGTGTTGTAAATTAACCTAGTATACATATTAAATATGATAGTAAAAAGCACATGTTTTGTCAATATTAGCAAATCTCTTCTTTAAATTCATTGTTCAATATACTCTGACCTGATGGTTATTCACATCTTGTAGTGTGTCGTAGAGATGACATTGTATTTACTTTGTTTTCTCACCAGGTAAAGTTTACATTGTTGGAGGTAGTGATGGGACCCAGTCCCTAAAGTCCACTGAAGTATTTTGTCCTGAGAAGGATGCGTGGATGATGGGTCCAGGACTGAGTGTACCCAGAGCCAATGTTGCTGTTGTAATTTATACCAACCGTGTGTTCGCTGTCGGAGGATTTTCTGGAAGAACTTTTCTAGATACAATGGAATATTTGGATCCTGACAATAACGAGTGGTGCAGCTATCTCTCAGTGGAAGACTCTGGGCTGACTCAGAAACTTGGTGAACGCATGTGTTCTAAGTCTACAGCTCAGGCTAGTGGCAGTCAGGACAATGACCATGTCAGCAACAACTCTAAAGGGGACTGACTTTGAGACCAAATATATATATATATATGTATATATATATACAACATTCCAAGTTGTGTGTATATGGCTACAGAATTAACCAGTTTATTGTGAATAAGCATTTCTCTGAAATTTATGAATTTCTAGATCAGTATGAATGTACAATCCAATCCGATCTTCTTTTGAGGACTCAGTATTATCTAGATATTTTTTGCTGTATTATAAGTTAAGTTTTTGTTTTTAAAGGAAGTTTATCCCATGTCAGAATAAGTTTTTACAGGAAGTTTTTTCCATGCCAGAATACTTTACATTCTGGTAATATGTAGATAAATGTATGGATAAATATGCATGTTGACATGCCCCGCCAGTTAATGGTAGGTTTGTAATTAAACATTGATTGATTGATGGAGGTGGGATCATTCTTCTGAGCACAAAATATAAGTATGGGTCAGTATATCACCTGTCAGATATTTTGCTAGATGTGTTTTTTCTAGATCTTCATTCACAGGGTATTGGAATATCACATAAATGTTATGTTAACATTGATTTGGCATAATGTCATTCAGTGTGTTATTTGTTTGTCAGATATTTTATGTCAATACTATCCACATCCTTGTGATAAGAAGTCGCATTTGAAACAGTGTTTTTCATATCAGTGATCAATTAAAGATAGCTATTTTTCATCAAGATCATACCAGTCTTTTCAAGTAATTTCTTTTTGCTCTGTATTTATGTCACAGTTATGTGTTGTTTTGCCGCTGTAATCAGGTGTGTACTTTATATAAAGTAATTATGTTGACGATCAGTTCTCCAATGGAGTAGTGTGGTATGTAATATTCAACTCTCAGATTTTGATATTTGATGATGTAAATTTGTTCACATTTTATTATAAAGTTTACAGATTGGTGGTGGGAAGTTTTTAAACAATTCACAAATTAGTGGAATCAAAATTGGTCATAAAGACAAATTATCTGTATAATACAAAATGCACCAATATTTTACAAAATTTGAAAAATTTTACCATTTTCACATATGAAACTTCTGGATCTAAACTCTAACTTCAGCCCATTCTGTGCAATTTATTAAAACTACTTTATAACCGATCAAGAAGGGTGATAAGGATTTGCTACCTAAATGTTAGGTCCCACTACCTATGACTGTAAAAAGCTACTCCCATTCCAAGTTACTAATCATCCCTTGTTTTACCTCTCGTTCCCTAACCATACCCAACTCTTTATAATTGATTTAGGTACTGTATCCTTTTATTATTTGTTTGGCATGTGTACCCGTCTTGACTTGATTTCTACCAATTTCTTCATAGAGACTTATATTTTGTTGTAGAAATTTTTTTTTCTCCAGAAATTTTGCTTTTTTTTAACGTTGATTATTTGTACCATAATTGTTATCCACACGTTAAAAATGGTGGAAAATATCATATTTGGGAAAAAATATACATTTCTAGGATGAAATTTTCACTGTTGAGAGGTGAGGGGAAGTACATTTGAATGTGATGGAAAATTCAGTAATGTAAATAAAAGTTACGTTTTGATTTTGACTTGAAAATGAAATTAAATATTCAACAAATTTTTTTAGTTCTTTTTTAATATCTTTTCCACCATATCATACCTGTGGTGGTTGTGGTCATTTGTTTTCTATTGAAAACACCTATTGTAAATGTTTTTTGTGTTCAACAAAGTTTATTATATATTATTTTCATATCTCTCTTAGCAATAGCAAATTTGAATAAGTGTAAAACCAAAATGGTTATGATGGTGAGAAACACACCTGATTTAGATGTTCATTTATGTATAATAATAACCCAAATTATTTTGAATGCCAATCAACTGGTTACAAATCAGTATCAGATTAATTGATGAAGTGACAAATTATATATTTATAGTACATATATGATAATTAAATGGTGTTATGTGCTGGTTTTTAACATATCCAGTGTTTTAATCAGTATATGTGAACTATATATCTATGCTCTTTAAATTTGGATAGATGTAGGAAGATTCCGTAATCATAGATATTATTTATTTCATATTTGTGTGAAATCTTGTCAAAGTTCACCAGATGACTGTTGGAGAAGTGATGAACGAGTGAATTCAGCAACACAAGTTTGTCCCAGGTACTGAGGGCATCTGTCTCCATTCTAAAATGAAAAGATATTTATAAAATACTGAAAATTGTACAGAGCCAAAGTAAGAATTTGCATACCCCATTATACACATGTTTGCATTTTCTAGTGGAAATTAACCTATTAACGTTTCTGATTTATTCTTCCTGGGTGATAGATATATGGTGCTTTGTGATAATCTTGTTTTTATATTATGATAAGAATTCTCTGTAATAGTCCAAACTTTGTCAGTTATAAACAAACCTCTTTTTATAGGGTTTATAAAGAATAGACAAAGCAGGACAAACTGTTATTATAAAGGGCCAAAATTGTTTTACATAAATTTCAAATGCCTGCATATGGGAATTTGATACTTTTACATTTTAGGAAAAAATAGGTCTGAGATCGGAACAGTTTTTGGTACATGCTATATAAAAATGAAAAAAATGGTAAAGCATTGACATCTTTATATAGGAAATCTTTCAGTTCTAACAGTTAAAGTTTGGAGGATGTAAATAACGTAACTTACAAGTTTAGATGATACGTTTTCTAATAAGGGGATAAAAAAACTAATTAATTGATATTATAGTGATTTACAGTGGTATAGAAGTATATTCTGCAATCTCAAGATGAAATTGTTCATTTTGGTATGAGTAAAGTTCAATGTGTTTTGCCCAATGTCTTTTCCTAACATTTGGGTATTGTGAAATTCTTAATATGTTAAGAGTTTAAGACTTTTAGAGACTCTGAAGTTGTTATAAATTGACAATAAGGCATTGGTGAGAAGAATGTTTCCTGTATATCAATAACTTATTCCTAATATATTTTGAGTTGATAAATAAACAGTGGTCAGACAGCCAGAATCTTTTTTGGTTTACAGATTGCGGTCAAGTGTTAACCTTAAAGCACCCGCTCATGTAACATGCATTTTTGAAGCATTATTAAATCCAATAAGATATTTTGTTTGTTGTGTGTTTTCCTTTCTTTGTGATTTTTCAGTGGCATCAAACTTTTAAACTAGAGTGATAATTCATTTTCCATTGCATTACAGATCACATTATACTGTTTAGGGTATCAAGGATTTGTGAATTGTTTCATTACAAAATAAGCACGTGAGAAAACAAGAGGCCAACGGGTCATTAAGGGTCATCTGACTGTAAGGACCTATTTATGAAAGAGGTCCAATATGCCTAAAATAAATTGCCCAACTACACTACAGCTTACATAGAAGACATTGGTTGTTTTTTTTTTATGCAAACTTGAAATCATATTCTTTATACATGCACTACACAAACATCATTACTCCAGGCATATTGCTTGTTGAAAAAGAATACTACACACCCAATATCAGCACCATGGACCTTTCGGTTATTGAGAAGAAATTACTTCAAGATTTTAACAAGATTTTTACCTCTGTGAACTTGAAAGCAAGCCAAGTTCATTCATATTAATAACCTAGGTAGCCCTTCATCAGGTCATGCTACAGGCCCAATATCAGAACCCTGGGCCTTTTGGTCGTTGAGAAGTCTGTTAAAGTCTGTAAACATTTAAACGTATTCGGCCTCTGTGACCTTGAAAGTGGATCAAGGTCATTCATATTTACAAACTTGATAGCACTTCATCTCATCATGCTACAGGTCATTTATGTTAACAAGCATGCTATAGGCCTAATATTAGCAGTCTGAAATTTTGTTTTTGAGAAGAAGTCATTTGAATGGAAAGTTTACGCAAGGCGACGGACGAAACATGATGGCTATAGGTCATCCTGACCCTTCGACACCTGTAACTGATGTTAGAAGTGTAAAGCTCGAAATGCACAATTTCGGAATTTCTTCTCAACCCTTAGACATATCACTACAATTAAGATACCAGTATTTTCACTTATAATTGATAGCATAATGCCTCTGGACATATGTAAAAGCAATGACCCTGCATTATACTGAAATTCTGTAAACAAATTACATTCAGCAAAGTTAGTTTCGGACAGTTCCAACGGTTTCAACTGGGAAAGTGACCAAGCAGTGTGCTTTGTTTTCAGGAAGAAATGTGTACAGTCTGTTAACAAACAGAACCGTCGCTTTGTCGTGTACGTCATACAATAGTAGGCATTGTGGGCTGTCAACGATGTCAGAACATAGTATTTCAATTACATACTTCACCAGAACTTGTTGCAAAAAACTTGTACACATCCATGATGATTAACAAGAGACAACTGTGTATAACCACAGACTTTATCTATCCAAGTTAAAACTACATGCAACTGTTAGCAGGGCCTCACATGGGTTGATACTGTCATCTCCTTAGTATGATATTCTTAACCAAATACATTAAAGGGTTCTTGATACACATGTATATTGTACACATGTTTAAGGCAAAAGTGGTAAAAGATAACCTTTGACGATTAACGTGGACTGATGATATTTTTATCAACTAATCTGGTGTAGAATTTAATGGTGTAATGTTATGTGTATATTGAACTAAAACTATTCATGATTTTTTGTGATATCTTATACGAAAGCATATAAGACAAAAGTGACCCAGGCCCTATTTAGGGTCCCTTATTATGCCAATTCAACATAATATATCCAGACAGAGTTTATATCTATATTCAGTCTTTTCAGAAGGTTAGAAAATCTGGTTCATTTTTATAACACCTGGTTGCTGTTATGTGTTGGTTGGAAAGGTGTTTAAAGATATACGGACACAGTTTATCATTAGATATTGGGTTTAGCGATTTATTTTCAGATTGGTACTCTTGAACTCTGGGGGCACAGGTCATTCCATAACACTTTTCTAATACATGTAGTTTGTAAAGTCTGAATCAACTGGCGCCGATGGCATGATCAGCGAACCAAGATGACAACAATGTGTGTTCCAGATTAATCACTGTTGAAAACATCGCACAATCTACTTTAGAGTGAGCAGGGTTGCAAGATAACTTATGACGGAGTTGGAGTTTTTGTTCACAAAAATAAGAAAAAGATCCAAGGAACAATCCCATAGGGATCACCCCTGAGGTGGGGAGGGTAAGGGGGGGGGGGAACTAGCAATATTAATGCAAACTTGCTTCCCCTTTCCTCAAGGATGCTTCTTACCGATTTCGGTCAAAATCTGTTCTGGCATTCATGACTAGTAGTGATTATTAGTAAAAGTTAACAGATGACGGACGCCATGGCATAAGATCTTTTCTTTGGACCAGGTAAGAACTGACAATTACTTGTGAACCTAACAAGCTTATATCTGAACGTGTATGATAATGCAAGTGGCCGATTTTGAGCAAAGTCAGTTTTTAATTATTCAAACAACTGATGACAAAGATTATCTAAAGGTAATATCAAAATAATTTACTTTGATGTATATTTAAGTCCGTGTCAAAACTAAAGCTAATACATTGCGTATCGAACAAGACTACAATATAATTAACATTCTGAATAGAACGCGCCTATCATTATGACGTCAGTTTCGTTTACTTCCGGTATATTTATTGACATTGCGATTACTATTTTGATATCAATTTTGGAATATTTTGTCAAAGACATGTGATAATCGAAGTGTTATTAGCGTACGAAGTATGGCTACAGCACAATCAGCAACTGTGTCTGCCAGTGATACTATTTTGGAGCATGAACAGGTAAGCATAACCGGTTTGCAGTTAGAAGCGTTTTGAGACAGTTTTATGATTTTAGGTGAACTAAACACAGACAAGAGCTTAAGTACAAGGTATACAGATATAGAATCCAAGTTTACAGTATAGATAAATGTGGTAACTTCTTTTTGTTTATAATCTGTGTATCAATTGCTTTTGACTGTGATACATATCCTCTGCTGCTTGTTGCTAATAATATGTTGCATGTTATTTTGTTTCGTATTGTGTTATGTCGAAGTTAAGGCTCATCAGAGCTTATGTTTACTGTTTGTAATATTCGATGTGAAATAAAGTTTCTTTTCTTGTATAGATAATCGGTATACTTTTATGTGAAAGAGTTCAGTTTAAAAAGGGTAAGAGAAAATGATGTATCCGACACCTTAGTTTTTAGCAGTACAACGGTATTTTTGTGTGAAAGATCGGATAAAGTTACAAATATCTCATTCCATAAAATTGATTGATCCAATAATTGTACATTTATTTATCTACTATATTCAGCCGGTTGTAACTAAATACGACATGTATGTGGATATTGAAAAAAAACAATGTCTAATTTGGACTGTGTTTACTTAAAAAAAATCATGCCCAATGGAATACAAATTATACCAATTGCAATACTTGCTTTTGGCCGGTATTTTTAATTACCAAATCATTTTTTCAGCCACCAGATCCTCATAGTCCAACATTAAGGCTGAAGTTAAGAAAACCAAAGAATGATAATTCCAAGAAGGTGAAGTGGACCACAGAGACAGTTGATAATGAACATATGAATAAGAAAAAGTCAAAATGTGAGTGTTGGTTGATTTTTAACACGCCTTCAGTCCACTTTATACAGATTAGCCTTAGTTTTCTTTGGCTCATAGACTAGATGTCAAACAAAGAAAGTCTAACCTCAGATGTATAGTAGGAGTCTGATAAACCTGTAAAATCAGCTACTGAAATGGCCTGGCCCTTCCTTCCTCATTTTATATCATAATGTGATGCAAAATTCATGGTAATGTAATATCAATTTAGGTATCAGCAATCAAAATGTTGGGGAGACATTGTTGAAAATATATCAATACTGACTAGTGTGCATTGAATTGGTTACATTGAAGGTTGCTGTCAATATCAAAAACCTAGGATGTTTGGGGAATCGTCATCTGAGGATGAAGACGACTGTAATAGCTGTAGTGGACACAAGGACAAATGCTACCGAGCTGGGGATAACCAAGCTGGTAATATTTACTGTTATCAAAGCATACACTTCTGTAAAACTTTTATTCAGAAAGTTCTTCCAAAATAAAGATGAATGATTTAAAAGTTCATTTTCACTTAGCTGTTCAAGCATTGAAAAATAAATGACTTCACGATAATTATTACAAGAGACTTATATCAATCATGATGGTTTACAAAATTTAATCCCAAGCTTTACAAAAAATATTTGATTTACATTAGATTAAAGGTTTTTGTCAATATACCTATTATTCATCTTTCATTGTTAAAACTGATAATATTTAAACAATATTTTAAATTTCAGCTCCAGGGAATGGATCACTTGAAAGGGGAAGTTCAGAACATTGACCACCATATTAAATTCTAGTGAATGATTCTTGAACAAAGTAACCAGCTGTTTAACTGTGATGACTTTGACACGACGGTTTTCAGAAAACTGTTTACAAGATATTGAGGCATGTCTGTGATCACTGGAAAGAATGTTTCAGAGGAACTCAAATTCATATCTTGTAGGTGTTTTCAGAACCTCTGTTTCCTGACACTGTGGTTTTTAGTTACTTGTATGATTTCATGACATCCCAACATTTACTGTTGTTTGTTGAAAAAAGTCTTTGTTGATTTCTACACAATGTTTTCAGCATTAATTTTGATCAAAAGGAATCACTGTGCCAACACTAAGGTGAGAACAACATGGAGATGTTGAAAGTGTGTTGATCACGTCATATCTAGTGTTAATGTTGACATGACCATAATATCAATTGAGTTTTAAGTACTCAAATGGTAAATATGGTATTTGCTGATAGTCATTTTTCTTCCTTAATTTATTAGTGTTGCTGTTTATACTTGGCAGGTTAATCAGTATAGTGTATTCAATCCATGTAGACACTGAAGTTTCTCTGCAACAATCACAATACTGATATTCAACTAAAAAAAAAAAAGGCTTGTAAGCTTGATATAATCCATTGATGGATCTGTATACTTGTTTCGGTCTACATTTTGAATCTTCAATTGTTTCAATATTGCAAACACAAATATATTTTGAAACAGTCAGCAGTAGGCTATGTTAGATAGGAGTGATCTGTTTTACAGGAGTTTACACAGTATTCAAGGTTTTACATTATATATGTACATGATGTTTATGTTCTCAGGCCTTGTGCTATATGTAAACATGTACCTCATAATGGAAAAAAATAGTAAATTGTGAAAGTATTTAACTGTATTGTGTCATGGAATCCATGATTATATATACAGATGCTTTGTAGAATAATGTTCATAAAAAATATGAAAAAAAGTGAAATTGAAGATCTTTCTATTGAAGATTAAGATATGATTGTGACAAATAGCTGGAACATAGTATCAGAGGTAAATGTACACATCAGTATATAATATGTGTGTGTATTGTTTCAACATAATGTTTGATCTTTATATCCATGTCATCTGATATTGTTTGTCTTGTAATTTTTGCAAATGATTAAATGTTCTAGATTATTCTTGTAATTTAACTGTTTGTTTTGCATGTTTCCAAGTATGACATCATGAATCTGGTTACATCACATATTATGTAAATTCTTCCCTAATTAATGGAGCTCGTAACAAAATAGATCGTTTCAAAGTAACTTTGGCAACTTCAGTCAGGAGCCACCATCCTGTCATATTCTTTTTAATACCATTTGCCCAACATCGCTGTAAATGATAATTGGTGTAAATTACACAGTCGTTCTTGAATAGTAGGGTATCAATGGAAAAGTTGACACCTTAATGGAAGATAACTACTATCTATATGCCATTGACAAGGGGATCTTTGCCAGTTAATTAATTATATGGTAATATCAGTTAACAAGGGAAACCTACATTGAAACTGTAACGAAAGATCCTAAAGGGATCTTAGTGTCCACTGTTGTTTGATCTTTATTACCAGGTATTAACAAGGGAAACCTACATTGAAACTTTAACGAGGTCCTAACGGGATCTTGGTACCTAGTGTTGTATGATCTTTATTACCGGGTATTAATAAGGGAAACCTACATTGAAACTGTAACGAAAGATCCTAAAGGAATCTTAAGTGTCCACTGTTGTTTGATCTTTATAATGAACAAGGAAACCTACATTGAAACTTTAACAAGAGATCCTAAAGGGTTCTATGTGCCTTTTGTTGTATAATCTTTAAGCTTTATTATAAACAACAGAAACCTACAATGTTCTTGACAAGCTGGATCTCTTCCTTTTTCCAATCCATTTTTTTTTTATCAATTAATAATATATTGTATTGATAGATATGTTGCATGAGAAACAATAACAAACTAGAACTGTTAAAATCCAAGATGGCCACCTGTTAGCCTTTCTTTTTTTATCAGTCCAAAAATGGGCAATGTAAAACTATAAAAGAACCAATGGGAACCTACATATAAAATCTGAGAATGTTGTGTCTAGTACATCTATGGGAAAAAGAGATGAAAGATACTGAATACCAAAACCATAATCTAAAATTGAACATGTTGTCCATTTTTTTGCTTGAACATTATCAAAAAAGACATTTCATAACTGGGCACAAAGGGAAAACCTTCATATGAAATTTGAGAATGATCCATCCTGTACATCTGCAGAATACACTAAACTAAAACTGTCAGAAGTCAAGACGTCACATGTTGGACTTTTTTTTGGAAATTGAGCAATGAACATCTAAGGAATAGGGAGAACCTACACAATTTTTTTCTGAAATTTGAAAATGATCTATCTAGTGCTTCTCCAGAAACAGAGATTGTCAAAATCTAAAATGGCCACCTGTCAGTCATATCAAGGGGAACCTACTTGTAAACTTACAAATGGAATCTTGAATAATTCATCAACTACTCTCAAGCTGGAATAAGAATTGTTTAAGGATGAACAGACAGATGACAAAAAAACAAAGAGATGGTTGGTTAAAAATCTGCATCTAAAGTATAACTATAAGGATCAAGGGGGACCTGCGAATGAATTATAATAACAATACTTCAAGTATTTCAGCAACAGCAATAACAAATGTTTTAATTGTTAAAATCCAAGATGACAGCCTGTCAGTCACTTGTTATTTTTCAATCTAACTGAAAACTGAATGGGCATAACTTGCCAAAATCCAAGATGGCTGCGCATCTGCATTTTTATTTAATGATCAGTCTAAAAATTGAAAATAACCAAGAGGAACTTTCAATCGAAATCTCAGAAATATTCATCCAGTACTTCTCAAGAAATAGTGATAACCCGAATTGTTTAAGGAATGATGATGAACCATAAATCACAAGAAAAGTAGTAAAATCATGCAAAAAATGATTTAAAATTTATGTATTTTCAACATAGTTTATTTTCAAAATGACATGAAAATTAACAACAATTTCGGAAACAACACACCTTTACTGATATCAATCTCATAATAAGGAAAAATACATTTAATTAAGCCCAGAACAAATTCAGCAATGATTGACATAGATATACGCACCTCCCAGCACCTGATCTGTCATTACTACACTAAACAAGTATTTACCATTAATGTCACAAAGTATAACTTGTGCTCATTAAACATTTACTGGAGATCACCAAATTATATGAGATGTATAATTTGAACATTATGTTATGAATTTCAGGAAATATCTTTTTTACTCAGATTTCCCATTTCAAAAGTGATAAGTGTGTCATTTGACCCTAAATTAAAAGTTGAAAAAAGACCATCAAAACACATGTAATTAATAATCTGGGGGTAGATATGGAACAAAACATTTGAGCAGTTCATGAGATAGAGTAATTACAAAAGAGTTCCCTGTGATTGTTGACTTATGACCACAGAAATACAAATACGGTTTTCAGATACATATCTTAATTTCTTGTTAGGTCAACACATGTTATATGGCTTGCCTGACTGAAGATCATGACATCACAATACAAAATGTATTAAACTTATCCCATTTCTAATTAATTTACCTTGACAAAGGCTCTGTCAAAAGACCTGTTTGATAAATCTCTTACAATTCTCTTTATACATCAATTACATTTTAATTGTGGGGTTCATGAGATATCTTGTGCACCATCTCTTTGATTCAATTGGTCCATACCTTTGACCTTTGGAACATTACTGATGACTACTTATGAGACGTTGTGTGCTGAAGCTTTTTGCTAAAGACACAAGCACAGACTCCCTGCAAAAGCAATTACAAAATAAGCTCTCTCTTAATTAGGCTGAGAGAAAACTGCATACAATCTTGAAATGTATCAAACATCTACCATACATTCTCACCTTTTCTGAATGGCATCTAAGGTCATATGGCTTTCTAAATCCAATACACTAAGTACTTGGTATGTTTGCTGTCATTAAAGGTGAAATTCAGTACTCAACAAACATTTTCACAGTGAATCAAAATGCAAAAAAATATTTTTTCATGTTTGTATATGCAAAATGTAATACATGCAAACCAGCCTAAACATTGATAACTGCAAAACATCAGCCCTGCAAAAATTTATCAACCATAGAGGAATGCATTACAAATTGTGTGAAAACTGCAATGTCACATTTGTTAAGTAGGACAGTATATTTTGCTGACTAATGCTTTATATATATTCAATTTACTCTGTATTCACATTTGTTCTCAAACAAAATGATCGTGCCTGATGATATTTACATTGTTAATCATACCTGTAAATTTACATTGGAATTATAGTATTGCTAAATCCATCAGTGAATCTGTCATCTAATATATCTGTATCTTTCATAACATATTAAGTCTGGAATAATGTGAAGATTGCCTAACTTATTTCCTTATGTCTTAGCGAATAGAAGATTGATTAAAAAATCAGGTTTATATTTCATGTGATTTGTCACAAAAGTCTCATGTCATTTTCATGGTAATGTAACAAATAACCTAAATGTTTAAAAAAAATGAAGTAATGTAAGAAAGTAGTGGAAAATAATATTCGGATATTCCAAAATATGTTTTATTATGCAAAAAATATGTAGATATTTCACTCAAGGATTTTTCAATGGGTCAAACGTGTGACTTTCACATGTTCTGATAACTCAGATTTTGCATTCAATGGTAAATTATCTATATCCCAAACCCCATAATGATGGAAACATTTTTCTTCTTCTATCTTTCATACCTGCCTGATTATGGAAACATTTTTCTCCCACATCTTATCATAAGTTTTGGTGAAGCATGACAATTCTAATGCAATATCAAATTGAAGGTACACATACTTAAAACAAATTCATGTTCTTGAACAAAGAGTATGTAATCAAGACATGTGTTGTAGTATACCGCTCACTAAAAAAACTAGTGCAAAACTCTTAGAGAGTAAGATATTATAAAAATATCACTGATAAATCCTTTGTTAAGCACCTGAGGGGCTCTAACTGACATTAATGGATGTAAAACCTGTTAAATGAATAAATATGTTGTCAGAATAACAAAGGCTACTTAAGGTTGGTTCAAAGTCGTGCCATTGTGCAGAAAGTTGCATATGTTGGCCACCATCTCTGTATAGACGATGATACTGGAGACTAATGGAAATGTCACCATCAACACTGTGTAACATAGAAAAAGATACTTCAGGATGAGACGAAAAGAATCTTTCACCATCACCAATGTTTGATATAACAGGGACATTTCACCATAAGGATAAAACAAAAGTATCTCAGACCTGGAAAAGAAAGGACTCTCTTATCATAGCTCAAAGAAAATGTAACCTGCAATGTGTTTCACATGTGACTGACAAAATCTTACACCCTCTTTGGAATGAGATGAGGTGATCTCAACCCAAGGAGAAAGATTCTTTAGTAGGTACACATGAGGCTGGTCAAATGATTGCCAGCCCTGAGGTTTGAGAACCACCTATCACACCTTCAGGAGTGTATGATTGGTTTTTTCTTACCCTTCTGGGCTTTTATATGTGTAATATAGAATTATTGCTGTGATGTCATACTATTATCCTGACTGGGGAATCCCCCTTTTCACTATGTGTTATGACAAGGAAAGTTTACACCAGGAAAAAGGTGGATACACCTGTCCAGGATAGGACAATACAGCACCTATCATATCTGCGTATGGAAGATGGGGACACTATGAAATCCTATCAAATAACGTAAAATTTGAGTCTGAATGGATGCTTTGATTGAACTCTATGACTGCAAAATTTGTAAACAAAGTCAATATTTTGGCAAGGTACAGGTTAAGAAAAATATATGGCACGAAATGTACACCAGAACATTAAAGAGTACTTCAAAAGTTTCATGGTAAGTTTCATTCATTGTAATCATTCCTATACACTGAGGAAACTATGCCAAATGACCATGAATTGTCACCTGTGAAAATGTTTGCTGATATCTTTGTAAATATTTTGAGCACTTGTAATATTTGTGATGAATTCACAAATTTCAGTTTTCCTTATACAGGTATCTGGCTAGGTCCACAACTGGGAATCAATGGGTGTAATATATATGGCATATTTATCCCACAGTAGGCATTATGTATGTCACATAAACGGAGGCAGGAGAAATATCAGACAAGTATACATGAAGATGTGTGGAAGAAATATGTTTCATAAACCTGGACATGTACAAAAGGTTGGGGAGAAATTAAGTTTCTTATTCATACATATCAGGAAGAATTTTTGTATTTAACTATACATATAGGTTTGGGATAGTTGGTTTTGTTACACATAAAGTTGTTGGAAAAACGATATAAATCTGCAACACAATCACAATAAAATGTCACACTTGGATGCCAAAGAATGTTATATAGTATCTAATGTACAATTTATTTAACAGTTCATTGGATCTGATAAGTAACTCCAATAAAACATTTTTCTAACTATTATCTAAAAATGACAAAACTGAATTATACAAACACTTATATCATTAATCTGAGAAACTTGTACATTTCAAATGTCAGAATAAATGGATTTTAGTTTTTTTCTATCTCTGGCTTAGTATTTATAGTCTTGGGATAAGACAGAGCCTTGCAGACAAATGTATTGTGTACAAGTGTTTGCCTGCAAAGCTCTGCAGATTATTTCCTGATTAAAACTAAAATAAATAATTTAACATTTTGTAATCCTTTAAATACATGAAGAACAGCCATATCCATTTTGTTGTCTCTACATTAAAAAATTAGTGAAAACAGTTATGGATGTTAATTACTATAAGTTAGATTACAATTTCTTTCTGGTTACTTTATAATATTATTGATTGTAATATGAACTTGATTTTCAATAAAAAATTTCGACAGTTTTGCCTTTTATAATATTTTACAATATTTACAACCTTAAGAAACATATGTTTAAAAAACAGGACATACAGGTGAAAAGATATGAAATCAGTTCAAGTAAAACTGCTTAGAGGTGTGCAAGGCAGTTTTACTTAAACTGATTTCATATCTTTTCATCTGTATGTCCTGTTTTTTATACATATGTTTCTTAAGGTTGTAAAAATTGTACATTTTAATATGTCTTGACCATACGAAAGATGAGCTCTATGCTCAATATGTAATCAAGAATAAATAAAGACGATTATTATTATTATTACAGGCAAATGGCACATACACTTCATTTACTTAATGAATCTTTTCAAAATTTGCTGTAACAAAATTTTCAGTTTTATGAACAAAGTTGAATTTGAAGAACCGTGGACAACTCTACCAAGACATTTGTAAATGAAAAACATGTACATAGCAAAACGGAGGAAAAAACCTGGTCAACTTAAGGCAAACTTGAAAATCTGACTGGTTTACACAAATATACAGAAAGCATTTAGAATTTTGTTCTTCCTTCTTTCATTGATTACAAATCAAGAAAGCTTATATAAGGCTTGTGTTAGATACAAGTCACCTTCTCTGTTTGCATATGGGAATAATTTAGGCTGAATTTGATACGTTTTTTACAGAGTCCCATGACTTCTGTACGAACACAACACATGTAATCTTCATACATTTTTTAACAAGACTGATCTGTGCAAAGTGGAGACCTGTAAATAAACTGATTTCAGTAAAGTTAAAATAATGTATAAAAATGTCATATGATCAACAGCATTAATCATACAAACAGTACTCGGACAGGAATAAATTAAATAGGGTAAACTTTCAATCCCTCCTCTTTATACCAGCATTGTATAAGAACAAAACCAAGAGGCCTGTTGGGCTTGTCTCACTCACCTGGCTTATTTTACTCAAATAGATTAACTTAAACTAAAGGAAAATTATTTTAAATACTTGTGTCTATTTCTCTATTAGGTCTCATAACCCAAGAATGCTTCAGACCCCACTCCCTCAAACTTTCTTTTCATATCTAAATCTATCAGAGGATTAAACTATTAAGGGCTTCAACAGGTATTTCATCAAAGCCTTTTTATTTCAAAAGTGTTGAACAGCAACCTTTGAACTTAAACCATGACTGATGACCAAAATCTTTCCTAGTATAGACCATGGTGAAGAGATGCTAAAGTGTAATTAGGAAGTAAATTTATCCATGAGACTCATGAGACATCTTGTACACAAGATTATAACCGACGGATGCATGCACTCATGGATGTATAGACAGTGATAACTAAATACCCCTTTACATTAATGAAGGGTATAATGATACACTTGTACACAAGTTAGAGCTAGGACTGTGTGCACAGACTTGGTAAATTGTCCACCTTGACCTGGTGTTCACGTGACCTTGACCTCCACACTTTGATTGAACAATCATCGCTGACTGTGATGAGTGTCTCTGTGTCACGTGGATTAAAGGCCACTGAGTTTACAACATCCGTGTGAGGAAAGCGTGCCAGGCAAACACCATAGTGGCGATCCCATATATAACCATGTCTGTCCTCTGCTCCACTGAAAATTATATACAAAACATGATTATACAAGGAGATGAACACAAATAATTTAAAAACTAACTTGATGATAGGAACATAGATAAAGGTTTATGGAAATTTTGAATTAACATGGGTGAAAAAGTATACATATGAACAATTCATTTTCATGCAAGTTCACCGGAGTTGAATTTTTGTTTCTAACAAATGACAAGCACAAACTTTAACAAAACTGCTTTATCCCATATCTAGCATACAGATTAAAGCCTGCAGACTATTGCTTGTAGCAAGTGAGAATTTACAATGCAGAAGTTTGAACAAATCCTACTCTAAGGGGCCAAGCAGTTTTCAAAACATTGAACCTACTTGACAACAAAATCCAACCTGTCTTGATATTCCAACATCTGAACAAACTTGGTATCCCTTCATCCCATTTTGCTACAGGTCCAATATAATACCTCTGGGCCTTTTGGTTATTGAGAAAAAACTTTATGATTTTAGGTTTATTTGTCCCCTGTGACCTTGAAAGTGGTTCAAGGTCATTCATTAGAAAAAAACTTGGTAGCCCTTCATCCCATATCAGACCTCTGGGCCTTCTAGTATTGAGAAGAAGTAAAAAAAAATATCAATTGTTTATGATGGACGACACAGGATACACAACACACAACACACAACTCACAACACAAGATGCACTACACAGGAGGTTGGACAAAAGGTGACCAAAAAGGTCACCTGAGACTTTGTCATCAGATCATCAACACATATGGAATCAATAGACATCAATACATCAACAGACATCAATAGATAACAACAGACGTCAATACACATCAACAGATGTCAATAAACATCAACAGACATCAATACACATCAACAAACATCAATACATATCAACAGACATCAATACACATCAACAAACATCAATACATATCAACAGACATCAATACACATTAACAAACATCAACACATATCAACAGACATCAATACACATCAACAGACATCAATACACATCAACAGAAATCAATACACATCAACAGACATTTATAGATAACAACAGACGTCAATAGATAACGACAGACAACAATACACATCAACAAACATTTATAGATAACAACAGACATCAATAGATAATGACAGACATCAATACACATCAACAGACATCAATACACATCAACAGATGTCAATACATATCAACAGACATCAATACACATCAACAGAAATCAATACACATCAACAGACATTTATAGATAACAACAGACGTCAATTGATAACGACAGACATCAATACACATCAACAAACATTTATAGATAACAACAGACATCAATAGATAATGACAGACATCAATACACATCAACAGACATCAATACACATCAACAGATGTCAATACATATCAACAGACATCAATACACATCAACAGAAATCAATACACATCAACAGACATTTATAGATAACAACAGACGTCAATTGATAACGACAGACATCAATACACATCAACAAACATTTATAGATAACAACAGACGTCAATAGACAACAACTGATGTCAACAGACATTCCAGATGAATGTTGTTTTACTGTGAAAGTCATATGTATCAAAGGCACAAAGTCTTATTCCTCCTACCTTGCAACATAGTCTTTACAAACATCTAGGAAGATGAAGAAGCATTCATCATTTGGTGTATAGGCTTTGTGAGATCTGTGCATGGTTCCAACTTCCTTCATCTTAAGTAGATCAATGACATGGATATCTATCTCCTGGGCTATTGGTGGTGGGTACAGAGCATTCTCTATACAATAATTCTTTGGCCATGGTCGATTGTTTACATAGAGATATCTGACAACAAAGAAATTTCCTTGTTACCTTATATATACAAATATTGAATTAAAATTCAACTCTTTCTAAGCAAAAGTCATACACACATATACATGCAAGTTTCAGCCATACTTGAAGCTATGAGATTACGCATGACACAAACAGCTTCTGCATGTTAATCATAAAAGAGTCTTTTCAACATACACTAATCATTTGGTCCAATACCTGGTACGGCCAGTCCATAAATTGGAACAAAGTGATAACTGTATAGTTGTTTAATTTTGCAGGCCTAATATCTCATGGTTCAGGAGTAATAAATTACAGTGGTTAGGGACTAACTTTGTTAGACAATGGTATTCTCACAGTGAGTTGGGGACATAGCCCACATCTGGAGAAAGGGTCTTGAGGCTAGGAAGAAAATCTATGGGCAAAGAGAGAATGGCAATGATAGAATTCAGAAGACATAAACACAAGCAAGATGTACTGAATGCATTTCACAAAAAAAAGGAGGGAGGCAATGATAAAATGAAAGTAAAGGTGAAAGAAGACTTCTGTTAACTATCAGAAAAATAAAAAAAAAACTGTACTATTATCTAGAGATGACAAGGTCTATGGCATGGGTTGGACAAAGCACACACCAGATCAATCACATTGTGATCAAAGGCTGTACATTCTCTATAGCTATCATAGCGTTGAGAAAGACAGAGGGGAAAAAAAGTGCTTTCGTGTTGGTTGGAGAAATTTTCAAGACAGAGACATGACCAAGATCCAAGTACATGCAGTAATATTAACTGATATCATTGAATGTGAATGGTCTGATGAACCTTGTAACTAGTTCCTTTTCTGATTGTTTGAAACAGTGTGATGTTATTAGTGCGGCAAAACTTTTTGTAGAACAAAGGAAGAATCTGAAAATGTGCCACAGTGATCAAGGTAGAAATTCTGGAGGTATATGAATATTTATATCAGGGGACAAAAATATCCTTCTAATTTGAAAGAGTTCTTTGTCATACTCAGAATGGTATATTTTTTGTTATGAGGAAATCTGTGGAGCTACTGAACAAGGACACAATATTTAGTTTGAAGTATATTCCTCCAGCAACTCTTACTCAGTAAAGAAACTCACAGGAATTGGGTAGAATCTTTAGAATGAAAGTTCAATTAGTTATTAGTAGAGTTTTACCGACAATGATTACAATAGAATGAGGAGAGTAATATTTCACTGATTGCTTTAACTCTTCATGTACTCAAGCATCTGAGGATACATTAATAAAAGAATTGGTATTCATAAGTTGAATGGCAGGGCAGGCAATGATCACGATGGGAACTTCAGTTTTTTGTTATATGTAGCTAGGCAATTGCAAGATGAGGTGGATGAGACTGTCCAGACATTAGCCAAGATAATTTCAAATGTTGAAGAAGAATGTGGAATGCATATTAATATGTCTCTTGATGGAAGACAGGACACTAAAGCAATCACCCTGGTAGGATGACAAATGCTGAGAAATATCAGCTTATTAGCTGCTTGGCAAGTTTCAAGTATAAAACCTATATTAAGATTAAGTGCTGTACAGAAAATGTAGAAATAAGTTTTTAAAAAATCTGCAAACAGAAAACTGAGCATGAGAAAAAGAGAATTCATAGTTTACAAATTTAGGTGCATGATGAGTGAATCTGTGACTTATGGAGAAATATGAAAGCATTTAATAGAAATTCTATTAACTATAACATATCTGGTGAAAATGGTGTGAATATTTCAACAAGTGTACTACTGGGCACCAAAGAATTATATGGAAATGGTAATAATGAGTCAACATGTTTAGAGGGAATACAATAAGTTTAAATGATAGATAAGAAATGGATGGAAAACAGAATCACTGTCCAAATATTGCGGCCATCGAACTTGCTTCAGCTATCATAATAATAAACCTTACTATGAAATTTGAAGCTGATCTGTCAGAACTATGATACTCAAGTTATTGAGCAGACACCTCGTGTGTCACGCTCCCACTCATAACAATTGCGCCCCATCTTTCCATGGGCTTATAAAAAGCTAATAAATAACACAAATTTTAGTGTATATACTACTTTTAAAGAAGAAGTATGAGTTTGGTCATAGAGAACCTGTGTTCATTGAAATATTGGACATTAAGTAAGTCTTGAAGAAATCAAGATGGTCATTAGAAGAAATTAATAACATCATTAAACAAAGGAACTTCAAAATAGCAAAGCACCAGATGCAGAAGGGATTCTTAATGAGCAGTTAAAGTGTGCCAACAGGATGCTGATGCCCTACCTGCACACACTGCACAATCATATCAATAAAACCAACATGTTTCTGACAACTGATGGGAGGGAAAGGCTGTAATAAGGTATGCAATTGCATAAGAAGGGGAATATGTCTGAGACTAATAATTATAAAGGGATTTCATTACTTTCTGTACTGGGAAAAGTGTTCACTAAAATCTTAAATAATAATCTGGTAAAATGATGTGAAAGAATAAAAAGAATTTATGAAGAACAGTGTGTGTAAAAAAAGGATACAGTACCTGTGACAATATATTTGTACTGAAATCATTAGTACAGAAATATTTAAGAGAAGATTTTACTTTTTCATTTTCACAGACTATTTCAAAGCATATGACAATATACAGCAGTACTTATTAATGTTTGTCTCCTTAAAAACAGGTATAACAGGTTGTTTTGCAAGAGTCGTTGACTCCAATAGCATAAGCATGCAATTATGACCATATGTACAGTTTGAGAGTTTACTATCATTGGAGAGAGATTTGACTGTAGGGTCAGAAGGGTGTATGTTTGGTTAGTCTGATGTTGTTAACCTTGTATCTGATAAACTTAACAGAAATGCTTATGGATGAGAAACATGATGCAATATATGTAAATAAGAGAGTGTGATATACCTCATCTTAATTGTACACAGGTGAGGTGTTCGGGATATTGTAATAAGACAGCAGAAAGATATCAACGGTGTCCAAATGCTCTGTGATTGCTTAAAGGTAAATATTAGAAAAAACAAGTTGGTTGTATTTTGATGGGGTGTCATCAAAATTTTGAAAAAGAAGAAACTATATCTTTTCACTTCAAGGCTGTCATGACGCAACCCCTGTGATGATCTGTCAAAACAGGTAGCAGAGCCCATGAATATGCTCTTATGATCAAGGACTTTTCTTGTCTGATAGAATGATTGTACCAATTCTTTGTTATATTTTTGAGATCTGAGGGTATGAAGAGGTGAATTGTATAGAAAAAGTACATCTTAAGTTTTGAAGCCTCTTCTAGGCATGTCTTCCAATACAAGAATAGCTGTTTTCCTTGGTGAGTTGGGCAGATATCTACTGCACACCAAGTAAATGTACACCCTATTATATAATGAATACTGGCTAATGAAAGTATTAGGTACAATGAAACTAGGCTTCCATATGTTTGTTACATGTTACTTAAAGTTGATCAGTCAGTGTCTCATTTTTCGCCATTTACACATAGTCTATATGAAAGCAAATTTACAACCCAGACATAAAAAATTAACAAGAGGAAATAAATCTGTATTAAGCGGTTTCAGTCCTTGAATTTGGTACAATGGACATACTCTTAATATGACCAATGTATACACCACACCAAGTTTCATGATCCTAGTGTTAATAGTAACCAAGCTTAAGTCATGCTTCATACAAAAACATTTTTAACAAAGGGCAATAACTCTGTAATTAAGGGGTTGTGAGCCCTGACATTTGTACACTGCACACCATCTTAGTACGTCATGTACATCATGTTTTATCATCCTAATTTAAATGTAATCAATTTAAATACATAGACTCAAAACTTTAACAAAGGGCAATAATTTTTTAACAAAGGGTTTGCAGACTCTGAATTTGATAGACTACACATTGTGTTTGTATGACTAATGTATACATGGATTCATTATCCTTGTTTAAATGTAAGGAAATATTAAACAAAGGGCAGTAACTCTGTACCTGAGAGGATGTGGGCCCTAATTTTTTACCAGTGCACATTGATTAGTATGAGACCAACATAAACATCAAGATTCATCATTCTTATTTAACTGTGGGTAAATATATGCTACAGACATGAAAAGACAGTCAATCAATGCATGCTTACAAACCAGGTATTCAACAGGAAACTGTGAAACTTCCTGTATATATTCAGAGAAGTGATAAAGACAAAGCAGGAGAGACTATCAAGTTTTTCAAGGCTGCAAATGAAGTTGCAATCTTATCTCTTTTTTCATAACAATTATCTTTTCCTGGATAGGTAAATTCACAATTTTTCCTGATGTGAGATTTCCTTGTCCCACCCTCTGGATGATAAGACTACACATGCCCCATGCACTTTCTGGAAACAGCTTAGGTGACATCACCGATATAATCCGGAGGTGGAATTACTTTTATGAGATCACACATATATACCTAATATCATCTGCTAATGAAATCTTGTGTTATCCTCAAAAATGAAAATCCTGTGTTATCATAAAGATTGAAACTTATCTCCATCCAAAACTTACTATTCAACATATGTCTAAAATATCAAAAGTATACTTTTATTTGACATTATATTGGCATGTACACTGGAGTTATATTTTGTGTAAGATAGATCACAAAGCCTGAAGCGTCTGAGGTGCGAGTCTTGTCACTATTCATACACCATTCACATCTGTTAGTTTACACACAATACAATTGCTTCACCCTTTTTAAGGGTCAGAAAAGGGATCTCAACGCTCAGAAGAAGATTATTAAGCAGTCAAACACAAGGCTTACTTAACCTTCCTCCATGAGTTGAGATCCCCCAATCTCATCCTGAAGAGATGAAAGATTCTTATTAGTCTTCGGTGATTATATCTTTTAGTTACCATTATGAAAGGGAAAGTATTTCTGTGGCAGTGATTTGAAGTCAACTGGAATAAATACCTGTTATCTGGAGAGAAGCACATGCCAATGATATGACCATGCATGTCAATGATCTTGTCCACATTATCATTTGGTTGGTCATCCGACATCTGCTCATTTGTTTTAGGAAGTAAACACAATTTGGAGTCAGAACCCTCCACCTTTGCAAGTGACTTGATACGTTTAATACCAATCTGGTGTGGTGTGTAGGTCTCTGAACCCATTGTAAACACAAGATACTTATCCCTCATGGTGGTATACTTTTTCTCAGATGCGAGTTTGTTTTCACTCAGATTATGATCTGGCCTATCCATATCACTGTTTGCTACAACACAATACTTTGGCGAATTTCTGGCAGTAGTGGCTTCCCTTGTGGCTAAGTACTTTGTCTGTAAGGGAGAGCCATACACTGACCCATCCACATACATTCCGGAGTGACAAAAGTCCTCACAATACTCCTCTTCATCCTCTTCATCTGACAACATATCCCCTAAGCCCTGACTCTCCTCATAACAATCTGCACTGTTACCATCTTTAACACGTTTCTGGCGATCATGCTGGATACAGCTAGTTACTATAGGCAAAGTATTTGTCATCCGACTTTCACTGATACAGGTTGTTATCCTAGCACTGGTCAGTCTAGACATATCTAAACCATCAGGTTGGCTTTCTGTCATGGTACCAGAGTGTCTGTGCATAGAACTATTTTTGGATGTTGCATTGGTTCTCGAAAGTTTGTCATTATTACAAAAGAGACTTGAGTTTCCAGATTGGCTTGTTACCATAGAAATTGGTTTTGAGTCAGAACTACATTCCGCCTGTTCGGAGTCCAGGACAAACTGAATCTCGTCTTGTGCCTGACGATAGTCCTGACCATATTCAATTGTCCCATTACGCCGATCATTATTTTCATCTTCATCCAGCTGAATAAATCTGTTTTGAAATGCACCGTTTTCATAAACCTGTACACTCTGGACATTCCGAGCAGTGCCACCTGAAGCTCCCTGTACATTTTGGGTCTCCCCAAAGTCAGAATCCTCCACAATGTCATCATTTCGTAGATTACTGTCCACAAGCATGTTAGCTCCTTGTGTACACTTGGTCAAGTGATTGTCAACCACACTGTCAACACAGCTGTAGTCTGTTTCCTCTGCATAATCTGCTACCATTATAGTACGGATTGAGCTCGCGTTGACATTGTAAAAACGGTAGAGCCTCATCACCACTGACTCATGTTCCGATTCCGTTTCCTGTGAGGCCTTGTTTAGCCATAGTGTTGAACATGACTGTAACTGTCCAGTCCAGTGAAGGTTCCCAGACAACAAGTAGTGGTCATTATACCACGTCCCAAATACATCATATGGCTTGTTTATCACACGGGCTTGCAGCTCAAACTCACCTGTAAAGTTTAGTTAATCCATGTAGTGATTTATAACAATACAATAACTTTACATACACATGAACATTTATATGTATAATATTGATAACATTAAGCCTATGTATTCTATGAAGCAATCAGGAAATCATTCTATAGGTCATAGAGACGTACTGTAATACATCTCATCATTGTGACATTGCTTAAAAGTTACGGTTCTTCATCTGAACAAATGTGATGATCTCCAATCAAGCCAGAAGGTTTCAAGCAAAGTATAATCATTCAGATCATCATGTTATACACAACGAGACAATTTGGCAAATTGCAGTTCCCCTGATCAAATGTGAATTTACTTCTGAAGAATGCAGTGTAAATGAACTAAGAAGTAGTGCAGGAGATAGAGCCCAGACAAACTATTTTTAATTTGATGTAGATTATAGGTACATATAAAATGTAGGTCAGATTGACCTACTTTTGATGCTTGACAAACCACCTCATTTAAGTGATCCCAAGTCCTAAGTATGAAGTTCAAGTGACAAGTAGTGAAGAGGTAGAGCCCAGACTAACTTTTGCTCTGACGAAAGCTATGTCAAAATGTAGGTCAGAGTGACCTACTTATGATACACAACACACACCCAAAACTATAGCTAGCCTCCCCCCCCCACCCACCCTCCACACACAAACACACACACACAACATCCTGATTCTCTGTGAAGGACTAAAATTTGTTTTTTTAATATTAGATGCTGTGAATTGGAATGGCCCTTCACACACACATACAGCTACAGCATATTTTTGGGGTACATTCTACACGTGGGTTTTCACCAAGTACTGCGGTTTCCTCCCACAATAAGACCCCTCGAGCGCTTACATCCGGGCCAATAAGATAAAATTAGTTGACATAACTTGTTTCACAATTGTTGTAAAATAAATAAAGTTTATATTTTTCTAATATTAAAATCAAAATTACACTAAAACATGATTATTTTTTCAATTTTCAATGTTTTAAATCTGCTTTGTTGCTTGTTAAATGAACATAGAATATAACATAAAGGAAATAATTTGAAGGGTGACTGCTGATTACCTTTCAGACTAAACACAGCAATCTCTCCTGATGTACTGTTGGCCCCAAAATGGACCCCAGATACTAAAAGAAGTGTATCACTTTCATTAAATTGTGAAAACTGTGTGTACTTCCAGGTAAGCATCTTCATGTCCTCCTTGTATTTCAATGTAACAGGGTACAGTGCATTCCATACCTACAGTCAAAAGTCATAATTATTATATGAAACCAATTATCATAATAATGAATATACAAACTCGAAGGTCGTCATTATAATACAAAGTCAAAGATCATGATCATTATGCTAAGTTCAAGGTCATAACCATAAAACAAAGTCATACCTCATAATAACACTACAAAGTCATAATTATGACACAAAGTCGAAGGTCATAATAATACAAAACAATTTCTGCTCTCAAGGAGCTTCAGTCTTTAGAATGAAACTGGGAACAGGAACACAGGCAAACACAATGATTGTGATGAGGGGGGGTGGGGGGTTATGTCTGATGTTTTTCATTTCATACATTATGAAAATGTACTTTATTGTACTCCTACCCGTATGTAACCATCCTTTGAACATGTGGCAAACATCTTGCCATTGTGCGAGAAGCTGACATGGAGAACCTGATCACTGTGCTGTCGAATGACCTCACTCTCAATGACGGGTGTGTGATAGTATAAACGTTTGTACTCTTTTAACCAGGAAGATCTACCAGGTGCGATAGGAACAGATCTATCAATCTGCCAGTGACGGTAAAAAATAGATCTCCACAGGTATTCATCATAGCTTACTCTCAACCAACACCTGAAAAAAACAAGATTCAGCAGCTATTACTACTTTAGCTAAAATGCACGATAGAAGTTGGTGACAAAGCATGGAATTATCAGAATATCCAATTAAAGTCAATTTTCTAGCAGAGTAACTTTCTGTGATTCTAAACAGCTGATGTCTTACATCACATGAATAAAAAGACTGTGTCCATAGATGAAAAGGCCACTTAAGGTGTAAGGCCCTTCAACATGACACATTTCATGCAATAAGAAATATGACCTTGAACCAGAAGCAGAATTTGTTTACTTTACAACCTGAGTTGCCATCTTGGTTCGACATAGACCCTCAGTCAAAGCGTGCAATATATTGTTTGGGAGTCTTTGAGGAAGAAAAAAGGTGGCCTGTAGGGCTGAGATCATGTTCATATAATGCTTCCAGGTTTTATGCATGATCCTCAAGGAATGAATTGATAGTACTTTTCCTCACTTACCTGTGATTTACCTGTGATTTTTTTTAATATTTGCTGAAATGAATTGATATTAATCATTGCCCGATTGAAAATAAGGGACATTACAAGGTCTTCTTTGACTAAGCTTAAGTGAAAAAATTCCTAATTTCAACTAATTAGATTCATTATGTTGTCATAGTGTCATCATAGTAACAGTTGATACACCTGATATGTCAAATTATAGACTTTGTATACTGCAGTTACAACATTTGATTCAGATTGAATTATTGTCCTATTGTCCTACATATAGGAAAACAAGTTTAGAGTGACCAAGTTACCATGGACATGGCAACGAAAATTTTAGAGCAAAAACAAAAAGTCACTAGCACATCTATCTTTGGTCCTAGACATTCCTACGGAAAAGTTGTCGGAAAAGGATCTCTTAAAAACAGATAGACATTCAGATTGACATCCAGACAGGGTGATTACAATATACCCCTCAAACCAAATTCAGATGAAAATTTTTCAGTTCTGTACAATAACCCTCTATCAAGACCTATATAAAGTATGGACTGTAATTATCCTAAAAAAGCTCTCTCACCTAATGTAAAAAGTTTACTATTAAAGTTTGGGAAACTTGTTTGTGAACAACTTTTACATACCGGTACTCTTTAAAAATTAGTGATGCTGCAAGAAATGAAGAAGGAGGCTTATTTCTGGGCACAGACTTATTTGTAGATAAATACATCTACAACTTGAAATCAATAGTATTTTGGACTGAAATGTGAAAAGCAATTCATTCAGAGTACAATGTATACAGATATCCTGTATATGTCCTGTTCTTCAATGCCTTTTACTTTCATGTATTCAACATTATTAATCAACTTAAAAAAATTGTCCTGAACATTTACAACATGTGACATGAGTGTACTTTAATGCAGTTTCATTATATAATCAAGTCCCAACTGATATGATAACATTACAGATGTACTGTGATGGTTGCTAAAAACATCAACCTTTACCCTTTACATTATATATACCTGCATGTGATAGATGCCTTCAGAACTGATGAGGCTGGAAGATAGGAAAAGATATGAAGCAAGATGTTATCAGGTAAACACTGCCACTCAGAAAACTCGGAAGCACTGTATTTGCTGGAGGGTGGTGTGGTATCCATGGTAACAGCAATTATGTTTCCATCTTCTTAATTAGTACACTATGTAGCATCACTGCAACAAAACAAATATGAACTAGAATTGTCATCCCAGGGATAACTTTTCATATGCAAAGCCCTCCCTTATACCTCTATATACAAAATAACTAATTTGTATTCTTCCTCGAAGCAGGACATGTTACAGCAACCAATATTATCAGGTGCAAGGTCATGCAAGTCAATAGTGCATGTGATACACCTCCAAAAAATTGCCATACCAAAATGTCTGATGGTCTGGACCAATGTCCAGACAATACATTTCATTTTTTTTTTCATTCTGCCAAATATTTTTTTCCGCACTTATAAATCATATCATTCTATGGGGCTTCACTGAATGACTGCTTCTAGCAGTTAGTTGAAATTCTGCTAGTTGAATTAATCCATACTGGAAGCTGTAGTTAACACCAACTGTAAGTCTACAGGTCCAGATTGTAATTGGGGATGACGCAGCAAAAACAACCTACAGTATAACAATCTCGCCGGATACATATACATATCCATTTGGCAATAGCAGAACCAGTGAATGTGCTGTAGTTAATAAAATCCATGGCTGTAATTGGAGAGCATGCTGCAATGACAGTCATGTATGTGTGTGGACACAGAGGATGGGGCATGATTAGTTACTGGTCAATACAGTAAGAATACAGACTGAGTATAATTAGTATCCGTACATCCATATAGAAAACTGTAGATAAATGTTAAGGTATTTAGAGTACAGGCCCAGGTTGAAACTGGGGAAGGCCCAGCAAAGACAACCATACGTGCAAGATCTTATGGATATACACATAATTAATAACTTTCTTGAAGAAATGATTTAACTGATACCTTTTATAAATTATAAACCAAATGTCTGAATTTGAGGTAAAATTCACATAACTAAATTTATGGTCCTATTCATATCATATACCAAACAATCATTCTGGTAACCCGTTAATTATAGACAGTATTCATATATATATATATATATATATAAGAAAAAAATTATATACCACATGCTTATGATAATCACATATGAACATGTGACTAAAAAAACTCCATGCACATCAATATCATGTCTGGTATATACATGTGATGTAATTAGTCCAAGTCACAGATAAGTGTTGATTATGGTCCTACATTAAGTAGAGCTACCAATAGAAAATCATATGAGAATTCCAATGAATGTAACCTCTGTATAGGTGTGTATTTATATATAGATAGCTATGTTGGACAGCAGGAAGCTTGCAGGAAAACACTATTGTAAGTATTTTAGAATTTACTGGCAAAACAGGTCAATACTACAGTGATAATATCAAGGCATTGTACATAAACCAACAGTAGGAAATAAGTGACATTGTTACTGTGTCTAATCTAATTACAACCAGACATGATTATCATATCACCAGAATAACACCCATTTGATAGTGTATACTTATCAGCAGCATAAAATTTAATACAGAGACTATAAACTCGTAAAAAAACATATCTATATCTCCCACCTCCCACATTGCTCAAGTATTAACTAAAAGGACACAACTAAGGATCAAGGTGAACTAACACACATATATATGAAATTAAGAAAGATCCATCCACTTATTCTCAAAACAAGTTTGAGCAAGAATTATTTAATGGTTGACGATGGACAGATGATGGACAACAGGCCATAGATGCAGGACAATTTTAAACATTAAAAAGTGTTTTTTAAGTGACCTTTATGAAACACAAGGTGGATAGCATAAATCCAGTACAATGGATCATCCTCCTTGGGATGACCAGAAACAACAGAAAGATCTAGCTCTATAGAGGAATGAAGACAAACTATTCAGGAAACTCTGAAGTGTAAAATTTAACACTACAGCACAAATTATAACTGAAAAAAAAAAGATCTAGAAAATATGAATTCCAGAAAATGATCAGGTGCTATAGTTATTGGTCCAATATTTATTCCATAGTCCATATGTCAGACAAAACAACACCAAGTAAAAGGATTCTCTCAAAGAACAAAAATCATAAAATTTTGGTACATCAATGAGACATACCCCACTGAAGATCAACATTGATGATATCACTTATTCTGACCAAAACTCCCAAGCAGACACCTCAAACAATCAACTGAAATTATAATTGTTCAGAATACCATTCCTTTTTCAAATCAATCTCAAAACCAAATGGGCATAACTAGAGACCAAGAGGTACCACCATAAGAAATTTAAAAAAGATCTATCCAGTACTGCTATAGAAAATAGTAATAACAATCTTTCGTTGTCAATATCTATGATTGCTGTCAGTCAGTCATGCTCTTCTGATTGATCACGAAATCAAAAGGGTACAATTACAAACTTACATATGAAATTTGAAAAAGACCTATCCAGTTATTTCCAATAAATACAAAAATGGATTACATCCTCGCAGCAATTCTGTTCTTGTTGTCCAAAAATCAATCATGCATACCTATGGACCAATGAAAACCTATACATGAAGAATAGTAATAACTAGTATTGTTTACAGACCATGGACGGCGAGCAAATTGATTAGTCCACCATCTAATGACAGTCCTACACTACAAATATCCTTATAAAGTTTTGGTAAAGCAAAGAAGGAAACTATGATAATTTTCCTTTTTTCAGCTCGATATTGAACAGTAAACACATTTAAAACGTTTTCCACACCCTCTGGCTTTATCTGAATAGTGTATAACTACTAAATTTCCTTCTCCTTATCCTGTTTTCCAGGATTCTGCATTTTCAACCTAAATGATTCATTTCTGTTCCCAACTTTAAACCTGAATTCGCCTAGTGTGATCTATTTTGTTACAACAAACAAACACATATGAATGGATATCATTTTCATTTGAAATAGGTTTTACAACACATGATGGCCATTAATTTTCACCATCAAAGTGTTCCCGGTACACATGATTTCTTAAACGCAAATTCTTAGTTTTTCCCTAACATGATGATGGATGCAGACATTTTGTTTTTGTTACTGCGACACAAACGGTGTGATATCGTAAATATTCACATTACATATGTAAGCTATTGAAGTTGAACGATCATAATGTTCACTATCGTACAGAGATCAGAGTGGTTAATGGTTTAAGAACATCTACTGCGCAGGATGTCATGGACCATTGAAAGTATTACGACCGAATTTAAACAACTAACAACATTAATCAAAATATTTAAAAAATGCTCACCTTGATTTGATAACAAATGAAAGTCGGAAAATACGAACAACAGTCAAACTACCCGTTGGAGCACTGACAAGTATGGTAGCCATGTTTGACCGCCATATTTGTTTTGGTTTTATTTTCTGGGTCATACTACTCTCCTAAACGTATACCGGAATTTATTGAAAGAAAAAAGAGGAATCGACCGGATCAGGATTGTGGCTTTTATTAAAAGTATTACTAGAAGCTGTACGATGACGAATTTTGTTGGTGTTGTTGTTGAATATATTTGTTTTCTTCTTGTCAAGCCATCCGTTATGATAAGGTCCTAAAATCAGCCAACTCCATTTAGTCAGGGCATGCCATGACTTTATGCTGTTCCAAATATCCCATTTGAACCCGATGCCATTTTGCCTGTCATAATCTGGAAAGAAATAGAAATTGATGGACCGGTTTATCACTTTTTGTCACATTATAGTATCTGTAATTCATTGAACACGCCCATATGATATTTCTGTCACATGTTACAAAATTGAATGGACACAACTTGAGGATTTTGACTATCTATCCGATAATCTAATTTTAGCTCCTCGTGCCTAAGCAAAGTATAAAATCGCGGCGGGATAATCAGAGCCCTTCGGAATAATGGGGAACATGCTCATTAAGTTTAAGAAATATGCCCCTATGTTGATACATGTAGAGAGAGAGAGAGAGAAAAGGTAGCAACTTCAGATTTTGGGCATGGTTCATTAGTGTAGCTTCGGTGTAGGTACATATACCAGTCTATCGTATTTAATGTTAGTTCCATTCCATGTTAGTAAAAACTGCTGGAAACATTTCTTATCACTCAGTGCATGATACAGCTGATGACCTGTACAATATACAGTTGATATAATTAACAGATACTCCTGCACATTTAGATATTGTCAGCCCGTTTCACCTGCATCTTACACACGACATTGAACTTTTTCACGGACATGTCTACGATAGGAACCAGAGCAAACCCTGGCCTCTACAGGTATGGATAAAATGCTTGGTTGAGAGATACAGTGTTTGATTATTTGAAAATAAATAAATAAATAAATAAATAATCCACCATCCACTTCCGTATATAATAAATAGCACCATATGTAATCAGAATTGTTACACATGACCTGGTGACTTTTATCATCTAAATCACAGGTCTTTACATTTTCGTCACCATCTTTCTCAATGCCTATGTGAATTCCATTTAAGCGTTCGTATTCTTGCCGCCTTTTGTCCCTTTCTTTCTTCAGATCCTTTCTTTTCATGTAGCTATTCGGTAATGTTCTCCATTAAATTACATTTACAGTTATTTGTTTGGTTTCGAAAATAAAATGCCCACCATTATTCATTGAACATTTTATCCAAACTTTTTGTTGTTTGATGACAAACAAATGTTTGATTATACTAAATCTTGTGAATACTTTTATAGCATTTAGTAGAAATTTCGACGAATGTCTTTGCCCTGTAATAAGCCCGCTAGAAAGTTGAATTAAGATATTGAAAAACATCAAGACGTGTACATGAGAGAGGCCTAGCTCTTCATTTTCACTTTCCAAATTTAAACAACATAAACATATATTTTATTTCTACATGTATAACAACCTTGAACTTTCCATATCGCCATTACCTGAACTGGATGGTTATGATAAAGATAATTTGCCAATCTCTTTTCATATAATATTTTTCTACGCTCCTTTTTCTTTGACACTGCATGTATAGTTAGTTGAAGAATTTTACAATCACAATCTATGGAGAATTTCATATAGTTTTTAAAAAGAAAAATATCACCAACATGTGTATCTGATACCAGTTTATACTTGCTATGCGATAATGCTTAGCCTTTTTCGAGCATTTAATGTCATCGGTTATGAAAATAAAGTTAATTTTTCGCGCGAAATCGCCAACAAGATGTCATCTTTAAAAAGATATCCATATATTGCACGATGTACCGGTAGAGCGCTATTTGTAACTGTAATCACCAGAGGAAAGTATATTCAAATGAAAGAAAAAACAAGAATAGTGGAAAAAACATATCGCGGGTTGAAAAAAACAACGAAAATACGGACATGTCAGAAGACACGTAATTCGTGTTATTTAGAAGATCGTGTATTTGATGTCAGTTAAATGCATGAAAGGATATTTTTCGTTGAATTATTTCCGAACTCCCTTCGGAACAAATAGAAGTCCAGTCTAATTAAGTTCCAGTATCAATAATCCAAAAAACAACACTCACTAATGACTTGTTACATATTTGCAATTAATGAATACGCTTGCATCTTGCATACTTCATTTACACATTGTCGGCAGTGATGAAATAAGAAGCATTGAATACGGAATACCAAGCTTTGGTGCCGTTCTTCAGCATTAAATTTTCATCCTGCAAAATGTTTAAGTTTTTCCTCATCAAAAAACATGTACAATAATATAGATATAAATGTACCTGTTTCCAAATTTTAAAAAAAGGGAGGGGTGATTCCCTAGAAACTGCGTACAGCATATGCAGCTTTGATTTCTTGTTGTACAGTAGTTATTTTAAAGACCGGATGGTTATCAGGAAATCTTCGATATTAATTTTACATTATAATCGTAATACTGATTCACAGCAAGTAATGAATGAGTCAATTATATGATTATTAGCCACCAGTAACTAATGAAGGCTGTTTGGTGGCAAAAACAAGATCTTTATGCAACCTTTGTTAATATCAAAATTTTTTTAAAAAAATCAAGATTTCAGTTTTTGTCTTTATAAATTTCGCTGGAATATCTATCATCTGGTATAATTCCTTAATAAGATATTTATCACGTGATATATTATATGAATTAAGTTTTATACAAATACGATATCTGATATATTATGCAAGATATCTTAAGATCTTGAACAATTTTCATTTCATATGGAGACTTTATGAAAAGTGCTCGGATTTTTTCTCCATAAAACTCATATGAAGTGAAAACAAGTAAGAAAAGATACATTTTGACAGGTTTTTAAGTCATCATGCAGAGGACGAAATCAAAATTAGTGCCATACTCAAGCAGGCCGATCATTTGTAACGTCAACTACATATACGTAAATTAAAGTCTTTAAAGGATCTAAAATGTCTATATACAAATGCAGATCAATTAAAAAACAAATTGTCAGAGCAAAGTACACGCGTGAATAAGGAAAATACAGATATAATAGGAATTACAGAAGTTAAAGCAAAAAAAAAAAAAAAAAAAAAAAAACCGTCAATTCAACATGAAAGCTCCAGAAAACAACATTGAAGGAAATAAAAACTACAAAATCTTTCACAAAAATGTGGAAAATGATCAGGGAAGAGGAATAAATAAGGTAAGTAAGGAACTGGATACCGATGACGTTATAATGAACACTCAATTTCAGGAAAATTTATTTATACAAATTAAACAAAACTAAATCAATCCTTCTGGGCCTTATATACAGGTCACCATATGAAAATAATGAGACTTTGCTGAACTTGATGGAAGAGGCAGCCGGAAATGGATACGAAAAACTTGTAATAATGGGAGATTTCAAATACCCAGGAATAAACTGGGAGACCTGGAATACAAATGGAGAAAGCACTGAAACACATGAATATAAATTCTTACAAACATTAATGTTACATTTCAACATATAAACCAACAAACGAGATGGCGAGGATAGCACAATCCAAACCTATTGGATCTTGTTATAACAAAGGATGAAAATTCACTCTCATCAATAGATTATCAGAGCGAACTTGGAAAAGTAATCATTGCATGCTATTTTTCAACATAACATGTAATGTAGAAGTATGTTTGCAACGAAAACAGAAAATATGTTATAAAGAAGCCAATTATGTAGAAAAAAATGATAAGTAAGGCAAATTGGAGCGAAACAGTAAAACCGTCAAACACCATAGACAAAAATTGGATTCAATTCAAACATGCAATGAAATTAGTAGAAGAAAGATTTATCCCAACAAAAATAATAATCATAGGAAGAAATAACAAGCACAGCTTTCCAGCGGATCAGGTAACACTAGACGCAATTAAGAAGAAACACTCCTTGTCCAGAAAAGCTGTGACAACTAAGGACCCAGGTAAACGAAAGCAGTACAATAAAATTTGGGATAAAGAAGCTGACTCGGAAATTAAGACAAGAGTATGAGAAAAACATTGCAACTAAAGCAAAAGCTGATCCTAAAGTCATTTGGAAATATATTAAGTCAAAGTCTACCACTAATTGCAGATTTATACCAGGACCCAACGGACAAAAATTCAGTCAAAATAACAACTGATGGTGAAAAAACCAAACATTATCTACAGGGACACTACCAGAGGAATGGAAAAAAGCTAGAGTTAGCGCAATTTTTGAGAAAGGCGACAAATGTATGGCAGGAAATTACCGACCAGTCAGCCTAACCTCAGTTTTATGTAAAGTATTGGAAACTATTTTAAGGGAACACATTATGAAATTTATGAAGGCCAATAACTACTTTTCTTCAAAGCAATACGGGTTTTTATCGGGAAGATCCACTTGCCTCTAACTTGTAGAGGTAATGGATAAGTGGACTGAAGCGTTGGGCAATGGTCAAATGATCGATTGTATCTGTATGGATTACCAAAAGGCGTTTGATACAGTTCCCCACAAAAGATTTATCAACAAACTGAAAATCATATATTTTTTTCCGAACAAATCAATTTGAGAATATCTTCTTTCTTAACTGGAAGAAGCCAAAAAGTAACGGTAAACGGAGTCGATTCGGAATGGGGTGATGTTACGTCAGGAATTCCACAACGATCAGTCCTGGGACTTATACTTTTCTTTTTTGCTGATGATACAAAGATATTTAATAGTTGAAAATAATAACCAATGTAAGGATCTTCAGAAAGACCTCGACACTATGTGCGAATGGAGCGATACATGGCTCCTCAAAATGCACCCAGATAAATACAAGCACATGAGAATAGGAAAGGCAAAATCTGAGGATGACGAGGTAAAATACAATCTAAAAGGAAAAATTCTAGAAACAGTAACAAAGGAGAAAGATATAGGTGTAATAATAGATTCGGACCTCTCTTTCGATGACCACATAAATGGAAAAGTTAAAAAGGCCAATTCTATGATTGCACTCCTAAGAAGAACATTCCAATTTAAGGACACAAAATTATTCGTTCCCTAAACAAATGTCTCGTGCGCTCCAAGCTGGATTATGCCTGTCCAGTTTGGTCCCCATACAGATATAAACATATAGATATGATAGAAGGAGTACAACGCAGAGCGACAAAATGCCTTCCAGGAATGAAAAATCTAAGCTACAACGAAAGATTGAAAAAAATCAAGTTTCCAAGACTAGCCTTCCGGAGAGTTAGGAGGGACATGATCGAATTATACAAGATGATACAGGGTATATATGACAAGGAATGCTGCAATGCTGTCCTACTATGGGAGGACGCTGCGGACAGACATAGCGGTAGAGGCAACTCTAAGAAGATTTATCCCAAGCGAGCGACATCGGAAATAAGGAAAAAACACTTTCTCAATAAGAACAGTGAAAATTCTGGAACAGTCTAGCCAAGCATGTGTCATCGGCCTCAAGTGTAAATGCCTTTAAAAACGCCCTGGACACCCATTGACAAGGACAAGAACTTGTTTATAATTAACAGCATAAACAATGAAGTGCACCGGACAAAAAAAATTCGAATTTTCTGATGATATGTGTAACCGTGTATTATAAATATTTAGAGTCTGGTATAGAGGACTTTAAATAGTCATGCGCCAGAAATACACTTAACTTAACTATATACGCCGTCATAAACTGTTGTTCAAAGGGAAAAATTCACAAAACGCTCCATATTTGGCAAAAGAATGACAAACAACTGCAAAAATCGTTTAATTTGTGTTGGAAAAAAACCCAAAATAATCTAAATCGTGTTAATTTACTGTAGATGTTCTTATCATTATATACGCCCTCAATTTACGTACGGGAACATCCCTCTGTGACATTTGCCATTATACGTCCCTGGAAATGATAAATGAGAAAGATTTTACTACTAGGCGCCGTTAACGTACTGATTATAAATCACTTTAGTGTGAAAACATTAGATCTGCATACATAGAGCGTCGAACGTCGCAATTGTTCTGATAGTATGAACATCCACAAGGGAGACAACCACAAATTTGGGAAATTTTAAAATCTTAAAGCTCATTCTAAACAAATCACGCACACAAAATCAGTCTGTCATTTTAAAATAAAATGAGGAATTGTTATTTTTGCTATTTTTGGATAAAATTTTAGATTAAAAAAAAAATACTGCCGCATCACGTGATTCAAGCGTTCCAATGCGCTTGATCATGATGTCAACGTAAACAAACCCAACACATTGCTCACCGGTATAATTACCTGTGACTACATGCCGTTACTTGTATGTTTTCGATTTCACTTCATATAAACGAAGCCTATCACTCTTCACCAAGACACCGCCATAACAAGGATAAAGTAAGTACCAATCCTGTATTCCTTCTGTGAGATCTAAAACTAAGCATATATTTGTTAAGAAGTGTAACTTAAGACGATGCGTGTTGATCATGATTTGTTTGTATGTAAAAGTATAACATTACATAATATGTTTTCAATACGAAGCCCACGTGCCTCATACAGAAATCCACAAGCATGGCATATTTTTTACTTTTGAAATAATAAAATTATTGCTAGGTACTTAAATAACCGGTATTGGTTTTATATAACTTAATAGTACATACATGCAAATTCACCAAATTTTGAAGCATGTCCTGTACAACGTAGTAGATTCGATTGTTTATACAGATGTATATATCAAATGCACATTATTAGTTATTATGTAAGTGCATTTGAATTGCAACAGTAACATTTTTTTTTTCCAATTTGTACCAAAGTAGAAATGAATACTTGTTAAAGACATTTGACAATATTTAACATACATTCTGAAACACACACATTCATGTATATCCGCTACCATGGAAATTAGATAGAGCTTAAAATGAATTCAGGTAAAATAAATGTAGGCAAAAAATTGCCCCATTACTTCAATGAACCAAAAAATATGTCCAAATATTTCATTTCTCTTGATCTATACAATGGAAAATAACATTACATTTACCATAAAGAAAAAAAAGGATAAAACAAAATGTATTTAGATTGAGTACGAACCTTGTCTAACTTTCTATATAATGTTTTAATTGTGAAAGTTTTAAAACTAGCAGTGTATTAACAACACATACTACACCTCAGAAGTTCTGCAGGTATAGTCTGTGAAAATAAAACAGTCACTGATGTTAGTTCATATAATTACTGGTAAATATCCCTTTTCTATCCACAGATTTGAGAAATCATATCTCTGTGAATAAAAGCTGACATCGTAACTGGAGACAATTTGTGTTCAGATCACAGCCTACATGAATTAGACATATGGTTATTGTTGATAATATTAACCAAAATACCATTACTCAGGTTAATGTTAAGGTAGTTAATTATTGCAGCATGTATTTTTTTTTTTTTTTTTTTTCAATATTCAATCATTTTCTTATAGAATGTCTAGTGAAAACACCGGAACAGAGTTGGTAAATATGCCTCAGTCAGAGATTCCTGGACAGGTGGCTCAAAAGATACCTACAAAAGATTTGGAGCCGGCACTGATCACTGTGGAACAGAGTGCACATAAAGATGATGGAAATGAAAACAAAGCATTTCAGGAGGAGGAGGCTGTTAAAACTCAAGAACACAAACCAATGCTTACTTACATGGATTTTATGCCAAATTTTATATGTTCAGCTGCAGGACCAGATGAAGCACCTACCTATGCACGCTTTAGGTTGGTAGATACTATTTATGAATAAAACCTGTAACTTTCACTTTAATCTAAAATTTTATTCATTTAGATATTCAATAATTATGAAACAATTAAATGTTATTGTTATTGAATTAATCCCTCTTGTTAGCCTACATGTAAGTGCACAAGGTGTGTGTCTATGATGTATATGAGCTCAGGCAGGTGACTAGATGACTTCCATATGCTTTCATATCAAAACAAAGAATCAAACCCAAGTCATCTATATGTAGCTGAAGGCAAGTGTACACTAAAGATCCCACCAGTCCAGGGGTCTAGGGGTATTATTAGAATTTACAATTATTTTCCAGGCATTATAATGACTTCAGAATTACCCTAACACAAGCCAAATCTAGTTAGGCCTCCAACTCTTCCTTTCAGCTTCTGAACATGTTTCAGCGGCTAGAGTATAAGTAGTATAATCAAATTATGACCTCTGCAGACAGTTCCACCCCTCTGAAGGGGATGCAGGTCACTCCCTCTCATGTCACCAGATCATTGGCGTTTGTCAATGAGAAAATACCCGGACACCGGATGAGTCACTGAGACAGAAAACCTGTCAACCAACTAACCAATGAAAGGCTTGTGCATTACCATTGCACCAGCAATTTAACAATCTTTCTTATTCATGATAAAATTTTTAGTCATAAACATTATAACAAGTCAATTCAGTTATATATTACCGTTCTTTATTCTTGTTAAGGTCTGTGATTATTTAACATCACATTTACAGCAAGCTGCTACCTATAAAATTTTGAGCTATTACAAAATTAACAAAAGTTCATTGTAATCATGTTATATGTTCTAGATTCATAAATTTAAACTTTTACGTGAAATCGTTTTACATATGAATTTTTTGGTTTCAGTCAGTTAAAATGTGGTGTTAACCCTCTTGCTCAAGGTTATTGCTATGAACTTTTGACCTCGATATATGTAAATACAAAAATTGTTCGGTAAACATAAATGGATCTTTGAATACACATGTGAAAGGATTTATGCAGTAGAGCCAACACAGTTTGTGTTAGGTTGGTTGGATAATGGGTTCCTTTCCTCTTCACTCTACACAAGAGCAATGTTTTTTTTTTTTTAAACCCCAAACCTTAATTACCAGGTAATATGAAATGATGGAACAGTAATAATGGGTTGTGTTTCTTATGTTACAGCTTTGTTGTTGACCAGGCTAACGAGTGGTTGAAAATGAACAAGGAGTTCACTGTTTGGAAATGTGAAACTGTCAGCTTCAAACTAAACGCCGAAGATCAGTTTGACACTAAAGGAGTATTACATGCAGAATCTTCATATGGAGTTAACAGATATGTAATGGGACTAAGGTATCAAGTTAAACATTTTCTCTCACATTCCAAAAGTTTTGATAATTGCTGTAAGAGATATACAAGTCATTCAGCATAGCACTAAGTATACAGGTTGTTATTTTCGAGGAGTTCGGTTTTAGCTTTTTTTCAAGGATGGAATATCACAAAAAGTAGATACCTTGAAAGTAAAATTAATAGAGGAAATTTTCATCCATTTTTATGAAGTTTGTGAGATGGTGAGGAGACACAAAGGTGTATGAATAGCAACTTTAAATACAAATTTAGAATTAGATACAGTAGAGCCAAACAATGAATGAAACTGCATGAACTGTCCTGAAGGGAAGATGCATTGCTACTGTCAAAGGTATAATGAACATAGCTAGGACATTTCTTGTCAGTGCCGTTATATAAAATAACTGCTGATAATTAGACGTGAGAGTAATATAAGCTACCTGTCTCTTGGCTTAAATGAACAAAGGCAGAATCTCAATCTCTGTAAAATGCCTTTTACCAGTGACGGACCTAAAAATCTTATCCCAAGGATTGAGATAATTGACTTCTGTTCTCTTACTAATTCTCTGTGTTAGTCAATATTCAAGTTGTCATGTTAGGCTGATTGTAAGTGCAATCTATTACAATCATCAGAATTTGATAATGTAGACTCCTGTAGTTATTACACATGAATTGTATCTGGTAGTAAGTGTGATAAATATTGAAAAATAACAAATTGAATAGATTGAACAGATAACAAATAACAGATTGAAAAAATAACAAAGTGTGAAAGATCCCAAAAACAAATTATTCGAATAATAAAAATAATTACGGATAAGCCTATTTCATTCTATCTTTTCATGAAACCTAAGCAAAAATCAGATTAGAATTTGAATGATTACAGAACCCTCAAATATATTGAATTGGTGGTAAATTTGATTGATTTTACAATAATTGTGAAACAAGTTACTCAACTTATACTGTCCGGTAATCTGTACACTTAATGTTTGCTTTGATGGAAGAGCTTAAGGGGATTTTGATGTGGGAGAAAACCAGAGTACATGGGGGAAAACCCACAGGGATAGGCATGTGACCCCTGACCTTTTCATGTCCATTAAGGATTATACTCCTCTAAGAAGAGAAAACATTCTAGTATTAAACTTTTATACTTATACATATAATTTGAAAAGAGATTTAATGGCATATCAAAAAACACAAAAAGAAAATGATATGTCTGTGTGTTCTCTTTTTTCATGATAGCGCTTTGAAAATTGCTAGTCATTTTCAGTGATTTTGAAAACTAAACTTTAAATGCAAATTGAATTGATTTCTTTCATTCTTAAACATTAGAATCCATATATTTCATTAAAGCCTCAAATTTCCACAAGAAATAAAGATTTTATCCATAGAAAGAAATACTGTAAACATTTTTGAAACTTTACTAACATGTAGTATTTACTGAACTAAAACAATTTTTCAAAGGAAAGCAATAGGATAGTAAAATTTTTAAAAAATATTGTCAGAGTTAGCTCTTTTGTTATTTTTTCAGAAAATCCTATAAGTGTCCTTCAGATTAAAAAATAATTAAAGAAAAGGGAATTAAACCCAGGACGTCTTGATGAAAAGCGATCTGTGCATTACCACTGCTCTACCCAAAAAAAATTGGTGGGAAGGTTAATTTTACAATCACTTAAATATTGAATAAAAACAATGATATACAGGACATCATGATCCTTCAGGTTGCTCAAACTAGTTATCATTACATTCTGATATGGGACTTGATGTAACTGTTATTACTGATATCAATATGCTTCTTTAAATGTTTTAGGCTGTGGTTGGTACCAAGAGTTTCTGACACCATGCCTGTAGTCCAGATTGGATATACAACAGCCATTCCCGGAGAACCTTATATGGATGAAGATCAAGGTACACAAATGAAGTGGGAGAAGACACAGGCCATCAGCTCAGGGGGAGGTAACTCAGCACACGCCATGTTAACAACAATGGTAAACTCAATTATACCCCCTGGAACCAACAATAAAGAAAATATTAAAGAAGAAAAGACCGTGGACCAGGAACAGACACCAGTGACTGAGTTTTCTAATGATGATGAACCATCAAAAAAGGACAAAGCAGCAGAGCAGCCTGAGACAGAGAGGAAAGACATTGCTGCTCATCTTTCTGAACCAACTCATAGAGTGTCTGCATCATACTATTCTACAATGACCTCAACTGTTAAAGGACTAAACAAACAACTCACACGCAAACCTCTACCAGGTTAGCATCCATTTATCTTCAGATAATTTCTATTCAATTTGAATATTCATAATTATCAAAAGATTGTTAATTTTCAAAGGATTTCATTAAATTTTAGCCAGCCGTATTTGAACACCATTGTGAAAATATTAATGCTCATTAAATATTGTTCATTTCACAGCTTGTTTACCTTTATTTGCCAAAGTTGTGATCATTTTCAAATTGATAGACTCTCCAGATACAAATGTTCACCATATCCTTTTTAACTCTGACCAATGCAGATAAGACTGATATTTTTGATGTCATTGTTCTGTTAAGGTGTGATATTGAATGTGGAGAACCTGACTCTGAGAGCATCCTCTGAGCAGTCTAGGCCACAAATTGTGATGGATCCCGAATGTACAAGCTGGGCCGAGGTGGGCCGTAGGAACACTGTCTTTGTGTTTGCTATCAGGATTTTCTATCTCAAAGGAAGAGAGGAATTCTGCACCATTGGTGAGTATATCAAATTAAATAAGGTAGAGTTATTACTGACTCAGTTATGTCACTTATTTATGGACCATTGGATGCACATGAATAATTCTACCTCTATAACAATAGAGAGAGAATTCTCTGCCAAAATTCTACAGGACAGAAAAACACTTGTATTTTGAAATAATAACATGTGTTCTTCCAAAATAAACCAGTTTTGAGTACAGTAGAATGTACAATAAACATTTATTCGTTTCTATTCACAACAAGAATTAATAATAATGCCTTGAAAATAGTGAATGAAAATGGCCACCCAAAGGATGACATTTTTAATTTATAAAACTGATAAAGTCAACATGTTGCTTCTGTCATGACATAATTAATTATTATAATTAATAATAATTAATTGCAATGATATACCAATACTAAGTAGATGCAATAATGCACATAGTAGTAGCTACATCAAAATATAACTGAAACAAAAATTGTTGCTAACCTGAGTGGAGTTTCCAAAAAAAAAAAAAACCCACAGACTCGCATGCTTACCTCTCTTGAATGTCTTCTCTAGTATATCATCTGTAAAGGTTCAATTGTAAATAACTTCTGAGCAAAATGAATATATTAAGCATGAGACAGCATTGAGTGCTATAGATGATAGTTAAATTACTGTAACAAATTTTCATGTGGTTGAACTGTTCTTCAATGAAGGATCCCATGTCCTATATTGTGTATGATCTTATGTATCATATACCTGTAGTATCACAGGATCAGACAATGGATGTGGGTCATTCACTTACAGATTACATCAGAACAGGAACTATGGAGCTGATATCACTGCACCAAATGCACAAAGAATGAAGGGATTAGGCAGTTTAAAGAATAATCTTGGTTTCTATTTCATGTCAAATTTATGAACTTGATCTTCTAAAAAAGAAAAATGTCATGTTAGATATATCACCTATATTTCTAAAACTTGTTTTATAATAGTCATGTAACATCTGATACTTATATACTAATATGTCACATACAATACATCCTGTATATATTCCTGCCATTTGCTACAGAAGAAACACATTTTGATTAATTCAGGACAGAATCTGTAATGGATTAATTATCATATGATTTTTTTTAAATATTTCTTTAAAAAAACCCAAAGAAACTAACATTTATTTAAAATTAATGTTGTCTGTTGTATTGCAGGTTATCATGATGAACTCCCAGACATGCGGAAGTCGGGGGCTACAATTAAGTTTGGTCCTTTCAGCAATGTAGTGTACAAGATGGGAGCTTGGCTCAAACATCAAAAGGTATGCAATATAATGCATATATGTGAATTTATACTCTGCAACTTTCGAATCAATGATTTTGATAAGCAGAGCTGCACTAAAAAAACCTGGATTTAACGGTTTTATATTTACCTTTTGGGTGTTTCAGAATATCCGTGTGGTGAACATGCAGAGTGTAGACATACAGTGTAACCTGGACCAGACAAGTATGTATAACATTTTAATATCTGTAATTGATGACAGCTCTCAGAAGGGTAAATAAACTAAAACTAATCATGCGGTATATATATTAACTGTAGTGACAAACTTTTATCAGTTCAGTATAATTTATTTCCTTGTAAGTAAATAAAACATCAAAAAGCTGTCCTGTCTGATATTCAGTCAGTAACTTTATGCTGGGATGACGGGAGGAAAGGGTTGGTCAAAACAATTATTTTGACTGCATGACTTTCCTGGTCACAGTAGTCAATTGTACATAAAAACCAAGAGGTCCCCATGCTCTTGAACCAGTAATACAGGGCATAAAAGACCTTTTTTAATGAATCATCCATCCCTATTTTAAAGGTTGCAAGGTTTTGGATGGCATATTTAGATATGTAGTGTCGATATAATGACCAGTAGTTTGCTAAAATGGACAGTCAGCTCTTTGAATACATGGTTTTTAAAGATTTATTCTTAACAACTTCTTCTGAACAATTCAGAGATTTAGAGCCATGATGATAGGCCAGCAGTAATCTGGAATGAAGGCAAATGATGCTTGTACAACAGAATTTAGATGCTTTTATCTCAGTGAAGCATTTTCCTGTAGTAATTTTTATACCTACATCCCTTGTCCTCTTTTAAATACAGATGTGTACCAAGTGAAAACTGATGTTTCTGGCTTTATGGAGACTGCTCACCTGAGCACCAGGTATGCCAAGGTACTGCGTCTGTTTTATGTGACAACAGCTAAGACAGAGATGCCTCCTTATACCTCTCTTCAACTGAAAACACGGCTGTTTGCCCCAGTTAGACGAGGAGAGAAGTCATTTGAATCCTTCCCAAAAACCATGGAACGGGTCATCAAGTGGCTGGACTATCTGAGTAAGCATTTTTTTTCAACTAAGAATTCATTTAATATAAGAATTATTTGGTGCATGTAGTTAAACTGTCTTTCATATTATAAAAATAAAAATTAGTGCTATACAATGTTTCAGCCAGGACCTCTATGGCAATATTAATTAGTTTGTTTTGTTTGTAGCAATGCCACCGTTCTTTGTGGAGACTGTTGCCTATCAGATATACACCCAGGGTAGTGGTCAGGCTGTTATACCAGACAAAGTTGACTGTAGTGTGAACAGAAACTCCGGCCGTCACATACTCAATACCATCAGGTATATAAACAACAAATACACATAACTTTACAATAAACATATATTTTATCATTGTCAACATTGCATTTAGAGCTATTGTCTGTGCTTACATTTCCATATTGATTAAGTTAGGATTGGGTGTGGAGGGTAGGGGGCAGATAGTGGTACCTATGTCTGTTCCATTTTGCCATATTTTGTTGCATCTCATTGTCCTTTACCAACCTGAATTTATCATTCAATTCTGTGTTAAGGGATTTTTATAAAGAAAGTTGTCAATAACACTGATGTTGTACATATATTCGGGGTGCTAATTTTTTAACCGATATACATGTATGATAGGTGTAGAATTCAACGCTAAACTTTACAATGTCTATTTATTTAAGATTGATAATCATTCTGTATTACTACATGTATTGGTTTTCTTTCAGACTGTATATGCCTTCAGAATTTATAGAACCACCACCAGAAATTGCACCAGATGTTGCTACTGTTGACCAAGGCTGGGGCTGTTCTATTTCATGATCATTTCTTATAACTGTTCAGGCCATTTCGCCACCTTTAATCGCTTACAAATTGTTGTTGTACATCACTTCTTCTGATTGGGAGTAAAATCCATATCATGTTTATGTGAAAGCTGCTCAAGATTGATGCGAGACAGATCAAGTTCTGAACCCCAATCATTTGTTGTTTTTTTCTTTGTTTTTCTACAAAAATATCAGTACATTTAAATAATCTTTATAACTCTGTTTACATGTATCAATATTTGATTGTACATTTTCATATTTGCATGAATTGGCTATCTTGTTTCTGAAATACAAATACATGAGATGCAGCCAAACTTTCCTCATATCTTAAAAGTAAAGTTATCTTAATAATACAGTAAAATAAAGTAAATAAGAAAGTACTTTAATTTCTCTCAGTTCAACCATTTTCCAGATAGATACATAATTATCATGTCTGCAGAATCCTTCTAAGGTTTTGCATGAGATGCCTGATTCCGTTCATCCTAATACATGTATACAGTTTTGCTGCATCCAGAGAGTACACTCTGCTCTGACAGTTTGACACCGTATCTTCCTTTGTGGATACTGATGTCCATAAGATTGCATGACTGTAAACATCTCTTGTTCATGATGTTCGTTTTACTTATAATGCCAGTAGAATATTTTTGGCATGAAATAATTTGACGTAATATTTCTTGATGTTTTTGTAAATGTTGGATCTCATCAATACATGTGAAGTTTGTGTGTTTATTTTTCTATTGATATTATTTAATTTATTCACTTTTTCTATTCTATATTACACTATATTACATGACCTTTATCTCACAAAGATGCTGTTATAATATGTTTATTTCATAAAATTTATATATTTTTTACTATGGTACAAACTGTGTTCTGCTCAATTAAGTGGTAATTGAGATATTTTTTTTTATACAATGTATGTATTTATATTTTTTTCATATTTATAATCATATGCACTTATTCTAGTGTTGAATTACCCATTCCTGTACTGTAATATATAACCTTTATCAATAATTAACAGAACTGATAAATCAAAGTGTCTGTAGTAAGTAAAACATTACAGCTGCATATACTGTATATCTATATGACAATAAGTCCATGTCTTAAGCCTGCACATACTATCTATTTCTGTTCAGTAAAAGTTACAAACTTTATAACCATTGTAGACTGACGGCCAATCCCTAAATTATGTTCAGAAATACTTTGTGGCTTTTACCTGTAATGTAGCTTATCTCCCCTTCCTATAGAACTGAAACATACAGTGTACCTATATGAGAAATCCAAACTTATGTCCGATTATATTGAATAATCATATATTAAATTAAATATTCGAGAGATGGGCCAGTTTATGACCATCGGCTACAGGGAAACATGTCGTGATATTAACATATATGTGTGATATAAAGCAACTGCTGTGAGGTTTTATATGATCACACAAATAAGTCTGCTAATTATCAATGCATCTGTATGTAACTATGTGTTTTAATGTGATTACAAATCATAGGAATGTATCATTAATGATTCTGTCCTATTTATATTTTAATTCACATATCAACAGGGTAAGTGTAGATGGAACATTGCTACATTATATATATATTGTGTTCTGCTATCAAAATATTCACAAATCATATTTATACTTTTTTATGTTATAAAATACTACAAATACTACTTTCCTAATTGACACCTAGCTAAACCCCGAAGTCTAGAATATGTAATTATTCAATTTCAATGTATATTAAATTTCTTAAACAACCAAGCGGGTAGGATTTTGATCATGCAAATTGATCTTATCCATAATTTGATATATCAGTACATTGTCCATTAGGTACTGCATTGGTATGTGATTAGGTATGATACACACATTTCATTGTTATTGTGACATATGTTACCTACAAAGTTTTCTTAAAATAAAACATTACAATACAAGTCATATTTTTTTTTCTATTTTATTGCAGTATAATATTTAGACTTTGAACTTTGTGACTGGCAAAATAAAAATTTCTAGGTTGATAAGTTTATTAAGAAGTGCATATAGGAGTACAGGAAAGTGACGACATGACATTAATAAAAATATGATTTTGAAATACCTTTTCCTTGTAAGATACGTAATAGAAAGGAAGGTGATAATGATATTGAGAGCAGTACTTGGTTTTGTGTGAAAAGAATTTATCTTTTGCATTCATTTTCAAAGTTACTATATGGTCTAGATGTAGGGGTACCATTGTATATAAGAAAGCTGACATGTACAGAAGCGATCCAGAGAGAAAAAAATATATAAAGATGTAACTGTGCAGGTCAGTGACATAAGTACGTATGTGCCCAGTGAGAAGTATTACAGGATGGGAATATATGGTAGCTGCATGTGTGGGTATAATCATATCAATGGTCAGTGAGATAGATGTAAGCTGTTGTCAGTTAGGCGTAAACCAGCATCCTCGCATACACACGTTCCTGAAATGCAATAGATGGCAGTTAGTTATGATGTAAAGCATATATAACTAAATTTGTCAGTATATAAATATGAAATATTTACTTCTCTCTCCTGGGAGATGGCAATTTTGTTTTCATTTCTTTACATCCAAACAAAATTATAAGTCCTTAAGGTGTACTAATTATCGAAACTTTTCCTGGCTATGCAAAAAGGGCCTGCATCACTCACCTGCATGTCTAAGTATAGAATACAAGAACTTTCCTACCTTGGAAGCTACTATTAATAAGACACAACTAGTCTCTCAGTGTACCAGTATATCATTAATGAAGTTAATTCTTTAATTCCTCCATATAATATTTGAGTTCCCTGGCTCCAAAGAAGTTTCAAAGCTGAAGACATTAATCTGTTGAGGGTGGCAGCAAACCATACACCAAATGTTTAAAACTATATAAAATGTTAAGGACTTTAACAATTGAGTGATAAAGATTCAACCAATTGTCAATGTCCATTGTGATTTCTTAACCAGCAAATATAGGTACATTTTGTAATAGTCAAAAGTCTGGAGTCAAAAATATTTTACCACTTGCATTCCATGAGAAGGTGGCATAGATTTTTGAAATAGATAATTTTGCTATTCCACATTCATAGTTAGTGTAAAAAAATGAAACAGAACAATGTAAGTTGTCCTATATATTTCAAATGGAAATACATCAGCGCGTCGAAATGTTAAAAAAGAAAAAAAATCTGGAATGAAATAAATGTCTTATGTAATTGCTAGTGAGCAAACTTAATTTCATGTCAAACTGTCATTAATTTCTCCATGATTAGTTTATTCAATGAAGGATTAAACAAGATCTCTAACAAGATGACAAAAACTAAATGAAGGGCAATAACTCTTCAAAAATGAAATTTTAATACCATGAAGAAAAAAGAATTTATATATTTTTAATGAATAAGTTTAAAGAGGTCTATTAAAATCTGTGAAAAGAACTTTCTGGACAGGATTAAAATGCTACAAAAGAGGCATATTTTGTTTCAGAATGTCATTCAGGTTATCACAGTTATAAATTCCAACCAAGTTTAAAAGGGTTTGGATGAAAACTGAGACAGTTCTCGGGAGAAGATTCAGATTATGAAAACAATAGGCAATCACTCTTCCCAAAACAGTAAAATCAAAATACTGTTCTTGAATACATTTTACATGGTTATGATTAAGCCTACCAAAATTCAAAGAGATCGGCTGAAAGCATGCGGAGATCTGCAAGCAAACAAAAGTTAACGATGTATATGGGTAAACCGACAAGCCATACCAAAATGTCTTGACAGAATTTTGGACAATTAATTAACAAGCAAAATTTTGTGAAGTGAAAGTAAAATAAAACAAAAAATAACAAATATGCTTAATGAGTCTGATGTTTTATTTGTTGAAAACAAGAAGTACATATATAAAAGTAAACGATGGTGTATATAATGACAATGTGCTGTACGGAAACAATAACTTGTGTATGTTGTAAATCATACATTATCATCATGATAACACTTAAAAGTAGGACGGATAAACAAGTGCTAGCTGGTTCACACCAGACAACTCGGACGGGATAAAATATCATCCAGCTAAAACTGTCAACTAGGATTGAAAATTGTTCACTGCGATAGATAATTCATTGCTATCCAACTGAACTAAGATGGATAACCTCATATTTAAGTAAACAGGTCTGAATTTCTTTCTTTCAGATGCCTGATAAATATTCCTACCAAATGACTAAAATAGGTCATATATGTAACCATACAAATGCATGTAATGAAGGTTACCCATGTCTTAAGATTTCAGCGAAGAAAATTGTTTTGATAAAATACAAGTACTAAATATAGATAAAATTTGAAAAATGTATTGAAAACCAATAAAAGCTTTAAGTGATGAGCCATAATTATCGCAATAAAAATTAGTTTTCAATAGCCATTAAAACTAGATACCTTCTGTATATATGTATACATCTGTAGGGAATGCAGGTATACCTTACTGATCGCTGGTGTGGGAAAGAACTGTAACTTAATGTAAATGGTATAGTGACAACTGACAACATGAAAGACATTTTTTAAAAATATTAAATTATTAAAGGAATGTGAATATCTTGTGACACTTGAACAGACAGTTGAACACCACTATCATTGGATAAAAATATATAGCAGTTCAGGTTTAAAAACAGTTGATATTGATTCAAAATCAAAGAAATGTTGATTCTGATAAAAATGAAAATAAAACCACAGGTTAATTGTAGCGTGACTGTGGATGCCAGGACAAGTGTAGGGTCAAGGTCTGGTACAATCCTTGTCTGTCACACCGGTTTTTCTCTAAAGAATTTACACTTCATAACAACAACAAAAAACGTCAACTTTCGGAGACATTTTTTAAACACGACTGCATGGGTTTGCACCTCTACTCAATATAATACTGCAAAACTAGACTTATACAGGCTATAGGTTTGCTGGTGTGCTAGTGTAATTTTTTTATTTGACCCATAACACGTAGATACATGGATATTGATGATCATGAAACATTTACATGCGTTCCATCCATACGGGTCTGTCTGTTACCAGACACTATGTTTTATATGTATTGTACCTTATTATCACAAACCCTGTACTGTTAACGGAAAGAGGGATTTTTTTTACTGATATTCCGAAATGTATAGATATTCCGCTAGTCCCATAAGATTTCTTTAGGAAGCCAGGCTTTGACTAGCATGCCAGTTGTGATAAGAAAAGGATGTGAGGAGACAATAGTGCTCAGTGCACCTTGCCCACCATCATAGTTTTAGCAGGACTGATGGGGCCAAGAGGAATTCCAGGAGAACGGAGATCTTGACGTGACTTTTCGTGTAGAACGGCATTCTGAGTATGTGCTGGAGCTCTACTAAGGAGCTGGTCAGCATAGAAAAGAGCCTGCAAGGAATTGGAAAAATAAGGTCAGAAAAGTCATTATACAAAGTATATTAAAAAACATTACAAAGGGTTAAGCTTGCAACAGGAAGAAATAGGACAGGACAGATTTGACTGTATCAGTGTAACAGTGGTATTATATGTCCACCAAAATAAAATCTATTCTGAATTTTCTGATTTTGATTTCTAAAAAGTTCAAAGTGTAACTGATCTTGATATGATAGTCTTTTTTTCTTTAATTTCAATGAAGGTGCTATGTTTATCCTGTTAAAAGCCAAGGTAGGGAGCCAACATATAACCTGACTTAAAGTTAGTAGGAGGGCTTATTAATGGAAAACTAAAATCACTATTCCTCTGAACAGCAATTGTCATTGTTTGGTTTATTTCGAGACATAGGCATATTACTGACATATCTGGTACATTTACACTAAATTCAAGTAATAATATTTGTTAATACGAACAATGTTGAAATACGTCACCAATAAAAGCGATATTTCTGACAGTCAAAATAGTATTCCTAACACTGACATGGTTATATTAGTTACCAAAGTCACATACCTTTGGAGCACTGACTGTCTGTATTCCCACAGACCGGGTAAGCACCTTACGTAGTCCTCCTAATCTTGTTGTGGCAGACAGGACGCGCATCTTATCAAGACTTGTGGGGATGGCATTTTTTGGTCGAGGTATCAGGCCAAGATCACCGAGCTGGTAATGTGGTAATGTTCCTTGGGAGCTTTTAGCTATTGGGGACATTGGCAACATCCTGCAAGGAAACAGTGTCAAGTTGAATATCTTTGATACACTTTTAAAATATCTAGGTTATAAAAATGAATGTTATAAACCCATAATAGATAAACATGTATATGATGGACTTTATGCTCTCTGAAGTGTTCTAAACATTTAAATATTCAGTGAGGAGTACATTTCATCAGATGAGTTACATTAATAAACCTCCAATATATATCGTTATACAGTAGTTGCTAAACTTCAATTTAAATTTGAAAGAGATTTAGTGACATGCTACAAGCATAACAAACGCATATAAATAATTCATCATTGAGATGACAATCTTACCCTCGTTTGATACCCTGTTTGCTACCAGGCATTTCGCTGGCGCTGCGTTGTCGTACTTTCTGATGTTTGCCAAGTGCTCCAGGCTCGGGACCCACCCCTACTGCTGCAGCACTATTGAGCAGGACTAGAAGATTCTCCAACATGTTGTCTCTTCTCTCGATGTCATTGAGTCCTGCCCCATACTCTGGTAGTTCCTCTTCATCCTCGTATTTCTGTCAGGGCAGGAAGTATTAAGTATATCAAAGTAAAAACTGGAGGAAATGTGTAACTATTAGATATGCTACATTATAAATCTGTATGATACACACTAGGAGATACATATTTTTAAGATACATACCCCAAGAGCTAGACGAAGAGCACTGGCAGCATCAAATAAGACTTTGTCAAGTTTTTCTCGGTTTCGTTTTTCTACTCTATGTTTTTCCTTCATTTCCTTTAGGTCATCATCATAGGTCTCATTTTCCTTTGCCAATTTTTGTATGTCTTCTCTGCAAATAAAATGTGATGTTTTACATCCTCTTACTGCATATTGTACCTTAAGACGGCAATGTTCCCCAAGCCAATGGTTCACCATAATTTACAAGCAGAGTTCAATTTTTTGGTTCTAATGAATGGATCACATTCAACATGACTAAGTGATATCCTGTATAACATAAAACAGGACAATAGACTGCATCAGGAGTTTAACTTGGGTGATTCATACAGTAATCATGTCCTACTTTTGCCTCTAGATGACCAGAAACTTTTACAATGAATTAACTGATCAATTTGATTTTGCTGGCTCCTAAATTACAATGTTTATAGTAGTGCTTTCAATCCATTATAACATCATTTGTTTCCCTGAAACACATGACATTTGTATCATTATATCATTATGTCACCTCTACTTTCACTTTGAGACCTCTATAAGTAGTCTCATAAATGTCACTACATGATATGTTTGGTCAGTATGTAATTTCTTTGAGGTTGTCACTACAACCTGTTTCTGTGAGGTATACTGTATATGGTGAAATTTTCACCCAAGTTTAACTTTTACCTGTTTCACCCTTTTGCGAATGATAAGAAGTGCTAAAGTTTGAATTTTAAAGTAGAAATATCAGTTTTTATAATGTATTTTAGGATGAATTTTATGCATGTCAAAAATAAACAGTTTTATGCATATAGCCTTAGATGATTGTACCCCTCCTGCTGTTGTCTTAAGACCTGCTTCTGTCACGGTATAAGTGTTCCCTATGATGCACATAATATGTAGCTTTATCTATGCCTTCTCACCTCTGTGACTGGAGCTGTTGCTGCAGCAGTTCATGTTCAGCCTCCACCTCCTGGTACTCCTGTTCCCTCATTTCTAACTCTCCTACCATTGCCTCCTGGGCACGGCACTTCTCTGTCAGCATCCGTATCACCTACAAATAAATGCAGTGGCTAACGTGGTGAAAAATACACATAAACATACTAACATGTAGTACAGCCGACACTATGTTTTGCCTATTATCAACTTTTAACAATTATAAAATGGTGGACCCACAATATGATTGTAATAGAGAATAACATACAAATCCTATGGACAGTACAATTATGGTAATTCTTTAAGAACTGATGTTGTCCCTAACGACATCTCCTTACCTTTTGGTTGCTGTGGTTTTTCTTTGCCAACTCCTTTTCTGTCACTTCTAACATTTCTATGTGTTGTTTCTGCTTCTTCTCCTTGGCCCGAAGGTCATCGTTTTCCTGGATCAGCTCCATGGTTTTGTCAGACTTCTGCACAAGTTGTGCCATGATAGACACATTTTCTCTTATTGTGCGTTTGGTTGTCTCTGCCATCTGTTTATTGGAGACTTTACGGAACTCTGCTGCTACTGTGTTGACTCGAGAAACCATCTCCTTCTTAAGTCTGAAATACAGAAGAAAATGAGACATCCAGTCAAAATCAGTTTTGTGAAATAGCCTATTATTGAAGTAATGAAATAGGTTTTTGCAATAAAGAAATGTTGGCAATTATAATGGAGTCAGTTTATCAGAATTTTTCATTAAAAAAATATTTGAGGACATGAAAATCAAAATATCAGTTATGAGAACTAAAGTGTTTTGTTCAAATTGCTTGTAATGATTCTTCAAATAGATTACTTTAAAAAAATCAGTAAAAGTTAACATCATTGTACAGAAAACATGTAATACCCTGAGAAGGATTAACAGTTTGTGATAGCTAGTATTTAAGGAAAGTTAACTTTTGATCAGCTTTGTGCTGTGTTTATCAGTTGTCACTCACCTGTCCTTGTCTATGACAGCTTTCTTCTCCAGGTCATAGATCATCTTTTTGTGGTCCTCATCCTTCTGTTTGAGGTCCTCTTCCATGGCAGCAAACTTAGCCATCAGGTCCTCCTTCTGTACCTTGAACTCTTCCAGTGAGGCCAGTTTACCACCTGTCATACAGCAATGTAACCAGACTTACTAAACAGTAACATGGACATAAGACTCTATACCAAAATATATTTTGTGCCAGACACAAACAATACAGTAGTGGATTTATTCTGTGTTGATACAACCTCAAGAATTGAATTATCAATTTGCATATGATGTACACAGTGCAGAAAATAATCTGGATTGTAAAAAATTACTAATAAAAATGCCTATTATTACAGGTAAGGTTAATGAATTCAAATAATAAAATATATATTTATCTGTAAAAATGATTAGGTTACAAAAAATCTGGGGTTAATCTGGTGTAAAGAAATTGTAGATTTACCAAGGATCATGTTGTCTGAGGTGAGCTGGTCCTTAGTTTCCTGGAACTCCTGTCGGAGTTGCTGGATTGTAGCATTGGCCTGTTCCTTTTCTTGTTCCCTTGTCTGCTGAAGACCAATCAACTGTTCCTGCAGGTCGGCATTCTCATCAGCTACAAAATTCAGTTTTTTTAATGTTAGAAGCAGATTTTTTTTCTAAATGAGACAGTAAGACAACATCATATCCAAATTCAATATGAAATCAATTAAAACATGTAGAAATGTGTTAAGGTACCCATCCTATATGTAAGAATTTGCACTCTTTGGTAACCTGGGAAAAAATCTGATGTCAACTAAGTTTCCTCTGGCCGAATGTTAGATTTATTTTTGACTGACAGGTATATCTAGTGCAAGAGCTAAAGGAAACTCTGACTAGTCTGACAGTAACTTCAACAGCTCAAATGTTCCACAGAACCTTCATCCTAAATTACAATATTTTCTTACTTTTCAGATCAACTTGTCTTTTCCAGAATGATACAATGTCATTCTTGTCCCTGGCCATCTGATCAAACTGATCCTTGAATGCCCCCTGGCTGACTTCCAGCTCATCACATTTTTTCTGGTACCTAAAACATCAGGAAAACAACATTACTCCTTGGCTATATTTTCATGAAAACTGATCTATGATTCTGCATGCAGATTTCCTTCCATTGAATCATTTAGCATAACCTGTGTTTTGTTTTTTGTATTTTATTTCTGCAAATGACAATTCATCAACAAGACATAAAGGATAACTAGTTTTCTGTTTATCAAAATATCTTGTGTCTGGTCCAGATTTAGCTTGAACCTTGAATCTATTAGCTTTTAGTCTGAATAAATATTCAAAACAACTACATGTAAAACTATTTTCAATGGTCAGTTATAATGACAGTTCTACATTTAAGTTGCAAGTGTTCTAACATCTCTCTGCATTACTTGCTTTTATTCAACAATGACAAAAATTAAACCACGGAAAGATATTCAGATCCCCATGCCTATGGACTACAGTCAACCTCGCGAAGTTCTTCTTAGGTTCAGTGCTGTCTATACTTTCTTGTACTTAAATGCATTGTTAATCATCATAAGTGAAGATATATTGTATACAAAGATAAAGCGTAACAGTCATGATATCGATAGACAATATAGCAGAAAGTATATATTTCCATTAGGATTTTATGATACACGTACAGTGTACACATGTTGCAAATCGGCATTTCAAATAATACACATACATTCGAATTTGAAATTAGTAGAAAAGTCTTTGACAATCATGCATGTTTTTCAATATACCTGGCAAGCCTGTTTTCCAGATCCCTGATCTGGATGAGGTAGTATTCTTTCGACAATTCATTGAGTTGTTCACTGGATGTTTTTGATGGCGATCCCCTTCCAGATTTCTTTGCACTTTTCTTCCCCTTCTTACCACTCTTTTTCTTTTTAGGAGGCATCTTCGGTTACGTTTCCCTGTTATGCGGTTTATTCGGGAGTAAATATGCACGTGCGTATCTGATTGCGTTCACAAAGACCTATATGATAGGTCAACAGGCCTAGAAAACACGGAAACAACTACATTATTAAAGAACGATGATAGTGTCCGCCATCTTGTTGTCAACAAAGACAATGACGTCACTACTTGGATACATAAATATTTTATGAAGTATAGTTATTTAATTCTGTTTCATTTCATATATAGGATTATTTAAAATTAATAAATATGAAAATTTATCTGTATACCGATTGAAAATAAAATATCAATTTAAAAAGTAAAGTTAAGTTGTTTGGTATCTTAGTCACATGACTTAAAAATGGCGGTTAGAAAGAAATGGAAGAAAATACTATATGAAGACCAAGGTGTTCCAGATAACTATGTGGACTCCTCCTTCCTGGATGAAATGAGGAAAAACCGTAACTTCACTTTAATATTGATTTATACTACAAAGTTTGTTGAAATAGGATCTCATCTCCTCAAGTAGTTCGACTAGATCTACCCGAAGACGAAGTGTTGCTAACATAAAATGTTATACTTCCTTACTGTCAGGCTGTCGATGAGAAGTAAAATAATATATGTCTATTAAACCTTAGGAAGTTGTTATTCTATTCGCATTTATTCTGCAGTGAGTGCGTCGTATTGTTGTTATGATTGACATTTACAACATTACCCTACTCACTGATGAAAAAAAAAGAAGTAATTTGTTGGTCCCGAGTACTTACGGCAGGATCAAAACAGTAAGATGGGAATACGTATATGCTATGGCTATAGCTTAATGTGAAATTGGACATGTCTGAAAAGGAGCACAGCATTTGGAAATGCTAATTATCATTTAATACATTTGTTTATTGGTCAAATGGCTAAAATTCTGAAAAGCAAAAGTTGCAAAATGCGTGTAAAATTATTGTTTGTACCATTTTTAAACTGATGAACACAAATTGTTTAAATGGATGTCGGAATGCCAGATTGTCTGATATGTGAAAGAAAAATTGTCTAATTATGTTGCTTAAAACATGCAAAAAAAAATTGAAATTAATCTGGCAAGTGACACTAGTATGATGCTTTAATTGTCCCCTCCCCATTAAACACAATATGCTGCCTGAATGACTTTAGAGTGAAAGCCAAACAAGTATATAAATGTATGTTTATATATATAGCTGGGATCAAATACAAAGCACTCGTCCTCTGAAAGGCCTAAAGGCCATAATAGAGGACGTTAATCCCCTAATAATAATCAAATACAAATCAAACAGACAGTTGAATTTTGTTATGTGCAGTTGAATCTAAACATTAAATATTGGGATATTGCAATATTTGCCATGCTGCAGTGAGTGGTCATGCTTTTATTAAGATGTCAATATCTTGTATGCTATGAATGATATCGGTTGACCATGTTGTGAACAACTTATGGAGAACAATTGTTTAATTCACCAAAACACACTGGAAACTCTATTTATAATTAGATAAAGTAAAAATTAGTGTAAACAAATAATTTGGGTTATTTGCTAAATCTTTTGTGTTTGATTCCAGGGTATATCTCCAAGGGGAAGCAGTTTCTTGTTTCAGGGCTACACATGCATGTTCATTGTTTTTAGTAACACATCTACCAAGGGAGGCAGCTCTGTTTTAATGTATCTTTTCCTTGCATTTAGAGAGCTACACTTGAGTACCTGCTACACCCTTATTAATGTTGTCAAAATAATGTACCTAAAAGAGACTTTTATATTTGTAAATTGTGTTTTGGGGAATGCATTTGCTAAAAAAATCTATTTATCAATTTCTTTTGCATTGCAGTATATACTAGAACCTATTCCTACTGGCCAGTTGTGAGAAACTCTGGAGAGGTGACTCAGCAAATCAGCAGGTAATAAACGGATCACGTATGACTGGACAATTTCAAACATTATTTAGAAATCCTGGTCCAGCTTTAAAACATTTGAGACACTTTGTGTATTAAAGTGAGTCTTCAGGGTTGTCAGTTTTGTGATATTTATATAGATGTATGTATCTTAATCTATTAAAGTAGAAATGTGTCATTACATCAACAAAAAAAATTTAATTCATCTTGAAAAAGAACAGATCTTTTTGACCTTTAGAGACAGTTGGATATTAAGACTTGTCTTAATATTTCCATCATAGTCCTGTTGTCTAATGTGATATAATCTTTACCCCTGACAAAATGTTTCTATTTTTATTCATAGTCCAGCATTTATCATAGCCTGAGACAAGGCTTCACATAATTTTACAAATTTCCATTCAATTTTCTCATTGCTATTCGCTATTATAATAGTAATTGTGAAAGCAAAGGACATGCATTTCACATGTTAGCTGCAAAACAAAGAACTTTAAGTGAAATAAATCACGTGGAAAACAAGTCATCATCACTAATAGTTAGTTATGTATGCTTATTGATAAAAGCTAGAACTACACTTATGGTCATAGACATTGTTTATAAGCTACCTCGTCACACTTTTGTGGCACATACATTTCAAAATAAACATGTATCTTGATGGTTTTATTTGAGTTTTGATAGACTCCTACCATATTTAGCTTATATACAAAATGTATATTGATTTTAGAACTGAACTTACTAGTTAATAACTTGATGGTTTTCCTTTCAGTTTGTGTCTCTTTGTTGTTGCCTACATCTATATGTATAACCAAAAACTGTCACCTCAATTGTTGGTGATTGCCATGGCAACTGTTACTACGGTAGGCTACCTGGTCAAGCTTTACACAGACCATGTGATAGGAATAAAAGATCCACATAGAACAGGTGAGAGATTGGGGTTATATTAAGTGTACGTTATTATGTATACAATATATATTTACACCCCCCCCACCCCCCCACCACTACTAGCAATCGAAAAATTTTCTTTACCTTATGTGTGGCTGAAGCACATTTAATTGATGACGGAAAGTGTGTGAATTTTTTCCTCAGACGTCTATTTAAAAATGAAATCGATAAAATGATAACAAAAAGTGAACTACATGTGAACACTATACTTTTCCAAACTTTGTCACATTGGGATACTAAAGAAACAGATGTTCATATCAGATTTGGGATTATCTAGCTGTGTTTCTATATACATGTACATTTATATGAAAAAATAATAGAAAACAGCAAGAAAATCCAACTTGAAATGACAATGTCCATTTTCATAAGTTCAATTTAATGAAAGTCACTTAATGTTTTGGACATGAAATTGGACCTCCTTAAACGATGCACATGTAGAATTGAAACATTTTCAGAATAAAAGATGATTGGACATCAATTTTCCAGATTATGAGAGTTCATATAGATCAGCTAAAACGATGCTGCAAACCTATGAAAATAAATCATTTCATATTAATGTATATGTTTGATAAGTGGTGAGAAAGGATGATAGAACGTCATGGTTACCGATATACATTTTATACATAATAATATAATTGATATGTGTGATGGCATCATTCACCTCTACTGCAATCTTAGTTTTATGCAAATCAAAATTGACTTCTGATTACTGATTGATATAACATTTTTCCAAATTTTTGTTGCAGTACTAGATGATTTGAAGACGGCAGTGATATTCACAGGCTTCAGTTTCGGTCTGTCCCCTGTCCTTGTTTCATTGACAGAAACTATCTCCACAGATACCATCTATGCTATGACAACAGTGATGTTACTTGCTAACCTTATCTTCCATGACTATGGAGCTAGTGCTGCAATGTAAGTAAGAAAGTGTATACTGAATTGGCACCAGTAACTGGCTGTAACGTAACTGGGAACTATTATACTTTATATATTATAACTTTCACTAAAGTACCTATCTGTTCAATATACTTGTAGCCAATTACAAATTAAGTTGTTTGTTTGCTGTCAAGAACCATAACAAATATTGTATGACCCAATTAAAACCAGGTCATATCATTGGTTATCTATGCCAGGTACATTATGAAGTAAAGTCAATAACTGTATCTTTGAGGTATGCAAATGTGAACTCAATTGAATCTAGGTAAACTACATTATTAATAAGGAAGATAAGGATGGACTGTAAACCTATAAACTATTCATTTTCATTTTTAAGTTTTCTAAATTTTCAGCAGTAAAAAAAATCAAAATGCGGTTGTTAACATGCTGATCACTGGTGAAAATTGTATTTATGTAGGTTATGTGCAAATTAAGCAAATTATTTTAGGAGTGAAAAATGACTTGACTGAAGACAGTTACTGTTGGCGACATATAGCCTGACTTTGTTGCTATTACTAGTCCCCTCCAAGCACTGGAAGTGACTACAATTTTGTGTTGTATTCATTCCTCACCCTCCCTCCTTCCAGTCAGGTTTATATCTCCTACACTTTTTGTCACAGAAATTTTAAATTTGGAGTAAAGGTTCAACTTGGTGAATTAGTGTACATGTAGCAAAAGTAGGTTTCTATGACCTACATTTAGATCTTTAACCTACATCAAAGAAAAAGATTTTCCGTGTCTTATCTCCCATACTACATGTCAATGGAACTGTATGCGTAGGGTATTGGTTGATTTTTGTTAGGCGGCGTGTCACATCAGAAGTGGATCTTTTTGACCTACACTTTGACCTTTGTCCTACATCAAAATATATTGGTTTTTCTATCTCAAACATTTCTTTGCCATGAAACTTGGGTTCATTTTGGTGAATTGGTGTTTGTGTATCAAAAGTAGTTCACGTTGACATACATTTTGACCTTTGACCTCCATCAAAGAGAAAGTTTGTTTTTTGGCACTATTTTCTGCACTACTAGTCAGTGGAACTTCATACATAGGGTCACTTTTTTGAGGTGGTTTGTCCTGTATCAAAAGTTGGTCACTTTGACCTACATTTTGACCCTTGACCTACATCAAACAAAAATGTTTGTCTGAGCACTATCTCCTACACATCTTGTCACTGGAATGTCATACTTTGTGTACGGGTACCCCATTTTAAACATCTTTTGTCTCAATTCATCACTTATCACATATTAAATAATGTAATCTACAGGATAAATAACATATCTGTTAAGGTAACATTTGTGTACTATGTAACTTTTCTTTAAATATCACATTATTTGTTATCAGATGCATATCACTGTACTTTATCTTTTGTATGTATTGCTTTAGATGTAGACTTTTAACCACATTCACACATTACATTACTTAAGGTACCTAGTTCATAAAATCAATATACAGAATACAACTAGTCTGTGCAGACATGTATTGTTGTGTTCTTGGGGAAGACACTGAACTGAATTGCTCTAGATGGGATGTGACAGGCCTCTCGTAAATATGTTTATCAAAGAATTAGCTACAAGGTACTACAATGAGGCCTTGCCACAAGACCACCTTTAATTTGCTGTTTCCTGGGCAATAATCAAACAGTACAAATATAGATTTCAAATAATTAGGTAAATACTACATAAAGTTTTATGAGACCTGGTGATACATATACCCATAAAATAGAACATGTTTATAAATCTACAACATAATCAGGAGCAGTAGACCTTTTTATGTATGTACTGATTCATGACAATATGTCCTCAGTATTACCATATTTATCCTTGTCAGATAAAAAGCTCATCAATATATGACACAGTTCAGTGAAATATGATACTTTAATTCTGCAACTGGCACTACCATTGTCGGAATACACTTGTCTAACGGAAAACAACTGTATGTTAGCACTTTGATTCAGCAGAATCACTTTCTGATCTGCTTATATATAACATTTAAAAGTTTAAAGAGTTCTTTAAATAAGCAATTTTATTTCTTGTAACAAATAAGGCTATTTACAAAAATTAAAGAAATGTCTGCTATATTGATTTTAATTTTGAACTGTATTTCCACACTGAGAAATCATTTTGTTGTACATGTCAGATATAATATAACTCAGTGTAATGTTTAGGTCAGGTAAAGAAATATAAGCTGGCCTGGCCATGTTTTGGCTTGGTTCAGAAAGACAAATGTAACAAGCCAAATGTCTTTCTTCTCTCTCACCAAAATATAGCTGATATTTGAAGACACTATGTATTCTATGTATAAAATATATGATACACAGAACCTATGTGAGGTTGGGAAGTTGTGTCTGTTGTTTGCCTCTGGTCTTATTGCAGGTTAATGTGATGTTCTGCATTTGACAAAAAAGCCTGTTTATCCTCTATACTTAGAAGTTAATACTTTCATATTTTAAATGACTTGCTAATTTATGAATGTTTGTTCTGCAGGGTTTCAGAAGCCCTGTCCCTCAATGCTGGAATATTTGCCTCCGTGTGCCTGGCCTCCAGACTCCATACGACATGGCATGCCTTCGCCACAGTAACATTATCCCTTCTCGTATTTGGACTCTGGCCAATGCTGAGGAAGCAAATGAAGGCAAGTTTGCACAGGAGGATCGTAGGTTATTTTGTCTAATGAAATTTATTGTTGAGATGGAAAGCAAATTTGTCTGCAATTCCACTTTAAGCCACTATAACTAATGATTGTTTGACTGGCACAATTACTTATATGCATGATTATTTACACTACTACAAATTTTGGTTACACAAATGTTTAAAACCTCAAAAGGTAATTGGATGAATTTCTTTTAATGTAGAAGGCTATCCCAGGAAGTCAAGTTGGAATGACCTTGACCTTATGTAGTGTGTCCCTTGTTGCTTTGGTAACAGTGTCCGCTGTAGCAGCAGTTTTGGGATTGTTGCTTATATTGTTCATCACATTCCTTTGTCCAGCTTGGCTAATCAGTCTTCAACCCTACAAAAAGTAAGTTTCTGCTGAGTTATTTGGAAAACTGATCGACAGTAATCTGTTATGTTGTGATTCAAATCTGTTCTTACTTCACCTTTTTGGTATGTTTTTAAAAAATTATCAGTAACTAATGGAATGAAAACATGAATCTTTTGATGAAATTCTGCTACTTGCATACTTTTCATACAGCATCTGGCTTCTAAAGACAGCTTTGTATTCGTTTTAAATTAATATCCAACTTTAAATAATTTTACTAGATATTCCATAGAAACACCTCTAAAATATTACTTTTGTGTCTTTTTAGCAATATATATGGTCCATGGGATGAAGCTGTCATTCAGACCAAATGAAAAGAGCTGTCAGCTAGTGCATCTGCATCCAGCAAATGAATGTTGAATAATGAAAGCCTAAGGTGTTTCAATACCTGTTTGGTTGAAAAGTCACAAGATTGTTCTTTGATGGTGCTGTGTCTCCTGAAGAGTGAAAGTACAAGATGTTATTACATCTTTTACATCAGTTGAATCATGGGAGTTCAAGATATTTTCACTTCTCCTGAAAAGAGTGAGCCAAGGATGTCTCTACATCTATTGAAGAGCAAGAGTACAAGATGGTTCTACATCTACTGAACAGTAAGAGTTCAAGATGGTTCTTCATCTACTGAACAGTGAGAGTTCAAGATAGTTCTACATCTACTGAACAGTGAGAGTTCAAGATAGTTCTACATCTACTGAACAGTAAGAGTTCAAGATGGTTCTTCATCTACTGAACAGTGAGAGTTCAAGATAGTTCTACATCTACTGAACAGTAAGAGTTCAAGATGGTTCTACATCTACTGAACAGTGAGAGTACAAGATGTTTCTTCATCTACTGAACAGTGAGAGTTCAAATGGTTCTACATCTACTGAACAGTGAGAGTTCAAGATGTTTCTTCACCTACTGAACAGTGAGAATATAAGATGTTTCTTCATCTACTGAACAGAGAGAGTTCAAGATGTTTCTTCGTCTACTGAACAGTGAGAATACAAGATGTTTCTTCATCTACTGAACAGTGAGAATACAAAATGGTTCTACATCTACTGAACAGTGAGAGTTCAAGATGTTTATACATCTACTGAACAGTGTGAATACAAGATGTTTCTAGAGAAAGTCAAGGATGTTTTACATCTGTTAAAAACCATTTCCAAGATTTTTCTGATTCTGTCAAACAGAGAATGACAAGTCATCAAGATTTTTGCATCTCTTAATCAGTGAAAGGTAATATTTTCCAACAAAATTTAAGAGTGGAAGAGCAACATACTTCTGCATCTGTAGAGCAGTATTGGCAAAGATGTTTCATAATATTTTTTTTATGAAACAATGACAGAAGATGGACTGGATAACATTCATAACTGACAGATGTTGATATCAGTCATTGGTATCTCATACTCAGTATAGAAGTGTTGAAGAAAGATATGAATTCTTTATGAATGTGAGAGGTTTACCTTCCATAGTAGGATATACTATTGTAAAAGGAAAAAGTAAGTTAGTTTATGCTTGGGACCATGTAATGCTAAAAGAATCTTTGCAGATTAAAATCTTGGATATACGAGAGCTTGTTGTTTTACTTTTATGGACTCTTGTTTTTACTCCACTCCATCAGGAACCTTATGAGAGATATATTCATCTATTTTAAAAAAATATCACAATAATAGTGGTTCATGGTAGATGTCAAAGGGCAGGTGAACTTTCATTCTCAGTTTGTCCCAAGTTCATCTTGACCCATTTTCAAGGTCAATGAGGTGTCAAATGTATTTAATTCTTAAAATATGTCTTCTTTGGTCTATAACTAAAAAGCCAACAGACTACAAAGCAAGCCAAAAGGACAATGCTGTATATATATATTTTCAAGGTGAATGCATGTCAATCAATATCAATAAAGTTTATTCAAATGAATGACCTTGATCCACTTTCACTTGCAAATTGGTGAACTGAAAAAAGGAATTCTAGGATGACATGTAACATACTGGAAAGAAGAAGTAGTATGTTTAGCATAAATATGTATTAAACCATATTTGAAAGTCCCATTGTGGTGACCTTGCCACAGTGTCAAATAGGGGTTTAATATTGAAATTTCACTGAAATTTGCTTGAAGCATAAATTTTGAAGATAATAGTGATATCCAAGAGTAGTTATATGGTGTAGCAGCTTTACTGAGCTCCAACTCCCTCACACACCATCCAGTGGCATAGAGCATGGTGTGGTGGAATAATGAAAAAAAGACTACAGCCAAGATGGCCTGTATCACTCCCATAGATATCAAAGCAAGTATGCAATCAAAATCATGATACGTTCTATGATTCTTTTTCATGTTGCTATTGTACTTTGGAAATGGTATATACGTAATTATATACGATAATGTATACTGCTGGAATTTATGAGAAACAAATCATGATTGCTTTTGGTATTCTGGTTCACAAACACAATGTCCTTCAGCAAAGTTTTATATTTAAAATTTATATCAAGAAAGTTTGCAGCACTTAATGAATCACATGAATATTCTACATTATCGTCAGGTATCAGTACCCGTGATCGTTTGGCACTTGAGAAGTACACTAACTTGTATCTTGCCTCATTGGAAGATTTCTCTTGTTATCATAACTAATTACAGTAGTGAATATCGGAAATCAGTTTAAGAAAACACGATCGAGGAAACTGCATTTTCACAGAAAAAAAAAAACGTCACGTGTATCTAAATAAAGAAAATTTAACTTTATCAATGAATACATCAATAGATAACGAGTATTTTCAGCGGACTTGTTAATACGTTATATACGGTAACATACGTGATGTCTGTGTTAGAAAAATGTTTGAAACGGAAGACTTATTAAAGAAGCGTTAAATAGACATGGAAAATGTAAATATGGCGGACAATCCGTCGGTAACCCCATCAAGCACGGAAGGAAGCACCGACTCGTTGGATAGTCGTACACGGGACGCTGTCACTGATGGTCTTGTAGAGCTGCTAAAGCCCGCAGTAGAGGAAATAGACGACAGGGTGAAAACTGTGAGGTATATCTAACGTAATGTTGTCAAGACTTCTTGTTGCACAGAGTGGGCGGATCTCGTTTCTCTTAGTTAACTTCAATACTATGTAGCTATCATAAACTAATTGTTCTATAGAATTACTCACGGACTAAGACAACCATAGTATACCATATGAAATACAAATGTCGATGACTACTTTGTAATATCTTTACCAATGTAATTACAAATGTTGAAACCATCTTGTCACTTCTAGTAAACAAACACTAATAAATTACAGTCTGTCGGACAAAGCATGCATTCAACTATTGATACGATTCCTTTACCAATACTTCATTCTTTACTAGCTGAACTAGGTATCTATGTGCATTATAACCCAACTGCCACCCTCCTAGCAGGGTCAATTGATAACCTAATTGCCTAATTATATGCCAACATTTCAGTACTGAAATTATATATGTTTGTGTGACGTGTTTATTATCATGTCATTCACGCTACCATAAATATTTGATGTATACTATACCATATGTGGGGCCTGGATTGAAGCATTAAAAAAAATCACATGATCTTGTATGCAGTATATGAAATAGTATAATACTGGTTGCAAGCACAAAAATAAAATTGTTGACTTACTTTGAAAATAGTATGAGAAACCATTATTGGAAGACATTTCTTGAACAATTTTCAATGATGATTAGAATAATATTATAAAAAATTGGTACATGTATAGCATGTAAAGTTGCTGAAAACAAATTGCATTAATTTCATAGAACTATAAGGCCATCTGACCATAGTTCATGATGACCTATATGACATACATTTGTTATAGTGATAGTTCTTCATCTGCTGTCATGCATGAACTTTTTCTTGTGCACATGATAACTTAAGTTAATATGCACAGATTTTTATGAAACTTTGATCTGCACCCTTATATCAATAAGATCTCTGATGAGCTGTACTATGGAACTGATTCAGTTATTTGCAGAGTTATGGTACTTTCCAGTTGTATTGTTTCCATTGGACATTGAGAAGATTATACCTTGAGTAAATTTGCATGGATTTTAATGGTTCTTGGTTTGCAACCTTATATTTATAGATCTGGTATGAGTATGACAATGGGACAATCCTCATTTGCAGAGTTATGACCCTTTGCAGTTTTACTTCCATTGTACATTGTTAACAGAATGACTTGAAATTACAATGGGACTGATTTAGTTGTTATTTGCAGATTTATGGCCCATTGCAGTTTTATTTCCATTAGACACAATAACTTAAATAAATATGAATAGATTTGGATGAAATTTGGTATGCATTAATATATATATATAAATATATGCATAAGATCTCACATCAGTTGGAAAATGGGAACAATTCTATTGTAACTAACATAAGAACGTTGTTATGGCCCTTAATGCTGGAGCTGGTGATCACAATAATTTGAGTAAAAATGAAAAGGTTTTAATGAAATTTGGTATGCAGCCTGATATCATTAACAATTTAGATAAGTGGATGGTACTGATTCCAATTCAATTGTTGTTTACATATTTATGACCCTTTCCATTTTTACTACCAAAGGAATTTGGGAACACAATAACTTCAGATTTTAATGAAATTTGGTATGGATTACAGACAATGAGACTCATTCAAGTGTAATTCAGAGAGTTATGTCCCTTTGCAGTTTAATAACTATTGAGACTTGTTAAGATGATAACTTGGGTAATTATGAATGGATTTTGATAAAACTTGGCATGGAGCTTTATATCATTACGATATTGAATAAGTGAAACAATGTGGTCGAGTTGAGGTAACTTACAGTGTTATTGCTCTTTGCAATTAGGTTGATCGAGATTAGTCATGTGACCGTGTAGGCCCATGGGCCTCATGTAAATGTGTTATATTGTATTTCATATCAATTAATGATTCCACTCACACGTGTCTTGTCATTATACAAGAATTCATTATGAATATTACAAGTATTATGATCAAAATTATTATATTGAATTGATATAACAAAGTTTTTTTGTCATTACTAGCAGTGGAAACTTACGGGCAGAAAAAACAGTTGCAAATGTTTGATTTATTTTGTTTAATTTGCAGAGATAGCCAGGTTGAGTTGCGACAACAGATTGACTGTTTAGCTGATGGTAAGGTATCAAGTGTAACTTGAAAAATAGTAGCAGTCCTGTGTGGAATAAGTCAATCTTTCTCCAGAAATTTGTTCCACATTTATAAGTTAAACACATTTGGTATCAGTATTTACCTATGTAAGGTAAAATAACTTGCCCCTAAAAATGTAGTATTATCTGGAAGTCATCTAGGGGCCTACAGAAGTATACAGCTTGATGTGATGGTATATATATAGTATGTGATGGTATGTGAAATCTTTATGTTAATGGTTTCATTTTGTCTACAAAAATCTTAATATCAAAATAATAATATATACTTTCGAATTCCTCTTTTATTTAATTTCTCCTCATACAAATGTTAAGACAACATAACATGATCAGACTTTGCAATGTTTTTATTCAAAAGACAGAGACAAAATTTCAAGGTCTTATTATTTTTAATTCAGACTTGAAGAAGATAGCTGAGCAGCAGGCAGTGCCAGTTGATCTCGAACCTTACGTCAAGAAACTAAATAATTCTCGTCGACGTGTTATGCTAGTCAACAACATTCTACAAAATGTGCAGGTATGGTAACATCAGCAAGGACATACACATAACTGATTTTCCCATGTTATATCAACTTTATAGAAACTATATATATATAATTCACATTTCCATTTTGGAATATTTGAAATATTTGATACATACTTTGTCTAGACATTGGTTGTAGGGCTAATGTTGTTTGCCAAACTTTTGTTATTATGATATAAAAGGCACTTTATATATGAAATCAGTCTTTTTAAAATCATTTTCTGCTATGAAAATGTATATGGGATTTTCTTTCACAAAAAAAATTGCTGATACATTTATATATAAAGAATTGTAATTAAGTCTCCCAAGATACATCTATTAGTTTTAGCACCAAATTTGTTTAATGTTACCAAATGACATGGCTTAATTACTAAGGAAGTATGGCTTCAGTAAATTTGATAGGGTGTTCATTTTCCGTTTCAGGAAAGATTGACCAAATTATACAACAATGTTTCCAAGGAAACAGCACGGAGAAAAACGCTACTGGATTCTCCATCTCCAGGTCCTCCACACTAATGAAACAAACTTTTTGTGGTTTTGAATAATTCTATATTATGGTACCCCACAAAGTGAGATACCAGAAGAGACATTTTTGTTGTTTTAACTCTGTCTCCATGTTCCCTACACAAGTGGAACATCAATAGAGATTTCCTTGTTGATTTAATCAAATCCCAGGAGTTTTTATATTTTATCGACAGAGCTATATTTATGATAGATGATGATGTGTATAAAAATATTACACAGTGACTCACAAACTGTATCCTGCTACATGTATTATGATACATGTTGATGTGCAATAATCCTTAAGTTTTGTGGCCATGAACATTATATGTAAAACTCGTATAACCATATGCTTACAACCAGTATGTCAGAAGATATACTTCTGCATTGATTTTGCATATCAAACTTGCCATGTCCAACAGTAGCCTGGAAAGTTCAAATGAAAACTACCTTAAATACACTTTAAAATCATTTTGATACAGAAAAACTTCACATGAAGATTAGCTATATTTAGATTTTGTTTTGTTGTTCAAATGGAAAAACTTGTAGGTTCTAATACTATTTTCAGTGATAGATGTCTTTTCTCTGATCAGGAGAAAGAAAAACAAATTTGGCATTTTTTTTGCTTATAATTGTTGTAATGAAGGGAATGTGTACATACCCCAAAAATTTCAAATAACAAGACACAGCTTATTTCCAGTAATACAAAATAAATGCAGGTTTATTAATGTAAGAAATGATAGTCTTGATTTTAGGATAGGCTTGTTTTTGAGGTTTTCTTGTTTTAATGACTTAAGAGTATTTTAAAGATGACTATAATACTGCAAATATATCTTTTCATTAGCACTTTAAATGTAACACTTCAATCATAAATGAGGACAGACCTGCAAATATTACTACAAGCCTCAAAAGGCAAAGTTGAAGCAGGTCAGAAAACATATTACCTGGGTAGATCAGTAGGTCCACCCTTATTTCATAAACGAACATCTCTGGTCCAACTGGTCGAATTGATGAAACATAAATGCCCCTTGTATGTGTTGTTCCTAGCCATATTATATATAAATCAACAATTGAGAAGGAATATGTGATTTGTTGTATATTTATTTGTTACCATGTGAATACATTCCATAAATACATATTCTTACCATTTTATTGAATTGTTTTGTGAAAGTAAGGCAAATGGATGTAACAAATTAAAATTCCACTTGTTTTATGTGAAGACTGAAAGAAAACTGATCAGATTTATCAAAATGTTGAAGGAAATGCTATGTACCTATACAGATCACACATAGTGGTTTCTCATTAAATCTATGCGTTAGGCATATTTTCACGTGTATGACAGAATATTTAAAACAGAAAAGCATTTATCACTTGTGCGTCTGTAAAATAAATGAAGTATTTTATGTATCATGATAAATATTCAAAGAGGAAAACAACAGATTTTCTGATCTTATTCATTGCATTCTAAAGAAGGAAAAAGTGTTTGGAATCAGTAACATAATCATTGATATCAGAATCTACCTGGTGATCAGATTATTCTTGAAAGTACAGAAAACACTGCAGTTCTAGTTTCAAAGAACTTTGTAACATAGCTCTATTGTTTCTAGTGATACTGGTCAATGCTTTAAACAAATAAAGAATATCCAGGACACTGAAACAACCACTTTTTCTGACTCCATTTGATTTGTACTGACAAACAATGGATGTTAGTGAGACCATTAAAGACAATCATTATAATTAGTGAACACTAAGTGCTATCTCAAATATCAAGCAAACAGACATTTCATTTCATTATTTACTTGTAACAAGAGTACCGTATATCAGAACAATATACGCCCATCCCATTATGAAGAAATATTCTTCAGTCATTGTAAAGAAGAGGATACAAATATCAAAATTGTAAAAACATTAGTCAAACTGTGAGGAGAGAAAACGGTGATACAGTCATATTTCAATAATAAAGTTATGGAGGGGAAACCCAAAGAAATCTCTGGACAGACACGAGAATACAATCTCATGTTGTAGTTTTATATAGTTTTATGAAGTTCAAAAGAAATTGGTTAAAACAAAGGGCAATAACTCCTTCCAAAATTGTTAAATCACAATATCAGTTAGGAAAACACCATTTCGTATAATTGTGATTAAGCCTTCCAAGTTTCAAAGAAATCAATTAAAAACTGAGAGAGATCTCCTGACAGAATTAACATTATTACTAAAGAAGACGCAGTAATTCTTCCAAATACAATTGGATCAATTTGCCATTCAGGAAAACACAACATTGTGTCATGGAGATTAAGCCTACCAATTTGAAAGTAATCGGTGGAAAACTTCGAGCGAACTTATCTGGAGAAGCTTAACGTGAAAACAAGGGGCAGTAACTCATCCAGATACAGTTGAAATCTGGGAAAGGAGATCAATAGACAAATAAGTTTATGTCAGACGGACAGTGCCTTACCATCTTACATCCTGTCATCATTGATGAAAGATATATGAAAATGTAATAAATATAGTGTGTTTACAGTTAACTGATATAGTTGCCAATTTTGTAGTACATCATTCCAATTAAAAATATTTTAGAGAAGAAGAGTGTTTACGATATGCAGTCTTAAACAAGATGAAATTACCAGTGATTTAAATAGAACATAATGGCTTTGCACAAATCTAATTATAATTTTGGATTGCAATTTAAGAGGCCAAACTGGCCTGTATATTGTGAAATTTTTTTGATCAGTATCAGATTCACTGAGAAGAGCTTGATGTATGTTTAGTTTTAAAGTTCTCTATTCTGAACTAACAGATGTGGTCAATCACAACAAACTTAGGATCTTCAGTTTAATATCTCTACCGGTTTCACCTGAACATTTGGGCTACTTCAGGATAAATTGTGGTTTACATTCTACCCTAAAGTACTATAAATGTGGTACTCTTTTGTATTGTTCATTATGACGTTATACAATTACAGTCATATGACTAGAACTAAGAACAATAAGTCAAGAATTACATAACATTTTCTACTCAATTCTGGTATTAAACTGGTGGGATCACATTGTCTATATTCACCTTGTTATATTTTATATCAATACACTGTTATAGACCAATAGATTATCATTCTAACCAAAGTATAGACAGGAATAAAGATGTAATTGTTATTTAAAATGAAACTTAAAATTAAGATTAGATTTGAAATAAATTAGAACAGTTCATCAGTTAGACCCGGAACTTGACTTGATCCAGCTGGGTTTTAGTTAACACCTCATACTGGCATTAATTTCTTGCTTTTTTTTGAGTGGGTTTACAGAACCTTCAATTTCTTCATGAGAAAAACGGTGTTGGCTCTATACCTCTAGTGATATTTATTTTGAAGATTTAATTACAATTTATATTCATGTATTCTATGATTGATTGAATGTAATTGCCGTTTGTCAGAAGATGGTAATGACCCAATATCAGAAGATAGTTTAGATCATTTAATACATTTTATACCAAAGCGATCTTTTAGAGTCTGTCAAGATTATACCTGCTGTTGTCGTGAAAGTTAGTCAAGGTCATTGATTTGAAGACATTTTATATCATAGGCATTTATAATGACTTTTGGCCTCCTCGTTATTCAGTAGACTTTTTGAAGATTTAAGTACATTTGACCTTAAGGAGCTTGAATATAGGCTAATGTAACTTATATCAACAAAGTTGATAGTCCTTGGTCCAGCCTCACAATATTAGATCAGTACCTTGTTGTGGTGAAGGGCTACCAACTTTGTTAAAACGAATTACCTCAGTATTCAAAGACTGTGAAAAGATTTGAAAACGTTTGATAACTGTGACCTTGAAAGAGGTTCAAGAGCATTCTTTTCGTCACATATCTTTCACTTTCAGCAGAATACTACCCAAACATCATGATGCTTTTTTTCTTTTAAAGTTATGACCTATAGAGAGGCCCAATTTCATTGGCTGCCTAGCCCTTCATCCCAGTAGGCTATGGGTAAATTTGACTAGATTTTGCTATTACATAATATGCTAATTCACTGCAGTGTGTTGCTATGGGTAAATTTGACTAGATTACTGCAGTGTGTTGCTATGGGTAAATTTGACTAGATTTTGCTATTACATAATATGCTGATTTACTGCAGTGTGTTGCTATGGGTAAATTTGACTTGATTTTGTTATTGCATAATATGCTAATTCACTGCAGTGTGTTGCTATGGGTAAATTTGACTAGATTACTGCAGTGTGTTGCTATGGGTAAATTTGACTAGATTACTGCAGTGTGTTGCTATGGGTAAATTTGACTAGATTTTGCTATTACATAGTATGCTGAATTACTGCAGTGTGTGTTTTGCACAGAATTATTAAAACAGCATGAAATAGTGATTGGTTTCATAAAGCATGAAATTATTTAAAGACGAGATAACTCTCGAGTTAAAAAAAAACAACTTTATTAAAACTTGTTTCCTCAAGATTATATGCATGCTAAATATTTATAGACAAAACAAATGTTATATAGCTATATATAATGATAGTAATGTATATAAATTTCTGAATGATTGCGCTTGATTTTCATTGATTTATCCAGTTTCATGATCATATACACATTCCATATCTACCATATAAAAATAATTTTCATTTTGTTTAAAGCAACAATGTACAGACCTAGTTGTTCAAAATGTGTAGATATTTGCAGTTCTGTTAATTGTATTAATTTGCTACTTGTCACTAGACAGTTAACAGGAAGATTTACAAAGGTCAACATATGTTCACTTATGTTTATAGGCCATGAAGTTCATCATATTATGAAATTGATAAATCAAACTTTTACCCTGGTTGAAAAATATATGATGTTTAATTTTTTTGGTTCTTTTTTGATATTTTAAATGAAGCCTGTTGGCAAGGTATGTTGCAGTATCCGTAAAACAATGCAAAAAGGAAAACATTATTTCTTACATTTTATTTTTTGACATTTTTCTTTTATCTATGTTAATTTAAAAACAATAATAATCGTCATTACACAGATGTTAAACACACTGGCGGAACAACCCAACAACTGATGGAATAGAAAAAAAGCTGATTTCATTTTGATGGCAAAATTTGTCAGACTTAATGTCTATTAAGGTATAGACATCAATTTTGTTTGCAATGCCAAACAGAGAATGTACAATGGAAATGTTAATATTGAAAAATTAACATAATGTATTATTTTGTTATAGGAACACATCTTGAAAAAAGGGAAATATTAGACATAACTGACAGCTTCCAGCTAGCAGTGATAGCTCAGTCTGAAGAGCTTTGAAAGAATACATCTTCTGGTAAAATGAGGTGTTTCATTCAATCACTAAAGGCAGGAGGAGAGGTAGGCTTTTGTCAAGTAGGAAGCTCTTGAGATTACACACCATCCTAAAGTTCAGTAAGGTAGCTAACAGCCAAAAAAAGGCAAATTCAAATTATTGAAGAATGGCAACAAATCCAGCAAACCATGACTGATGTACAGCATTAGATATGATAGGGCAAGAGTTACACTGTTTATTGCACTGCTATAGTTATCTCTGATTAAAGTTGTATAATATGCACAAATATTTTGTGTTCAAGAACTAATAAGTTCTTCTACTGAGAGATTTTTGATTTAGCAATAATGTTGCTTCTCAAGAATAAAGATGCTAAACAGCAAATTTCATTGTTTCCAATGCCATTGAAACCACGGCAACGGGACCCGCTTGCAACGTGCGGAAATATGACACCTAATTATACTGATTACATAGAACATTTAGTCATTGACCAACTTCATAGCTTTGAAAGTGTTTTCCTCTGTATGGCAGCACGGATATTTCCTGATGGTTTATCTGTTGGCATGTATATCTGAAAAGCATGAATAGAATACATCTTAATAATGTGAAAGTTTGGAAGTAAATAAGAAATTTAATGGTTTTAGGTAATACTTTGTGTCTATTTTAACATTGTATTTTGTAAAAAAAAAAGTCAAATAATTGACAGTTTTTTGTATTGTTTGGAACGGACAATAATTCCAGTACAACTAATTCTAAAAATGAACTGTTGTATAACATTTCAACAGGCCTGGATTACAATGGCTGCACCTTCATTCAAACAGCAAGATTTAACAATTGATTTCCAATCCCTATATAACAACTGACTTACTTCATTTGTACTATGTTCAAAGTGGATCTTGGGGAATCGAGTGAAGTCGACACCAAAATAGTGAACATTAGGGAGTTCCATTTCCATCTTCTCTATCTGTGGAAAGTAAGAAAGTTAATGGTGAAACACATTGTACATACACCCAGTAATAGTGTTAAGTCCCCTCTCAGGATCGCAGTAAACTTCAACTTGAACAGAAAAAAACTATGACAATTCTTCTTCCAAATGCAATTAACATTAATGTACCATATACAGATGTACAGTATCTCTTATTTGAATTTGTATCATCTAATAACCAGACTATTTGACGTTCTCTGGGTGGACATCTATAACGATGTAACATACCTGTGACACCAAAGGTTAATATACATGTACCTGTATCGTGTTAAAACACTCACATATATTAACTAGAATATGGACAGGTGGCTTATATCCCACATAATCATCAAGAAGCCATTTGCCTTATGGCTATGGCTGACAATAGACATTTAGGCTTTGTAAAAATCACATGGAAGCAAACATATATTATTACATGTACTATGATATGACTTTTGTCTTTTGACTTCTTATCTAATTTAGATCCTTTCGTCCTTGAATTTCGGAGTGAAAGTCAATCACAGTGACATTGATCTTTCCTGAGATGACTTCCTGTTTAATTCTGACCAACTTTGTATCATATTGTCAAAACAAAGTGTTTATCAGTAGAAAGATACAAATCTGACTCTGACCTTTGACCTTGATTTTGGTAAATTGACTTGTTAAATTCTAACTAACTTTGCTTCATAGTGTCATAACCAAAAAATAATCACCAGAGAAAATATACAAAATCTCACACAGACTTTTGCAGCTAACACTATCATATATGTAGTGAACTACTGTACAGCGAATTATTACATACCTGTAACTTACTATTGTATAATAGCTGTGATAGATGTTAACTGACCTGTGATGGATTGTGTTAACTATGTTAATTCACTTGTGATAAGTATTGTCTTATAATTCACCTGTGATGATGATGTTAACTCACCTGTGGAATTCTAGCCAGTACGTGTTTTTCTGTGAGGAAGAGAGTATTCTGTACTGATGGAGAAAACACACCTTCATGTGCTGGGCCAGCAAATGTCTCCAGGATCACATTCTTCACAGTGCTCCTGCCACCAAATATAGTTTAAATTCTGAAACTTGACATGACTCTTGACTATCTGTCACATCTGACATCACTTCTGCTCAAACTCTTATCAAAAAATCACAAAATTGAATTCTGACACCAAGTTTAATTCATCTTATATCTGTTGCTCAAATTCTTATTAAAAAATCACAAAATTGAATTCTGACACCAAGTTTAATTCACTTTTTATCTGTTGGATCACGAAGACTGTTAGATTATTTAGAATTTTCTGTAAAACTTCATGTCATCTTTACTCCATGAAAACTTCAGGTATACCTACTACCACTTTCAGTCTCTTCAGCCAAGGATTCTAACGTCTATTACATAACATTTCTTAAACAGCATTTTAGAATAACGATTTGCTCATTGTTTGACAATAAATAAATGGTTAAATATTACAAATGAATGTTTATAACAAGATCAATCAGAAAATTACATTCCCCTAGTGAATATGAAAATATATGCCAATATGTATTTGTTTTACAATTGCAAAGAAATCTGCTGGATGTATATTGGTATAGTGGAGCTGTTTTACTGTTAAATTATATCTGGCAACATCATATAGATTCCATAGTGGTTATTATTTCATTTCATTTGGAGGTATGCAGGAGAATAAATTCACAGTAATATTCATCATGCATTGTCTTTGATGTATGTTAACCCTGATCCCATGTTAGAAGAACCCATGACCAAAATGAATATCAGTGACTAGTGTTAAAGATCACGCCAGAAAAGGTTTTATCACTGATATAGGTTGAAAGTCAAAATGTAGGTCAAAGTGACCTTATTCTAGTACATGACACACTGCTTTATATTGATTGACCCATCCCTCTAGAATAAAATTCTAGTATTGTCAGAGCTCACACAAACTTTTTCTTAGTCAAAGGTCTAAATGTAGGTCAAAGTGACCTACTTCTGATACATGACACCAATATACCTAGGTTAGCTCATTGCCTAAGCATGACAAGTAGTATAGGAGATAGAACTAGCTAGCCCGGAAAAGATAGAATACAGAAGGATGGAAGGATGGACAACACGAAGCTAATCATATCTTTTCATGGGGATAAATTTTTGTGGTATTCCAACCATAAACATTTCCGTTGGCTCTTGATTTCATGGATAAACCTCGCTCACAACATCCACCAGTACTATCTATTTCAACTTTTATCTGTTCATTATTTAGTAATCATATAAACAATATTTAATGATTCTACAGTATACATTTCTCTCATCTCCCTGTTCGTAGTAGAAGACGCTGTGTTTATATACTTACCATACTTTGTCGAAGTTCACATGTTCAGTTGTATTGTACCACCAATGGGAGTCGACTATTGTACAGAAAAGTCTGTCATTAGCATCAGGGAGCGTCCGATATTCATCTTTCACAAAACCTGTGAATGCTGACTGTGTTGTTTTCATAATTTTCATCTTTTTCAGGCCAGCGGATACAACAGGTTTGCCTGAAGTATACATAAAATAATTAGCAATTAAGATTCAGTTGATAATAGCATATTATTTCATGTTAAATCCAACCTGTGTATATAAGCTTTGCTGTTTTAACTTTCTTTCATTTACACTTATGAAGTTAAATTTTAACAGCTGAACACAACAAGTGAGGGTCATTTTCAGGCAGCGTCTCCTTGTAGTAGCTGGTAGCTACCTCACTGTACAACATACAGAAGGCCCATGTTATCCAGCACAATTAGGGTAAAGTTTCAAGATCACATCAGCACAGACCAGTCCATTTCTCAGCTTCCTGAGAAACAAGAACCACCTATACATCAATGGCTCTTCACCTGAAGTTACATAGGCCAGCACTTTTACCAAGTGAGCTATTGCAGACCTAGAACTTGTCATATATCTCATCCCCCCCGCTCCAAAAAAAAAAAAAAAAACCAGTGGTGCATGCTCCTAAAAAACCCTTCAACATTAACATATCAGCCTCACGTGTACATTGTCAATTTATCACTTCCAAAATGATTCAATATTTGCTGCAGAATTCCTCTCAAAATATCCTAGACTTTTTATGGTTAGTTATGTTTAAGTACATAACAAATGTAACTTTATTGTGGTTTAAACTGATCACTAATAATTCTGATGTTGTACCAAATAGAGTGTTGTATATGATAACTTAACAGTTCTAATTCGACCATTCCATACTCTATCCATATCAATACAGAGCGATTACCGGCTCCTCTCGATAGGAGAGCCTTCGCTTGATAAGGAGTAGTGATCAAGGATCACCCTAGGGTAAGTTATAATGTTACCAATGCTTTAGCTGAAAATCTCATTGAAATTCCGAGAATTACCTACGTTATATGTATATAGGAAGATCCTGTCAAGTTTCTTCAAAAATTTGAATTTTAGCCATCATCAATGACCCTGAATTATCTCTGGGTAAGGATATTGTAAACTGAGTTATATGTTTGTATTTAATTCATCATAAATTCAGGTACCATATTTTCATTTAAATTTTTTCTCAAATGTTTCACATTCCACAAAGACAGAAAGGTTGTTTGTATGAAAAAGTACATATGTCAACTTTTTCTTTTTATTTATGATAGGGCATCCACCTAGAGTGCGACGGGTTGCTTTAGTTCAATCACCAGTGGGGACAGGATAGTTTTATTAATTTTTTTTTACATACTCTTAAATAAGCACTAGGAAAGTCCTGTACATAAAATGCTTGGGACCTGGAATCTGTTACATTTTCCTGGACTCAGCTGTACATGTATGAAGATTGGTTTAACCAAGTGGTAAGTCATATTAGGACAGAGAAAGACTATTTACTGTATTAATTAAGGAACTAGTGCTCATCAAAGTACAGTATTCAGATTTTTATATTTTTTTTTTTTGTTTTTTTTATAGGGCTGTAACAAATACCCATCAAGATAGGAAACATTGTCTTCCATCTGTTTTTACATTTCAGATTATTAAGATGATACAATAACTCACTCATTTGTTCTGTTTTCATTCACCGAGGATAACACTTTATCTGTTTCTTACATTTCCACATTCAACATGGTCGTGCTTTAGTTTTCTGACAACCGCATTGTGTTGTGGGAACCATCAAACACATGTGTATATATGCAGACTTATGTACTGTGCTTTACCTTGTTATCATAGATAATGTGCATGGAGTCAGTCATAATCACTTAATACAAAGTTCTATCACAAGACATCTGTTTGAATCAATACAACTTCTTCCTGGTTTGGATGTAAGGCAGAAAAAAAAGAGGTGTAATGGGCCCGATAAATTCTCTTATTCTGCAGCTTATCAAAAGTGTTGATTTTGGCAAACTTGAAAGCCAAGGCCAAAACAGTCCTACAATAAGTCCGCCCCTTGAGAGGTAACATGTTAACTCTACAAGTAACTATGGTCACCTCTGTAATGGGACTGTAACCTACCTCCTCTAGCCTGTACACAGTCACAGAACCGAGTGCCTTCATCACTGATCAGGAATGCATGGATGTGATTATCACCATCCTGTAATGTGATATGTTTTATTCATTAAAAGCTTCCTACCTCAATAACTGCTAATGAGGGTTTAAATACCGCTCGTGCCTCTCCCTCTAATGAAAAATCAATGTCAAATATATCTGTATATTAGAACATCTTGTACTTTGTACAATTAAAAGTTTAAATCACAAAATAAATCTTAATATACAATTAGTAATGTATTATGTAAAGCAGCATGCATGCATAATGAAAATACTGTGACAGTTTAATTTATCTATTTGTAAAATGAATAGAAATTCATTTATTTCACAACAATATTGAAATCTAAGTTACGGTGAAAGGAAACCGGGATACCCGAGGAAAACCTACATTGTCCGGCAGTTGACCCATATCTTTATTCCTTCAGTAAGAGAAATGCTTCTCTGTTGCGAATACAGTATAGGTGAAAGGCATGTTCATATATGTACAACTGCACAACCCTACCATCTTTTCATTATCAAGCTGAGAGCTTGATCAAACTTTTTTTTCATCCTTTGACTGTTATGTACTCCTTACAATTTCCATTCGTTTCCAAGGAGCTTGTTCAATATAGACTGTTGCTTTGTCCACATGGCTGTATTTGGAGAGGAAATGGCTACAGAGAATCATAGCAAACTGTTCTGGTGTCTTCACCTGTGACACAATAAAAAAAGTCCTATAATGTCTATCATTACAAAGACATATCATTTACACATACAATGTATATGTAAAATGCTCAGCCACCATTTGAACCCGGACCAAACTTTAAATGGAGGTTGTACAAATTGCATTTAACCTGGTTGCTGACAAAGATCCAGTCCAGTCCCACTATATTCCTACCTTCTTTTTCTAATTCTTCACCCCTGAAGACATAACCACAGTGTATTTTCAACATTGGTTATGCAATAGAAGCAGAAGAATGCTGTGTGAGACCAGGATTTGAACCTTTGAACTTTGAACTCTAACAGATGCTCTACCAATTCAGCTACCTTGTTGCTGATGATCGACCCAGTCCAGTTCAGCTACATGTGGGTTACAGGTATTCTGGAATCTCTCAAGGTGAATATGAATGTGGTCCAATTTCCATAACATACTCATATATATGTATTTGTAGGATATGTAGATCTATGTGAGTACAGACATGTACACAGTATGTGGATATTGATTTCAGTCAGATGTTCTATATATAGCTTAATTTACACATTCATGTTTTAAAGACATACAGAGTGGAATAACAGAATATCATTTAGCCTACCATAGCTCACTTTTTAAACACACATGTACATTAAAGTTTATTTTCAGGCCTCACATCTGCAAAACATCCAATCCATGTTCACAGAGACTTTACTAGAAATTGTACTGTTACCAAGTAACATATACACATATATCTCCTCAAACGCACACATTTAAAAAAAAAAAAAATTCTGGCTTGCATCTTTAAATCAATGACAAAACACATTTTTAGGTAAAAAATTATCTCCTACTTAATTTGAACAAATATAGTTTCAAAAACACTCAAAGTAAATGATACAAACCCCATATTTTCTGGCAAGTATGTAGACTGTATTTTTCTGAGAGTCAGTGGCAATGATGTCGGTATTGTCTCCATAAAGGTATTCACGCTGATTATTGAGGACGAGTTCTACACTCACCTCCAATTCCTGAATATGGTGAGCATTGCCCTCACGTCTCAGCTGTAGTAGCTTAACATAGTTTTTACCATATCCTGTTTCTATGAACTCTGTGTGTACCACCTGGCCCTTCATGGTGTAGTCGTTTTGATCCTGTAAAATAAATGAATATCAGTATTCTCCAATAGTTCTTCAGTTGACTGGACTGTTTCCTAGCTATGATAGTATGGATCTCCTATATATAGCCTGGAGCTTTAGAATACAGTATTTCTAGTTCATTTCTCAATGAACACATATGTCTGTGCATGTTGCTTAAACATATGTTTAAATCCTTGATATTATCAGTACCCTAAATATAAGACTGTATGAATAATCCTTATTTATTAAATTTACTTCTCATTATCAACTATTTATGTCTTCAAGAACCATTTGGCTTTATAATATGTCTAAACATTCCTCAATATTGAAACTGCATCATTCCAGGCTTTACTGTACTATGCATAACATTTGTCAGTCTGGAGGTGGACTTACTACAAGCTAATGAAATATTTTTAGATCACAATGTAATTGAACAACAGTAATATATGGATGGGCTAATTGCAAGGCAAATAAAATACATCTATGCTTTTGTAGCGGGTGGTGTTGTGCCAAAAAAAACGAAACCGCTGGGTTTGTTCAATGTTTAATCAATGTAAAATAGCCATTAACTCGTATCATGCGCTAACGTACAAGTCATATATAAGTTTGCAACACTCCACACAATATCACCTCATCCGTCATTTATAGCAGAAAAAAGACAAAACTGAGGAACCTGACATTTGAACATCCGTCTAACCCGCATGCCAGGATTCAAATGTACCCCGATGTAGTAAAAGACAAAAGACGTATACCCAGGAGAAACTTTCAACCAATCAAACACCTTCGTCAAAGTCTGTCAAATGTCTTGTGTCCAGTCGGTCAGTGAACACTACCCACGTACACAAGTACATACATATACACTACACATGCGCGCAAGTAAAATGTGACACTAAAAATGTGTTTGCGATGATAAATAATACGCACATGTACATAACCAGTACATATATATATATAAATACTACAATACAAGCTATAGATACTACAGGAATCACTACCAATATACAACATATGACCCTATTTTATACATTTACAGTTCTTTATTATCAGTACCAGACAATAAGTTTTACATCACAGCCTTACCAACGTATATTAAAGAGCCTGTGTTAGCCCACACAATAGAACATTAAACTCAGCATTGTCTGATATCAAGATGTGAATAGTTCAACAATCCTGACTCGGAGTGCTTTAATTGCGTTTCACAGTTCCTAGGGCTGTCTTCTGTTGTCAAGGTTGTGTCCTTCATAAAAAAAAGTCCTTACCATGATTACCAGAGGTAATGGCCTTCCTGAATGATGTTCAGGTGTGAAGGTTTGAATTGCACAAAGCAATACTTCTCGTTTCTGGTTACATCTAGTACTGTAGACTACTCCATGAGCAAGCTAGAGAAGTCCGAGAGGCTTTGTTGGAGCAAGAGAACATGAGTTAATGTGACATTTGAGGGCAAACACATTAGAAGGAGAGTGAAGTGTGGCAGGTGTTAAATGTACATCAGGATACAGTCCCCTTCCAGCTTCACAGTAGAGGGAATATTCGTTAGCTCGACAGATAGAGTAGCAGACCTGTAATCAAGGGTCACTGGTTTGATCTGTAGCGATCATGAAGTGATTGTGAGGTAGCCATCAGCTACTACAAGACTCATCCCACTTCAAAATGACACTGGCAGTTGAAAGGGTAATAAACACCAGAAATTTACTTACATGCACATATGTGTATCAAGCTCTTCCTGAAATGTGTCCTGTGATGTTTACTTCAAAGAGATTCTAATAAAAACACTTCTATACAAATATAACATAAATACACTCAGGTACACACATTTTAAAGCACATGAGAAATGTGACATGTATGCACTAGCAGTTATGCAAAATTCCATTTTATTACATTTATGCCCATTAAATACTGAGATATATCTCATTAATAAAAGTGTTATTTTTATTTTTCACTAGTGAAAATAACAATTAAGTAGACTTATGCAAATGAAAAGAGAGAACACAAAACATCTCATAAAACTGACAAATCATAAAGCCCGGTATAAAAAACACAGAACCAGACATCTGACGGGGTTGTTTACTGATGACACGACCTCCAATTCCATGGTATATGTTATATTCCATGAAAGTCAGCAAACAATGCAATGCAAATCACCTTATCAGAGATCAAATCCAATCCCAAACTGAACGTCTTGAATGTAGAGCTAACACGTTAGACATTTCAAGGGGATTTGTGTCATCAACAGCGACAACTGTAGGTTGTCGTTATATTTTCAGCCACATACTAACTTTTCTCAGGTTAACTCTCTTTGAACGCTTTACTGCAAATTTTGTCTCTTAGTGACATGAACAAGTAATATTTTCTAAGTGAATATAAGATAAATTTACATTGAATTTTAAAGTTTTGTTTACAAATTTTAAATGATTTAAAAAAAGGACTACATTTTGTCATGTACTGCAAAGATACTAGTCAGCTTACTCGTTTTGTATTTGTTCTAAACATGCCAGTAATTCAGCTATTTTGCTTTTGAAAATGTAATACAGTGATGTAGCAATGATATATGCTCTCGAAACAGCATTTATAGTTAAAAAAACCAATAGTTCATTTTTCAATTTTTGTTGAATAAAATTTGTTGGTGTAAATAGAAAAGATATTTCTGATTAGCTAATACCAGAGAGCATCAGGGGACTTGCCTCTCAGACTTCTCACTGAGGCTTTTCTCCTAGACCTTTGTTGAAAGCATACATTAAAAAAAAAAAAAAGACGTTTGCTATGCCACTGTAGTAAATAATAGAACATCTAATGGTGTCTACAGTAATAAGTGTGTTTCACTCGTGTGTCTAAAATATAAAAAATTCTTGTGAAATATGTTTGTTGTTACTGAAGACACTATTAGATATCCTCTATATAAACCCACCTATACAGGGACAGCCTTTAACACATGAAAAAGTGTAGATACATGTCTATAGAGCTTGTGTGCTCAGGTATGTTAACACAGGTAAACATGACACCGGTCACATGCTATCAGGTATAAATACAATTGTATGTCCCCTTACTGGTAAATATCATGGGTACGTGTACATTTGACCTATTTATTTCAGGGACATATGTACACAGCCTCTGGGATAGTCATCTTTATATAACATAAATGAACTATTTCTATCACACGCTGATTCTTAAAAAGTGAAGACAGGACCTCAAAGTTTTGTGTAATATGAGTGTTTTCAGAAAGTTAACATACAACCTTTAATTTTTTGACTCCAGTTTTCCCGACTCTTGGGGAGTCAGTAATTATGAAGAAAGCCTGACAGAAATGTATATACCCATTAGTGACGTAGATCTCTTTATATAACAAGGTAATTTTTGCTTTCAAAACTAGCAAACCAATACACCTATATTTATAGCAGAATCATGAACTCACTGATACTGAAGCAATATTTAACCCCCATATTAAAGCAATTTAACTCCCTGACTGTGTTATGAAACAGATATCACAGTATAACAGTGCTGGTCTACATTCCACCATAAAGTTATACAACAGACAATCGCCATTTTTATAAGGCATATATGTCTGATATAGATACAGTCATCTCTAGTATGCTCACTTTTCATATATAACTTACCATTGTTGCAGGAATTCTATCACAAAAATAACTGTATGGCTCAGGGTGACAAATTCACCTGCAGAAATATCTTATATCCCGACAATAGAAGACATCCACAATCTATCCCCAACCTTGATATGTAGACAGGACACCTAGTATTAGTGATCACATTTCAACAAGGCACACAAGGTCATCAGTTGCCTTGCTATGAAGAGTTAGAGCATGACAATATCACTATGTTGATTCTTTCCCTGGGTACAAAATCAAAGCACAAGCCCTCTTAGCTTGTTTTTTCAGCTTGATGTGTATAAAATGATTGTGTGTAAATAACATGTCCAGAGATGCCATTTCATAGTGACACTGCATGTGTACTTGTAATATGTAAATATCTATATATATATTTTCTATGAATTACCAAATAAAGCCAAATTTATTAAAAAATTAAGATCAATTGATGAAAAGATTTGAGGCCCTATGTCATGGCCCTGTGCCTCTTTGTAGCTAGGATTGAGTTAATTGTTAATATGAATATAGGGCAATGAAATTCATTTGTAAGAAAAATGTTAGTCTTTCCTCTGAGGAGTTACTGACCAGTTATCGTGCCTTTCTCCTTGCCTTTTTAGTTATACAGACGAGATCATTTAAAGATTTTAACACCTTCGACCCCTTTGACCTTGAATGCAGGTCAGTGTCATTCATTCCAACAAACTTGGTAGCCATTCTTATCATATTGCTACAGTACCAGTGTCATCATCACGGCCCTGAACCTAGCTCGCGGATATCAGTGAGAGGAATTAAGTAGAAAGTGTACACCGGATAGATAGATAGACAGACAGATAGATAGATAGATAGATAGATAGATAGATAGATAGATAGATAGATAGATAGATAGGTAGATAGATGGACAGATAGACAGATGGATAACGCCTGACATCAAACACTCACTAGCCTTTCATGCGGATGACTAAATGTAAATATGTGTCAACGTGTAAAATATCTCTCTTAAGACATGATAATTAGTCTAAGAGATGTCTTATAGCTTGAGTTATATATATGTAGACGCTGTTACACTCTATTTTACGATCTGGTTGAGAACAAAATAAGATTAAGCGTACAAAAATACTGATCTATCATTTAAGATAAGATTCACTTCAATACAACACTAATAAAACTACAATGCGATCTCCACAACACTTACCGCATCTCATTCGGCTATTCGGAGCATCTTGCATTTTCTTGCATCTTCCTACATGTATGTGCGTCCCGAATCAATGCTGTTTTCACTTTCGCTTTCACGCGTGTAAACGCGCGAAATGGGAATATGACGTAATGAGTATCCAGAATTTGACCTAGTTATGAAAATATTTGTGGCATGTTGGGTTATATCAGTTTAACAATTCATCAGTTTCACTGAACATGTAAAAAAATGTACATTGTTCTTGTATTTTAGCATTATAATTCAACTAAATATCTATTTCTTTACATGACGAATTTTGTCCACATGGTACGACAAAATCATGTATGTAGACATACTGGTAGCCAGAAAGACAAGATGATGGAAATACGA